CAAACAGAGACAAAGCAGGCATTCAAGTGGAGCTGAGCGCGGGACGGTACAAATTTATCGGGCCCGTAGCGGCCACCACCTACACTACGGAAAACGTGACCTGGTTGGCGGAACTGCCGAGTGGTCACTACACCGCCACAATCAGCGCACCCGACACGGATAACACTGCGCCGCCTTTCAGACCGAAAGCTGATAAATGGTGTGACGTGTGATGACCCAACCTTTGGATAACGATGAAACGGATTATTCTGCGAGCCACGGGATTCGATTCGTATGACGTGAAGCTGCTAGTCTCGGGACCATTGGAAAACAGTAAAGAACGTGCGGTAGTGCAAGCTAACGCAAGCATAAGCGCTGATGGCTTAATGATCTACAACACTGTGGACACATTGTTTGGCCAAGTTCTCATCAAAGAAACAGTTGCCGGGCGTTTACCGCATTCAGGTGTACGAAAATAACTACCGCCAGTACAAGGCAGAGTCGGATTGGGATCTGGCGAACTCGCAGCCTACGGTGCAGATCTACAGTGGCAACCGCTTGTTTGCGCAGTACTATATGCCGGTCTCTAGTGGAAACAAGTGGATTGTGGCGGAATTAAGCGACTTACGCCTCAGTGTTACTTCAGAACAATTTCAGAAGTGGTCCAACGCTCAATATTCAAAAAACTGTTGAGCTTATTAGTGCACGAGGAAATGAAATGCTCTTGCAAAAAGAACATTACTCGTGCTAAGCAAAGGTCTATCTCTGTCTGTTTCCAATCAATTTGCAATCTGTTTTCCAAGGCCTCGTCCCGAATTCGAAGTGAATCTTGTTGCGATACAGCAACTCCACCTCGCGAGGTGGCTTCGCGTACCGTATCTGTAGGCGTGGCCACTGCATACAGCCACCTCGTGCGGTTGAGCAACGGTACCAAAGCTAGATTCGCTTCGAATTGGAGACGCACCCCAAGACTCCTTTTGGTTTTCCATATTTTTGTATGGTGGGGTTATTTTTGTGATAGCATAAAGCGTAGAGAAAGTTAGGAATAAAATGGTGGTTTAGTGCAAAGTGCAATGGCAACGATGTCACGAGATTGTCTGTCCTCTGTGACCTTTGTGTCCATCAAAGCAGCTGCGGTAGCACCGTAGCAGCATGCCACGTATAATGCTGTTACGCTGTCGACAGTCGAAAGTGATGAGACGCGGGCGCTGTCGGAATGGTTGAAGATGAACGCGGTGGACAAGAGCCAGGATCTGCATCGCAGCGCAGTCTGCCATGTACGAGCCAAGGGTGCATAAATTTCTCTTCTGTTAAGTCCTTGGTACAATTTCGATCTTTTTATGCTTTGCCAATTTTCGCCTGCGTTCTCCGTTTGGTAGGTGTTGTGCACGACGCATGCCGCTGAACCGCGTCCCTCCTCGTATTACCGAAACAAGAAATGGTGCATGGATGGACTGCAATGCTCTGCGCTGGGAAAGACTGTCGCGCATTGACCTGGATTTTCTGCGGATCCTGCATAACCGCCTTACTAGACCTGCTCCTTGGTCGGTCGGAATGACTGTCGACGTCCCGATTCTGTCCTAAGGGGACTGGATATCTTCGAGCAATTTATAAATGCACTTTAGAAATTAGAGCGCCGTTTTGTCGGCTACTGTTTTTTGTCGTGGCGCGCTTTCGGTTTTTAGACAAATTTTGTTTTGCTTAGGTACATCGTACACGGCACCAAATTCGAGTAGTAAATCCATACGCACGAAAACGTTCGCTTTCATTCAGTTTTTGCACTGGTTGATGACCTTCATAGCCATATACTTGGCATACGTTGGCGTGAAAACAGTTTTCGCATTGCACCATCTAGTCCGTGAGTTTATGACTGAAATAAAATTCCAATGGGTTTAACGTCTTCTCTAGTAGAGGTGCACCAAAAGTTTCATTATTAACCGATCTGCTTCAGCTTTTACAAGAATCCATGAAGGTCATGTTACACCAAACCAGATTTCCACTAACCTTTTCGAATTTCATGATAAGTTCAAAAATTATTTATATCAGGTCTAATTGCTGCTTCGGAAATCGATTCCATAATCAAGATATGCTTTTGGATTTAGTTACTGTACATTTACGGTTAATTTACAATCAGCACCTTCTTAAACGGAATTATGTACCAGGCCATGTGGGGTGGTCACTGTAATTTCAGAAAATTAAGAAAAAACTGAAGAGACTCAGGAATGTGTTAAACAATACCGAAATAATAATCTGTCAAAACACAAGCGGGCCGCAAACAGGAAACGCCGACAAGTCAAAAACTAACACATAAAATCTGCAAGACATTTCAAAATTAATTACTGCAGACAACCGCCATCGTTAAAATGAGCTATTCCGACCACAGGCAAAATCCAAAAAGATTGCTGCGCAGAGTCAGCAGAAAGCGCAGCGCAATGCGGGACAGCTTCTCCAAGCGCAGATCCTGCAATCCATCCATGCACCATTTTTTCCCGTGGTAATCCGTGGACGTACGTGGATCCGCGGTCTGCGTTGTGCATAACAGCTATCAAACAAAAAAGAACCCACTTGAATAAAAACTGAATGAGCACTCTTGAGAACACTGCATCGCCCAGATAACTCAAGACTGCCTTACTTTGCAGACTGCATTGCGATACCGCTCCTGGCTCCCATCCATCGCAATCGTCGTCAACCACTCCGACAGAGGCCGCAGCTCATCGTCGCGGGGTACCGGCATCGCCGCTTCCATCGCATTCCACACCGTGGACGCCACATCCCCGTTTAGCGGCATACGCGTCTTGACAAAGTTGACATATAATTCCACACGCGCGTCCCAAGCCTGCAGCACATCCGCTAGGTCGTAGCACAGGCGCACCCGACACCGCACCAGATGGATGACAGCGCACGGCAGATCGCGACACGCGGCGATCAGGCCATCGAGGTGGCCCGCGAAAGGCGACTCTGCATCGGGAAGGTGCACCTCGCAGTATTCACGGTACATGGCGACAGATTTCGAGAAGTTCGTGCTGCCGACCACATACAGCGCCGTCAGACGAATCGCGGGATGAGTTCGCGCCACGAAGTGAATAATATCCAACACCATCAGGAAGTGTCCCATGTCGATGCTTTCGTCGCGATCATAAATAATTACTTGCTTGGTGGAGGAGCGAAAACATTTAAAGAGGGGCGAAAGAAGGATGTATTGCACATCAGGCGAATATCCGCTGACAGCGCCCGTCTCAATGACAATGTTGGCCATCAAAGTAGCCGTACTAAGGATAGCGTCCCAAGCTAGACACACGGTGCGCAGCTTGGTTTGTGTTAAGGTGTCCAAATGGCCAAACACTTCCACCCACTCCCAGTGCAAGGGATTCATCCGGCGTCTCGCCGATATCCCAATATTCAACCGGCGCCGTCATCGCATGCAGGATGGCCGGAAGACGGCGAATCAGCGCTTTGTGCGCCGCTCGAACTATTTTCTACAATAATCAATACCAACGGTCTGGTGAAATCGATGAAAAGAGACGGACACTAAGACCCCCAGTGTGGTTAACCCGGCTGCAGTGAGGCAGTGACGAATTAGCTTACCTCTGCCATATCTTCGGCTTGCCGCTGCGAAAACCCGACGTCACCGTTCAGCTCCACGATGAAATGCACTTGACCATCCGCGACATCGACGTGAACAACCTGTCCTTTAGAGGCCCGTTGCTGTTTAGCCGGCAGCTCTTTGATCACCCGCACCACTTGTGCTGCTGACGCAGCGCGACAGTGGGCCGGCAACGGCATACTACGCTTGACAAAGCGTCCCCGTGCAACAGGCAGCAGATCCGTCACAAGCCCCTTCTCTGAGTCCTGTCAGCTCGCTCCGTCCACCAGTCAGCCGGAACAGGATAACGGAGGCGGTGCTTTGGGACAATGTCCGTCCAGGTGGCGCCGCTGTCGTCCTGTCCTTGGACGAAAGCCACCGTGGCGTAAACCATCCAAACCAATGAGTGCGGCGCCGGATTCAGCATGTTCCCGGGCCACCAGCGCCACACCCCGCCGGGATACTGACGGCGCAGCACGTCCATGGGGACTGTCTCGCAAGGCTGCTCCCTCCAAATGTTATCATATTCCCAGTCCTCGGATTGCATGGATCTGGATAGAAAGACACTGTTGAATGGGGCAAATTCGCGTCGCCGATCTGGACACAGCAGATCGATATAGAGCCCGTTGTCGGCCACGTCCACTACGCGGCCATACAGCACGACGTTACCGTCGTTGACTACGTTGATGTCACGGGTCCGTACAACAAACATGGCTGACGATGGAGCGGTGGGGAACCTTCGGTGTACGCAATTTAATCGAAATGCAGGCACGCTAATGATTTCACCCAGTGTATCAATTAATTCAACCTTTAGTTATGTAACTTATGTCTAAATAACGGATCACTGAGATTTGTGAGTATGCTGCCTGAAACGCGAAAGAATCTCGACAGTTGTGGAAAAAAGATGAAATGGTGTTATGATACCAGTAGCATCTAAAGTACTTGTAGGAGGCACTATCCAGTTATTATTAAGTGTACAGTACTGCATATCAGCGTATAAAAGTTTTATCGAGTCACGGAAAGTGACTCTACTCAGAGAACGCTACTGCTGGCTGATTTTAAGCAGCTTCCTAGTGAATTTTCTTGATCACTACCGATTAAAACATTTCCAGTTTGCAAAATTTGCGAATTTTATTAATTGGATCGATTAACAGACCGATAACGAGTTGAGCGATTATAAGATTTCTTCGAGAAACTTTCTAAATTGGAATTTCAATCGCGTGGAAATTCTGAGTGCAATCTAGTGTTAAAGTGAGTAAAACACTTACAAAATCAGAAATTTCGCATGTACAGTACTTACGGTTAATGAGGTCATCACACGGCTTCTGCACCATTTGTACCAGGATAGAATCAGAATATTACGAGAAAAACTAGCACGTTAATTCCTTACGTACATTGTGATTAGGCGACCCTTTTTAATGATGATCTCCAACCACGCTATTAGAATTCTTTTCGTTGAAATTACAACCACGAAGCTCTGCAAAAGGCAGCACAACACCGGGCCGCGAAACTCGAATGCCCGTAGGAGCAAGAAAAACCCAGCAAACCTTAGAAAAGTGACAAAACCAAAAATAATCGCAAGACACCGACACTGCTGAACAAGTTAATCGGCCCATTCATCAGATTTAGCAAGGCAGCTGTGCAGGAGTAGCAGAAAGCGCAGTGTAGTGCGAGACAGCTTCTCCAGACGCAGATCCTGCAGTCCATCCGCGCACCATTTCTTCCCACGGTACTGCAATGACGGACGCGGATCCGCGGTATGCGTCGTGCACAACACCTACCAAATAAAGAATAAGTCTGATGGGGAATGGAAAACGGAGTAGTACTTCGAAAAGACTGCATGTAATCGAGCCTTCCTATTGTTAGGTATATCTGTACTCTGTTCGACAACGGTATCTACGAATATTAGATACTTATACAGATTGTCAAGAGACTCTTGTACGAGCTAAAGAAAAGAAAAACCTATTTCCCAATACGCCACACTGCTCTTTCCTAACGATCACCTAACAATTCCAGTCAGATGAATTTCAGAAGATTCTCTTACTTTACAGACGGCCGTGCGATTCAGCTCTTGGTTCTCCTCCCGCGCGATGGTCGCCAACCAATCTGACAGTGTCCGAATCTCGTCCCCGCTGGGGGCCGGCAGCGCCGCTTCCACCGCGTTCCACACCGTGGATGCCACATCCCCGTTTAGCAGCAGACGCGTCCTGGCCATGTCGACATCCAGGAGTAGAAACGCATCCCATTTCTGTAACAGTCCCGACAGATCGTAGCGCAGTCGCACCCGGCACCCCACCAGATGCATGGCGCTACACGGTAGACCGCGGCATGTTGCGATTAAACCCTCCAGGTGACCCTCAAAATACCCGTTGTCGGGATTGTGCACGTCGCAGGCCTCCGGTTCCATGATGTCACGGTCGAGATCCGGTTCTGAGGTCAATTTCGTAACGCCCACCGTGTACAGCGCTCTTAGTCGGATCTCGGGACGGGTCCGTGCCACGAAGTGAAGCATGTCCAGCATAGTCAGAAATTCCGCCATTCGGATGATGTGTTGGCGGTCATGGATGATAACGCGCTTGGTGAAGGAGTGCAGGCATTTGAAGATGGGCGCTGTGAGAGTGTATTGAAGACCAGGTAGACGCTCGCCACCCACGGTCTGGATGATGATGTTGGCCGTCAGAAGCGGAGTGTCCAGGATAGCGTCCCAGGCTGGACATACAGCGCGCAGTCTGGTCTGTGTCAGCGTGTCCAGATGGGCGAACACTTCCTGCCATTCGTCCACGCCCAGGGCACGCGAGTCATCCGATGTCCCAGAGATACGCAAATGTTCAACGGGAGCCTTCACCGCGCGCAGGATGCTCGGGAGACGACCAATCAGCGCCTTATGCAAAGACGCAACAATTTTCTGTAACAATCAACAACTCACCAAAAGCCAACAACAAGCGACAGACTCGAATTAATACAGTGAAATGTGGTTATTTTGACTGAAGGAATATGATGGAGGAATTATGGACGAAAGACTATTTAGGACACCCTCGGATAAGTATCCCTACGAATGTGCAACAAATACCGATTTACCTGCGCAATATCATCCGCTTGCCGCTGCGGAAATTCAGCGTCACCGTCCAGCTCCACTATGAAATGCGCCTGATCATCCGCGACATCGACACAGGCTACCTGCCCTTTGCGCGTCCGTTGGTGTTTTGTCTGCACTGCCCGTATCACCTCCGTCACCTGTCCTGCTGACGCTGCACGACATGCGCCCGGCAGCGGCATGCTGCGCTTGACAAAGCGATAGGGTCCAATTGGCAGCAGACGCGTCATCGCCGACACCCGTGGGACATCCGGGCACGAGTCCTCTAGCACCGGATAACGGAGACGGTGCTTGGGGACGATGTCCGCCCAGATTGCCCCGCTGTCCTCCTGCCCCTTGACGACAGCCACCGTGTAGTATTCACACGGAAAGGATGGTCCCGTCCCTGTCAGTTTCACCAGTTCCCCGGGCCACCACCGCCACGCCCCACCGGGATATTGACGGCGCAGCACTTCCACGGGAAGTGTCACCCATGGCTCCAACGTCGAAACGATTGCATAATCCCGTTCTGTGAAACGTCGCGGCTCGGATAGGGATAGACGGTTGAACGGGATGAGTTCGCGTCGACGGCCGCGGCACAGCAGATCGATGTAGGGTAAAATCGCAATATATGGATATGGCCAGATTTGCATAAAATGGACTGATCCTTTATGTTTCCTACTCAGAATTTTTTTCTGAATCGAATGGACCGGGACAACAATGGTTCTGAAGTCACGTGACTGAGCTCCAAGCTAATTTGCATAAAGGTGCCTTGCTATAACTTTTTCAGGAACTTTCAAGCAAAAGTGGTCATTTTATAGCTTGTTTGGCTCAGAAAAAATTTCCGAGTCGAATGATATATAACTCATGCGGATGTAAAGTCACGTGACCAACTTATGCATTTTTTGCCTGTTATGGGCAATTTGTTATTGTGGTGGTTTTGACAGAAGGTTCGTATGACGTCACGAAGACTGAATTTTTTAAGTCGAAAGCTCGTGACCTTTTAGCACGATAGGGTCATCCAAAGGTCATGGCTCAGTACGGCTTGTAATAGCAAGTTATTCACTTCTAGCAATTTCCGGTGCATGGGACCTAGAAACCAAACAAACTGAAGAATCCTAAAAAAGTCAGAAACCTGAAAAACCACCGCCAAAATAAATCGTAAGAAGCGTAACCAGTAAACTGAGTTACCTAAGAAAAACCTAAGAAACTCCCGCTAGCAACTGTAACTTGGTTTCCACGAAACAGTAACTTGGTTTCCACGAAACAGTAACTTGGTATCCCGAGCAAGAACTCTAAGAAACAGTAACCTGGTTTCCCGAGAAAGGACTCTAAGAACCAAGGAAACCACTGCTAATATAAAACAGCATATTGCGTTACGGTGTTACCTAAGAAAGAGACCCTAAGAACTTCAAAAACCAGTAACTACCATCAGAAACCAGAAAGAAACCAAATAAGAATGCAATAAAAACTAAGAAATTACCTGGAGAAAGTGAAAAATAAGCTAGCATCTGTGCTCAAACATTGCTGTGAGTTGTTACTGTTTCTGTCTCGTTTAATGAAAGGAGTAGCACTGCTGTGGGGTGTTACTAGTTCTGTCTTGTCTAAAGAAAGGAGTATCACTATTGTGAGTTGTTAATTCTTCTGTCTCGTTTAACGAAGAATGTAGCATTGCTGTGGGGTGTTACTAGCTCTGTCTTGTTTAAAGATACGAGTAACACTGCTGTGAGTTGTTACTTCTTCTGTCTCGTTTAATGAAAGGAGTAACACTGCTTTGGGGTGTTACTAGTTCTGTCTTGTCTAAAGAAAGGAGTAACACTATCGTGAGTTGTTAATTCTTCTGTCTCGTTTAACGAAGGATGTAGCATTGCTGTGGGGTGTTACTAGTTCTGTCTCGTTTAATGAAAGGAGTAACACTGCTGGGGGGTGATGCTACTTCTGTCTTGTTAAAGAAGGGAGTAACATTGCCGTGAATTTTTACTTCTTCTGTCTCGTTTAATGAAAGGAGTAACACTGCTGTGGGGTGTTACTAGTTCTGTCTTGTTTAAAGAAAGGAGTAACACTGCTTTGGGGTGTTACTAGTTCTGTCTTGTCTAAAGAAAGGAGTAACACTATTGTGAGTTGTTAATTCTTCTGTCTCGTTTAACGAAGAATGTAGCATTGCTGTGGGGTGTTACTAGCTCTGTCTTGTTTAAAGATACGAGTAACACTGCTGTGAGTTGTTACTTATTCTGTCTCGTTTAATGAAAGGAGTAACACTGCTGTGGGGTGTTACTAGTTCTGTCTTGTCTAAAGAAAGGAGTAACACTATTGTGAGTTGTTAATTCTTCTGTCTCGTTTAACGAAGAATGTAGCATTGCTGTGGGGTGTTACTAGTTCTGTCTTGTTTAAAGATACGAGTAACACTGCTGTGAGTTGTTACTTATTCTGTCTCGTTTAATGAAAGGAGTAACACTGCTGTGGGGTGTTACTAGTTCTGTCTTGTCTAAAGAAAGGAGTAACACTATTGTGAGTTGTTAATTCTTCTGTCTCGTTTAACGAAGAATGTAGCATTGCTGTGGGGTGATGCAACTTCTGTCTTGTTAAAGAAGGGAGTAACATTGCCGTGAATTTTTACTTCTTCTGTCTCGTTTAACGAAAGGAGTAACACTGCTGTGGGGTGTTACTAGTTCTGTCTTGTTTAAAGAAAGGAGTAACACTGCTGTGGGGTGTTACTAGTTCTGTATTGTTTAAAGAAAGGAGTAACAACGCTGTGGGTTGCTACTTCTTCTGTCTTGTTTAAAGAAAGGAGAAACATTACTGTGGGCGGTAACCGGTTGATATCTCGTTTAAGGAAAGGAGTAAGGGCTGTTGGCTGTAACCAGCCCATATGTCTCGATTAAAGAAGCGAATCACCTAGCTGTGAAGTGCGAACAAACAAACAGTTTGAGAAACCTGAAATATCTTGCGAGAAAATAGTTGGCTAAGTAATAACATTACCGCGTAAGTAACTATAATTTAATCGTAACTATTTTCGGTATTGACCTTTGAGACCTAGCTTGACCTTTACGACTGAAAAAAATTTCTGAGTCGACCGTGTCATTTATGACTTACATATGACGTCAACAGCAGGAATGAAGTATTAAACTCCTAAAATCCAGAAAATGATTGAATAAATCGCTATTAAATTCATAACTTAGTCAAGTGATCTCGCATCCACGTGATTCACATATCATTCGATTCAGAATTTTTTTCTGAACAAAATTAACTATAAAACGTGTGCTTATCAAAGGTATTCCATACAAAAACTATAACAAAGCACCTAATATGCAAATTAGCCCGTAGCTCAGTCACGTGACTTCGGATCCGTTCCTGTCCCGGCTTATTTGATTCAGAAAAAAATTCTGAGTAAGAAACAGTCAAAATCAGTCCATTTTATGCAAATCTGACCATATCCGTATATTGCGATATTGCCCGATGTAGAGCCCGTTGTTCGCCACGTCCACCACGCGGCCGTACAGCAGGACGTTGTTATCGCCCACTACGTTGATGTCACGGGTCCGTTCCACAAACATAGCTGACGATGGAACTCTGGGGAACCGTCTGGCGTCTGCCAGTGCACAGGGATGCGATTAAAGACAGACGCTACAATGAGACAGACAGAGGCATGCCTACAGACACAGAGGATGCAGGAATCAAAACAGTTATGGTGAAAAGGAAAAATATTACCAGTCTGGTCTTATATACCAGTCAGAATTAGCAATACAGTTATACAAGTCAAAATCGGGAACGGAGAACTGCGCTCATTCAACAACCAGAATTTGCACGCCAGGCTCCAGCAGGGACTGAAATAGTGGAAAATCAATGATGGACGCCCCTCTAGGGGGGGCGCTTCGCGCCCCCCCCCCAGGGGGCTGCAAATTTTTGGTCCTGCAATCCACCCGTGCACCATTTCTTCCCGCGGTACTGCGCGGACGGGCGCGGATCTGCGGTCTGTGTCGCGCATAACAGCTATCGAAAAAAAAGAATAAAAAATAAATCAGAACTCTGAAAGCAGTGCATTTCCCAAATGGCTTACTGATAACTGCTGCATTAGAAAATTCGGCAGATTCGCTTACCCGGCAGACTGCAATGCGATACCGTTTCTGCCTCCCGTCCGCAGTGATCGTTTTCAGCCACTCCGCCAGCACTCGCATCTCATCGTCGCCGGGCGCCGGCAACGCCGCTTCCACCGCATCCCACAGCGTGGACGCCACATCCCCGGTCAGCGGCAGCCGCGTCTTGACGAAATCAACAGACAAGTTCAAATTCCACTGCCCATGAGCTTTCCGAAACCCTTTCAGGTCCGTGAGACGGTACGTGAGACGCATCTGACATCGCACCAGATGAATGGTAGCACACGGCAGATCGCGGCAAGGTGCGATCAGAGCATCGAGGTGGTCTCTGAAGAAGGGCGCCGCCACGGGAACGAAGCCGGGAAGGTGTACGCCGCACCATGCACTGGTCACTGAGACGTATTTCGACAACTGGGTGACGCCGACCGCATACAGCGCCGTCAGACGGATCCCGGAATAGATTCGCGATACGTAGCGAAGCAAGCTCAACAGGCCGTCCAAATCCGCCAAGGTGACGCATTGGCCGCGATCGTGAAGGATAATATGTTTGGTGGCAGAGCGCAGGCAGTTGAAGAGCGGCGCCGTGAGAATGTATTGCAGATCAGGCAAATGTCGACTGGCCGCGTCCGTCTCGATGAAGATGTTGCCCGTCAAGGTAGGCAACTCCAGTACACCGTTCCATGCCGGGCACACCCCACGGAGTTTTGTCTGTGTCATCGTGTCCAGATGGGCGAACACTGCCTGCCACTCATCGATACCCAGGGCGCAGGGTTCATCCCCCGTCCCGCAGATATGCAAGGAATCATCAGGAGCCTCCACTGCACGCAAGATTCTCGGAAGACGATCAATCATGGCCGCAAGCAAAGCCAAAACAATTTTCTGTAACGATCAGCACAAACATTTTGCCAGAAACCGATGAAAAGAAACGGACACTAACGATCACTGGTTAATCATTGCCTAGTTATCGTACCTGAGCCTTGTCTTCGTCTTGCCGCAGCGGAAACCCAACGTCACCATGCAGGTTCACAATGAAGTGCAACTGTTCATCCGCGACATCGATACTGATCAGCTGTTTGGAGACCCGTCGCTCTTTAGCCTGCATCGTCCTGAACATTTTCAGGAGTTTTGATGCCAGCGTCGCACGACACCCAGCCGGCAACGGTACACTGCGCTTGACAAAGCGTCCCGGTTCAATAGGCCAAAGACGTGTCACAGTGTGCGTCGCCAACGTATATCCCCCCGCAAAGTGATCCGTCCACCAGTCTGCTGGCACCGGCAACGAAGGCGGTGCCTGGGGACCAGGTCCGTCCAGGTGGCGCCGCTGTCCTCCTGTCCCTGAACGACCCCCGCTGGAGGGTGGTCAGACCAAAACGATGAGGTCGGCGCCGCATTCAGCAAGGTCCCGGGCCACCAGCGCCACGCCCACCGGGATACTCCCGCCGGAGCACTTCGACGGCGATCGTCTCCCATGAGCGCCGCCTCATGTTGGTACCATACTCCCAGTCGTCGAAGTGCATGGGCCGGGACAGAAAGAGGCGCTCGAAAGGGACGAGTTCGCGTCGACGGCCGGGGCACTTTAGATCGATGTAGAGCCCGTTCTTCGCCACATCCACCACGCGGCCGAACAGCAGAACGTTTCCGTCGCCCACTACATTGATGTCTCGGGTCCGTGTCGCAAACATGGTTGACGAAGCTGGGGCACTGTCTGCCAAGCACAATGATGCAAATTAAATGCAGACGCTACAGTAAAAACAAGCAGACGGGCTCCTAGATTCATAGGATCGTAGGAATGTACTACATTCTTATGATAAATCTAGCAGACCGTTATGGTGCCTAGGAAAAGAGTATTAACTTTTAAGGTGGCAAAACAGCAGATTCTACAGTAAGGGTCTAGGCCCCGGTCTACCAAAAAACACCGAAAACTGCACACTCTCGACAACGAGCACGCTAGCAGTGCAACAAGTTAGCACTGTTCTTACACGATAATGACGATGTTATCAGCGCACTAGTAATCTCACCTCAGAAAAACTGGGAAATCTGGGAACAGGAGATACAGTGTGAAACCTTCACATTACGAGATAAGTGCTTGTTGTCTTGGCTGACTGTCAGACTGTGAGGAGCTCGCTGTCTGGATGTGGAATTGCACTATGAAATCAGAACGCAACGCAACTTAGGCAAGGCACGCACTACGCAGCCGTTCTTTTTGACGTAACCGGCTACGCAAAGTGAAAATGAGGCTTGCTCTGTTGTAATGAAAGTACGCCCTTTCAAAGCGGTTACGTTAAGCCGATGCCAGCCAGCTTCTTATTTTTTCCTGCAGATCACGGCTTGACAGCACTTTTGCCAAACTCAGTAGTTTTGCAGTATTGTCATGTGGCTGGGTTTCCAATTTCGGTCAGCTGCTTAATTTTTCTCTGTTTTACAGTTTACTAGTTGTTTGTCAGTGGTACGGATATATTAGGTACCTTCTTTCCGTTATTCATTGCAAACAGCTTGTTGACGTATATTCTTGTACGATAAAATTTAAGAATGCTGAACGATCTCTGGACGCGTGCAACTCTGTGGATGTGGAGATTGATGGCCAGCTGCAGCATGGCTGCGTCGTCGGCCTGGAAGAAAAACCAGGGAACGACGGCACTCCGCCGCGTCTGATTGTGGATTTCGGATGCCCGCCACAGCGGGCAGTTCTGGTAGAATACGGGAAGATCTGGGACTGTTCCAGACAGCGATGCGCTGGTGTGCACGTGGGGGACGAGGTGGAGGTGCTGCTGCACGACAGTGCGGATTGCTCTTGGAAATGGTTTCCCGCGAAAACGCTGATGACGGTTCAAACATCTACAGCATACGGCGCTGGTTGAGGTGATGGCGGACGGACAGGCTCGTCGCGAACTGCTTCTCTGGTCACAGATTCGCGACTGTGTGAGAGAAGCGGTTAAGCCGGAACCCATTGCAACGGGCCACTTTGTCATGCACACGTGCAGCGTGCCTAACGTTTATTGGATTCTGCTCCATAAAATGGAACTCAATTTGTAGCTGCGGTTTGTCACGGTTTTCAACCAGGAGATGCACTGTTTGATGGTCCGACGGCGGCCGGAGTCGCCGTTGAGGGACGATGTGGTAAGTCGTTTCCAAGTAGTGAATTCAAATTATTTTTGATTTTCTAGTTTATTTTAATTATTTTTAATTTAAATTACAATTTAAAACATTAATAATAATTGTAAGTTTCTTTTCTTAAACATCAGTTTAACTTGAATTAATTTTAATTCGTTTGAAATTTAAATTAATTAATTTTAATTTGATAGACATTTTAAAAAATATTTTAATTTGTCTTAAATTTTTCGTAATGGGCTTGCGGAATCTCTTACCGTAGGCCGTTGAGTTCGAAAGCCAGAGAAAGGAGTTCACGTAGAGCGAAGCGCTCGAGAAACTGATCCAGCAAAGCGAAGAGTGGGATGCGGAGCCGAAGCGGAAACATCCGCTCACTGTCGACGAATGCGGTTTGCCGTTGTCGCTGAATGTGCTACAGGAGGTCTTCCTCGCACTCGACACTGTCGATCAACAGCGCTGCCGCCGCACCTATCAACTGTGGGAGTCGATGCTCACGTCGGCGGAGGTGTGCTCCGTTGTGCGTGTCGCTCGCCAGAATCCCAGCGAATCAGCCGGGGCGCTGGGGAATGGCAAGTATCTGCTGTACGCCGGCATTGGCAAGTGCATTACGTCGGCCACCCGCACTGTCTGCATTCGCGATGCCATACGCCCTCCGTGTATCGATGGAACCTGCGCGTTGCCCATGAAGCTGTTGGTTTTAAGAAGTTCTTGGACGCTGTTGACCTGCGCCTTGACCGTCTCATTATGGACCAGCGCTCGATCAAGATCGCATTCGATCGTCCATGGGCACGGCTCTCTGTTGACGTCTTCTCGCATCTGTCTGAACTCGTATCATGCTGTAAGCGTGTGATTTTGAAGAATTATGTGCTGGCTCTGTTGGACAAGAAACGCGCGCCCTTGATGGAGTTCCACATTCCCGTGGCCGTCTTTATCCGGGGACAGATCGATCAGGCGCACACTGTGGACATGCTGGAACAGCATCTGCGTTGTAGAGGGCCTCCGATGGATGTAGAGCACATTGCGCAGTGTTTGACCATCGGATCGATAGGAGAGCGAAGGCCAAAACAGTGAAAATGGTACAACATTGGCATCGGCGCATCGCTGTGTGCTGATATGATGACATCTCGCATCGGTTAAAAACATTCTGCATAAGTTTCCATAAACTTTGAAAAGTTGAGAATGCATTATGCAACGACTTCCATCAAGTTTTGGGTGATAAAACTCACAACATTAACGGTTGTTCTGCAGTGAAATTGGTTTAAGCCATCAGCTAGGTAATTGCAAATTCTAGAGTACGTCTTGGAAATTTAAAATTATATCAAGTTATGGGTGTAATGTTGATTGTGAATGTGGCACGCGGTTCCGGCTGGCCTGAAGGAGTTTTTGACACTGTTGAGTGCAGACACGAACGCCGTGCACCTGACGAACAGTTCAATTTTCGCGAACACCCAAGCCCTTAGTTGTTATGGATTTTAAGATGTATTATTTTGTTTGAGCGTGATACAAGGCACATATGATACCAAATTTAATTTCCTGTATATTTGTGCAGATTCTGGAAAACTATCAATCCTGCGATCCGCGTCCCTCCGCAGAGTATCGAAGTCACATTTAGACACTGGACAGTATGAACAAAGTGGACGCAGCCAAACTGAACCGAATGTGCCTGTACGCGTTATGGCGCTGCATACAAGACTGGTCTCTGCATGGCGACGCACCAGTTGAGCCATCCAGCGAATCAAGCAGCCGGTACAACAGTGATTACGTCGATCCCGACGACGGCGAGGAGTGAAAGTGTAGACATTTTGATGCAGATTGCCGACTGGTTTAGCTTTAACTTGTTGGCTATACTGAACATTAGAGGCAATGTTTTCTTTTCAACTTATCAACACGAATAAGCCCGAGTTTTCTTCATAAATTTTAAAGCTAGGCAGACTCCACGGGTTTAATTTTTCGTATAGTTCTGCTGTTTTATCCAGTTTGATAAAATCTCCGATATTTTCATTTACGTTCTCTTCACTCCATTCGTGTAAGAGCTTTTATGATTAATGATTAACTAGGAAGTCTTCAGTCGGTTCATAAATTACGACGTACGTACTCTGTAATCGCAGGGCACGGCTGTTTTTTCAGCTTTACCTGAACTAAAATTAATGTGAATTTTGACTTTCGAGCATTGTGGACCGTAATATGAATAACAGCAGTTTCGATTAAATTGTCAACTTCCATACATTGTGGGACGGTGACGTTTAATTTCTTATGCAACGCAGCCACACTGACGCGTTAGCGAAACAACTGTCAAAACACAAGTGGGCTGCAATTACCTGATTCGCCCATGAGACAAACACTATTAAAAAATTTTTACTGCAAGACATTGATTAAATACTAGCAACTACAGTACAAGATAATCGCCACAGCCAAAACCAGCTATTATTATATCTGTAAACGTAATAAACCCCACCACGCAGAGCATCCACTGGATCCAGAATGCCATCCAGAATGATTGCTGCGCAGAGTCAGAAGAAAGTGCAGCGCAATGAGGGACAGTTTCTCCAAGCGCAGATCCTGCAGTCCATCCGTGCACCATTTCTTCCCGCGGTAATGCGATGACGGACGCGGATCCGCGGTGTGTATCGCGCATAACAGCTACCAATGAAAAGAACAGCGCTCGAATAAAAAAGACAGTGTAGTTTCTAATAATTTTCTCTTCAGAACATTCACCAGATTTGCTTACTCTACAGACTGCCCTGCGACCCAGCTCCTGGTCCCCATCCGCAGCGACCTTTGTCAACCACTCCGACAGCGATCGCTTCTCGGCGTCGCCTGGCACCGGCAGCGCCGCCTCCACCGCATCCCACACCGTGGACGCCACATCCCCGTTCAGCGGCAGACGCGTCTTGACCCAGTCAACGCACAGCTGCACATACGACCGACGATCGCCCCAACTCCGCAGCACTTCGTTCAGATCGTAGTCTAGGCCCATGCGGCACCGCACCAGATGGATGACAGCACACGGCAAACCGCGACACGCTGCGATCAAAGTATGGAGATGGCGCGGGAACCGAGGCGGCACCCCCGAGACACTCCAGTCGAACCGGTGCACCTTGCAGACAGAACCGGTAATGCGGACGGATTCCGAAAACTTCGTTACGCCAACCAGATACAGCGCCGTCAGGGAGATCCCAGGGCGGACTCGCGCCAGATAGTGCAGAAAATCTAACACCATCAACAAACGTCCCTTCTCGATGCACTGGCCTCGATCGTGAATGATAACCCGTTTGGTGGAGGGACGCAGGCAGTTAAAGAGGGGCGCCGTGAGAATGTATTCCAGGTCGGGCAAGTCTCGACTGGCAGCGTCCGTTTCGATAATAACGTTGGTTGTCAAGGTAGGCAACTCCAGTACACCGTTCCATGCCGGGCACACCCCACGGAGTTTTGTCTGTGTCAGCGTGTCCAGATGGGCGAACACTTCCTCCCACTCATCGATACCCAGGGCGCAGGATTCATCCCCCGTCCTGCAGATATGCAAGGAATCATCAGGAGCCTCCACTGCACGCAAGATTCTCGGAAGACGATCCATCATGGCCGCGAGCAAAGCCAAAACAATTTTCTGTAACAATCAGCACAAACATTTTGCCAGAAACCGATGAAAAGAAACGGACACTAATGATCACTGGTTAATCATTGCCTAGTTATCGTACCTGAGCCTTGTTTTCGTCTTGCCGCAGCGGAAACCCAACGTCACCATGCAGGTCCACAATGAAATGCAACTGTTCATCCGTGACATCCATGCTGACCAGATGTTTGGAGACCCGTCGCTCATTAGCCTGCATCGTCCTGAACATTTTCAGGAGTTTTGATGCCAGCGTCGCACGACACCCAGCCGGCAACGGCACACTGCGCTTGACGAAGCGTCCCAGTCTAATAGGAGAGAGACGTGTCACCCTGTGCGCCGAATCCGATAACGTAGACTGCTGCTCAAACGGATCCGTCAACCATTTGGCTGACACAGGATAACGAAGGCGGTGCGTGGGTACAAAATCCGTCCAGGTAGCGCCGCTGTCCTCCCGCCCCTGGACGACAGCCACTGTGCAGTACCCCGACGAAAACGAGGGGCTCCGCGCCGGATTCAGCATGGTCCCGGGCCACCAGCGCCACGCCCCACCGGGATGTTCACGGCGAAGCACTTCGATGGGTATCAGTCCCCTCACGCCGTCAGCATATCCCCATTCCTCGAATTTCAAGGGTCTGGACTGGAAGATCCTGTTGAACGGGATGAGTTCGCGTCGACGATCTCGGCACAGCAGATCAATGTACAGTCCGTTGTCCGCCACGTCCACCACGCTGCCAAACAGCAGGACGTTTCCGTCGCCCACTACGTTGATGTCACGGGTCCGTGCCACAAACATGGCTGACGATGCTAGGGGACTATCTGCCAACGCATAATGATGCAATTAAACGCAGACGCTACAGTAAAACAGGCAGACAGGATCCTAGGTTCCTAGTGATTTACAGGATCGTAGAAATGCACTACATTCCTATGTTCAATCATGTAGACCGTTATGGTGCAGAGGGAAAGAGATGAGAGTTCGTTTTAATGTGGTAACACAGAAGGATCTACAGGAAGAATCTACCAGATACCGTCGAGAACAGCACACACTAGACAACGAGCACGCCAACATGTGCAACAAGTTAGCGCTGTTTTTACACGCTAATGACGATATTATCAACGCATCAGTTATCTCACCTCAGAAAAACTGGGAAATCCGAAAACAGGAGATACCGGATATCAGATCACGAGATTCGAGAAACGGAGAAAGATAAGTACTTGTTGTCTTTGCTGACTGTCAGACTGTGAGTAGGTCGGGTTCCTCGATGAACTCGCAGCTCAGTGCGCGTACTGTAAAATAGAAATTTCGCTGTACATCTTGTTGACGTAACCGACCACCCAAAGTGGCTACGCCGTGCGTCGACTACACTGAGCTTACATACGGTAATTTACAGTACGAGTACGAGTACTCGTACTGTATCTTCAAAATCAAACGGTTTACTGTTGATCGAGTCTCTATTAAATTTTCGCTGATTGATCTCTGGATTGTAAACCGTTTACACAGTTAAAGTTTTTTGGAGCGGAGTCCCGTGGGTTCTCTAGAGGTTACCTTTTTCCAAAAGACTTAAAATGGCTTACCCAACCAGTTCAAATAAAACCCATATTGTTAAGAAGCGCTTCAAAAAGTTTTTCCGCCACCAGAGTGATCGCTATGGAAAATTACGGGTATTGCAACTATGGCGACATGCTCATCATGGTTCCCGCCGTCCTGTTTTGAGTAGTTCCTGTTGTTTGAGAATCTGTGGTTGATTAATCTGATGTTATAGCCCGGCTGGAGAAAGCCCCATGGTATTGACAATCGTGTCCGTCGCCGATACAAGGGAACCAACTGCATGCCAAAGATCGGTTATGGCGGTGACAAGCGGACCCGACACGTCCTTCCCAATGGTTGCCGCAAGGTCCTCGTCCGCAATGTTCAGGTAGTTCGCTCGCAACGCTGTTTCTCAATGCCAGATCAACAAGTTAGGGTTTATGATAGGATTTGGAGGTGTTGATGATGAACAACCGGCGGTACTGCGCGGAGATTGCCAGTGGAACATCGGCCAGGAAGTGCGAAGTCATCGTTGCCCGGGCTAAACAGATGAGCATCCGAGTTTCTAATGCTAATGCGCGGTTACGAGCGGAGGAGAATGAATAATTGTCATACTGTCTTTTATGCTCAGTTACCATCGATTTCGTATATTATAAAAAACCGCGTCTTCACTTTGGGTTCTACCGTTCTGTCTGCTGTTCTATTCAGTTGTCAGCCCACGTTTGCCAAATCAGTTTCGGCCAGATTAGTTAACCCTTTTCATTGTTAACTACAAGTACCGTAAATTCCTATATTAACGTAAACTCCGATACTTCCGTTAAAGCCAAGATGATTCAGACAGACTTCCGGTGTTTTTACATGACCAAAACAACAGTACTTCGAGTTGGTAAATTCCCACCAGACTGATCAAACTAAATGACAATAAACGGTTACGACTGCATTAACATGAAAACATTCAGCAAATTGCGGCACACAACAAATCCAGAACATGGAAAACTCCCAATCAACACACAGCAAGAACATAGAAACCCAAAAAAATCCATACAAATTGAAAACATCGTCCTAACCCCCAAGAAAACAATCTCCCTCCATCCACCATTCACACTCTCAGCGATGTCGACGATCGCGGTCTCGGGACCGACTCCGTCGCTCGGCGCCCCGCGAATCCCTCCGATCCCGGTTGGAAGTGCTCGTCGCGGTGGCGCTGCCATGCTTGCGGTCGGGTTCGCGCGTTCTCGACGAACCGGGAGGCGGGGATCGCGAGCGGGAGCGTTTGCTGCGCGGTGGCGAGCGGGAGGTGCGTTTCTCGCGGTGCCGACTGCTGCTGCTGCCGGTGTCCTTCCCGGTGGAGGCGCTGCTCATCAGGGATTTGCGGTACTTCTCCACCTGGCTGCTCATCGACTCGCCAGCGGTGCGTTTCCTTTTGCCGCTCTCCAGCTCGTCCTGGTAGGTCATCACGCGCATCTAAAAAATATTCAAAAAAATAATGGAGAAAAGCTCCACATGCAGATAAAATGCAAATCATTTATTTATGGCATAAAACGAGGACTAAACAACATCAGACGGTAAGGAAAAAGGACTGTGCGATAGTATGCCAACGTAGGCACAAAACGGCCAATAACACAAACTAAGAAAATTAATTAAAAATAAATGGATAACTGAAATGGGAAGATGTATGTAAATACGGATAGCAACAGAAATCTCGATCGTACCTCAATTTCTCGCAGTTTTTCTCTGACTTCGTCGTCCAGTTTCTTCGCCTGAATGGCTTTAGATGATTCGGATTCCTTCGGTGCACCATCGGCTCCTTCCACAAGATCCCATTTGCTCGTCGTGATGGCTGCAATGATAACCTCACAATAATGCAGCAAACACAATTGACAGCTGTCTACTTTGGATTTCACTGCACTTTCAAAGCAAAACCGATCAATTTCGTTATCTAAAGGATAATCATTTGCCTTGCCAAATCCATTATTCGGCAACGCGTTTCCAAACAAATAAATCGTATTATTTAAACCGAGAATCCAGCGGAAATTATGTAAAACTCAAAAAGGACAGGGAATAATATTAATGTAGTAATATGTAAAACTGAAAATTTCCATTTAATGGTTGTTAGACTTGATTATAAACAGGAATGCTACACAACAAATGGTAAAATTTTACTGGTTAATAAGCTATTCACTCGTCAATTAATACTAGATACTATTATTAAATAAAATAGATTTTTACTCAAATGGCGCGTACCCTGGGCTTTCACTTGCTCGGGATCCACAGTCTCCCATCTCGACGGGGCGAAAGCCACCGGGGCCGGCTTGGTGTCGGCGGCTGCCGGCTCTTCCAACGGCGCTCCGTCGACATCTTCATCAACTGTAGAAAATATAAAAGGATGAGTTACTCCAGTCCAAGATTACCAGGCGGCAGGGTCACACCGTACAAATACATAAATCATAAAAAAGGAAAAGCAAAACAAATCTGGTCCTGGCTACCCTAATATTTTCGCTGGTCTCTGGTAACAGTACTGCTGATTAAATCAAAACAGCGGGACGTAATGAAACAATGTCAACAAGCTGCAGAAAAAAACAATGCCGACAACGACAAGTGACTGATTGAAGAGCACAAAAAGGCAGGAACTGCGACATAGATTTGTATTTGTTTATTGTTACCATTGACTCAAACTTACTGGGCACACCGTCCACATCGGCATCCATGTAGCTGGGCACCAGACTGGGCGGCGGTACGGCGGTCAGATTGACGGGTTCCGGCGGCAGTGGCTTGCCGTCGATGCCGCTGCCCTCCTCCACATCCGACCCATCACCGGGCTCCAGACCCAGGAAGACGTTCTGCAGTTTGATCAGATATTTGGGCGGATACAGCGCCCAGTCTTCCCATGCGCGGAAGCAGTTCATCACGCGTTGCTACAACAAAAACCCAAACGTCAGGATTTATCGTCAACAATTACTTAAAATTGTTTGAACAGACACACCGCAATAGCCAGGCTGATATTAACGTTCACAAATACGTCAATCTTGTCACTAACAAGCTCACATTTAAAGTTTAAAATTAAATATTACAAGTACATCCTAATGACATCCATTCATTAATTACATCCATCCTCTTAATTAGATTAGTTCTTTCATTTAAAATTAAAGCGATTATCTGAAATCCATACACAACGAGCAAACAATGTTTAGCAAAATAATACGAACAACAACATTTTTAATCGAAATATCCAATAAATTTTCCATTAATAATTTCGTTCATTGACAGTCAATTTTATTCCATGTACTACTGCGGTAGTGCTGCCTGGGAAGGAATTAAAGCATATTTTCCCGGTAAAAATGTTAAAGATAAATAAAGTAAATACCTTATACTGCTCGGCTTTCAGGCGTCCTTCAATGCTTCTATGGGACTTCTTCAATTGCGTAAAGATGTAAGGAAATTTGTGTTCAAATCTATTGCGCAATCGAAAGCTCGTCAGCATTGTGGGCACGCAATAATCAGTGGGAATCAGGGAAAACAGGATAACGTGATATGTTTTCCCGGTAGTACAATCTGCGACTGTCTTCCAACTGTATCTATCCCAGCTCTGTCTCTTACCCATTCCTATAGTACCAGGCGTTCTGCACGTGGACACTGCTGCAGTTGTGGAGGATGTCGGATATCAGAAACAACTTGGCCACCTAAACACACGCAACCACCACATCAAGAGCGTGTCGTGCAAAATTATAAAAATTTCACGTAATCATTCTGTACGAAATTCGTTCACGTAAAGAACATACATAATTTCGTTACGTATCGACAACAAACAAGTTAGTAGAATCTCAATACAACGTCCTGAAAGCAAGATGTATCTGTGCTGGTATACGCAACAGTACAGTCATAATAAGCATTAAACTATGGAAATGATTTGTGCCGAAAATCCATCTGTGCCAAACTAGAGCCACCAGAATTAACAGGCATAATAATCGTTATTGTTAAAAACCTTTGGAACAGTTTAAAAAAGTTTAACATGCTCCTGCCTCCTGGTCAGTTATAAATGGTCAAACTGAAGACACCCAAAAATTATTCAGTAGATCTTTAAAAACTATTTCCACTACTGAGCGCAGTGAATTACTAGACGTCTACCTTCTTCATGGGCAGGTCATCAGGATGCCCGAGAGAATTTCGGATTTTCCCGATCACCGTCTCCGCGTGCTCGGCGTGGTCAATACAGAACACCATGGCGTCGGCGATGCTATCCCGCGATGGCTCCAATCCATCCAGAATCTTATCCAACAACGTCTGCTCCCTAAAGAACAAATATCCCTTCATTAAATCTCTTATTTATTAATAACTGTTCTTATCATTAATTGTTCTTGTTATTAGTCATTGTCACCAAGTATTATTTATTCACAATGTTAATTATAAATGATAAATCAAATAACTGCTAAATAATGCACAGCCTTACTCGTCACTCATGCCCGTCTTCACCGGCACAGCCTCCTCCACCACGGGCTTCTTCCGTCGTCCCTCGTTCTCCTTGACATACCGCTCCTCGCCCTCATGCCGCACGAGATGCTCCGGCATCCCGGCCGTGTACGGGTTCAACGGCGGCGGCATCCACATGGGGCCGCCCTCGAACATGCGAAACTCCTTCGTCCGCCACTGCGTCGGCGTGTCGCCTTGCAGGATGGAGAAGAGCTTCCAGCGATAGTACACGTGCTCGTTGCAGCGGTTGTCGAAGAGGAAGCGGTACATGGGGTTGCCCTTCTCCCGCTGCATCAGCATGGCCTCGAAGATGGGCCCTTCGCGGACGATGAACTCGATGACGCGGTGGATGATGCCCAGCAGGCTGCGGTCCTGCGGCTGCCATACTTTGACGGTGCTGCGCGATAGGATCTCTTCTAGTTCGGCGGGGGGTAAGGGTGGCCCGTCCTCGTCCAGGGGCAGACGGGCGTCGTCTTCCGGTGTGGGCTGGGCATTAAACGGAAGACCTATGGACGAACAGAAGCAAAAAATGTCATTCAACGGCAAATAAAGTTAGAATTATTTATTTTTTGCAGACCATTTTTCAGTTTTATTATCTACTGCTAAGTGCTGACATTCGTATTAACTTTTCAGTTGAAAAAATTTACAGTTGATTATTATCTGTATAATCTCTACTGTTTTCCAAATTCAATATACCGAATCTAAATCAAAAAATTTGGGTTGAACTTAAAATTTGCTTGGTCACTTGATACATAAAATAGCTGAATGATGTTGCTTTTAACAAATTGTTATTCAAATAAACCTTAAAGATCCTTTGATTATCCAGTCAATGCATTTTTAATTTCTTGTACATTTTACTGAAAGACGGAGAACAGCAAGCATCAAATGTTGCACTGAATTAGATACAAAAACAAACATTCATTCTTCCTTTAATAACATGCTATTCAAAGCCATCACATCGATGCCAAATTCAAACCATCATCATACAACAACCGGAAGTACATTTTTACAGCTTATTTACTACCAAAGTTTACTGCTGTCCGTTTACAATGCCATCAACAGACAAAACACATGAGCCCGCAGACCAATAAAATAAAATCAACAAATAAATGACAATTCGTACCTGAATGCGGCGGCGGCTCCAGTAGTTCAGCCAGTCCCGGGGGAACATAAATGGGAAACGTGGGAATATTGACGGCTTTACCCCAGCCTAATCGCATTTCAAATCCCATCACGTCCTTTCCCCGGAGATACATCAGAGCCCGTTCAGCGTCCACGCGGCACATGAACGCCACGAAGCCACACAACGTGGAGCGGCCTTCAAAAGACAGAAACAAATAATTACGTAATTCGCCAAGGGAAATTACAATAGGGTAATCACAATGACAAAAACAAAACACTCGTAACTCCACAGATAAAAAGAAACGTCTTTACAAAAAATAACCATCGCAACGATTTAAAAAAATGATTAATCGCAACACGCATTTACAGGTCCAGAACGGCAGACTACTCGTTAAACTGACAAAAATCATATCAAAAATCAAAACTTTAGAATACACCATAACAACAATATCTTAAACGATTACGAAAAGTAAATAAAAAAAGAATATTCCACCAAAAGAATTTTATATCTACCAATGAGCACATTTTTTGCTGAAAACTGTATTGAGTTGGCAAACCTTAGAAAAAAAGCAGTGGAAACATGAAAAAACCACCAAAATTAGAATTTCTTCGATTGCATCCAGTCTAAACACCAGGCCCTACAATTCAAGCTAGATCAATCTACATGTTGGCTACCCACCTGCTCGTACTTCTTCCCGATCCTCCCCGCGGGGATACATAATCTTCACACTGGCAATCGGTCCGTAGCGTCCGAAAATATCACACAACTGCTCCTCCGTGATATTAGGCGCGATATTCCCCATGTACAGATTGGTGGAACTGGAGTCCCCGCTCAGATCGTACGTCCCGTCGAACACCCGCAGATCATCATCCAGGAAGGCGGCATGCTGCGACGGCGGCAGGGAGACGGTGGTGCCGAGCTTCGATTCGATCTTGGCGATCTGATCCTTGAGGCGTTTGCGTTCTTCGCGCTCCTGCTGGATCTGCTTCAGCTCCTCTTTGAAGATCTCCAAATTGGATTTCTTCTTGTCTTTGCCTTTTTTCAGTAAGGCGGCGGCTTTGGAGGAGGAGGACGAAGCGGGTGTGTGATGGTGATGGCTGGGTGGGGAACGCTCACGACTGCGCGAACGAGAACGCGAACGATGACGCGATGTTTTGGGTTTGAGATTGTAGATTTTATCTGAGGCACTGCCCGCTGCAATGTCACAAAACACAGCATTTCTGCATCCAGTTTCTTTCTTCTAAATTTATTTATCACCCTGATAGAAATTATGACAATAAAAAAGAGCATCAACTTGTGTATTTATTTATTTTTTATGTATTTCAAACCAAATAAATACCACAACAATCGCAATAAGCTAAATTCATTAAATAAGAAATAGTATAAGACTAAATTAAAATACGGCGAAACAGGATACAGTATATCAAATCCAAAATATACGTTAAATCGGTAAAAATTAATCAAATTAATTATTAATACGAGAAAATTAAATACAGTGAAACAGGATATATCAAATGCGAAAATTAAAAAAAATACGCTAAATCGATAAAACGCAATTAAATTAATGTCAACACGATAAAAATACTGCAAAATACGAAAAAAATAAGTACAACGCGATAAAAATGTACGCATTAAGAAATTAAAATTGTCAGTCAATTTTTAAAGAAATTTAAACAGACACGAAACAGAAAACTGAAAAGTCGAAAAAATCGAAAAACCGATGACTGCATCGCACAATCAGTTACTTACGGCGCAAAAGGTAACTATCGCTGTACATACCATGACTTTCTTCGCCTTTACCGGGAAGTACAACGCCTCCGCGTACAAATGTGGTGAAATTTTTCGTCGGATCGGTTGTCTTCTCAAAAGCCTGCACGAACTCGGAGAAAACCTCCGCTGAACGCTTAAGGTCATCCTTGAGAATGGTAAAGAGTTGAAGGGCATGTCGCACACACGAGTCAAATGTGTTTTTAAGAACTGTCTGACGGACGGATGGAGTTCAGCGAACCCCACATACCTTCTTCTTCAGATCCTCCTGCTCGCGTTTGGAAAGAGGACGTTTCAGCGACGACATGCTGACAGATTATCCGCACGACGCACTTCAGGTTATAAACTCGCAATCAACATGATCAGCTTAAGGAAAAAAACAAAGATTACAATTTACAAATTTTAAAGTGCTAATCTGCAGTCAAACTGCGAAAACGATCAGCGCAACGAAAATCGAAAAAACGGAAACTGACGAGCCTGTTGGTAGAGCTCAAGTTGTCAAGTTTGTTCTAAAAACAGCGAAGATTTGCAATGTCCCTGTACCGAGGCCGCCTATCGTCGAGCTACTTTACAGGGAGCGTATCAGAAACACATGTCGTCTCGTACTTTTTTACGGCTGTTGTACCTTTTCCCTGTGATGATTTCACTGAAACGGCCTTGGTGAACATAAAAATTTCACCGGAAATCAAGTTTACTGTCAAACGGCGCCCGTTGGATTTACGCGCTTGCGAAATTTCATTTCTTTGATAATTTCTTTTGATTCCAATTTCCAGCAGATTACGTATCTTGTTATTATGACTTGATAATGCATTGATTTTTCGCAGTACAGTCACTACAGTGTATTCAAATAATTCGCTTTATTCGTGACAAAGTAATGATCGGAAATATTTCCTATTTCCAATTTCTTTATTGTCAGATATTCACTAATTTATTACGAAGCTTCCTGATTTCTACGCAGCTGTGCGAACAAAATTTGCTAACGATGATTTTTTTCCATTTTTAATCTTCAAACGTTCCACCAGAAAGTGGAATTTTCGTCTCTTCAACTGACATTCCGAACATTCACATAACCTTTTAAAAAAATTAGAAATGATCTGGAATTCCACAAGAATTGAGACCAAAAACACAAAGCGGGTTAAAAGAGTCGCGCAGGAAATTCTCTACCGGAAGTAATCAGCACAAAACCACCGCACAGAGAGCGAACCATCAAATTTGGCTTGAAATAAAAAAAAACAAAAAACAGGAATGAGAAATTCCATGCCCGGGCGCTTTACTTGCCCACGAAGGCGTCCTTGGCATCCCCGATCTTCTCGCCCAGGCTGCGGGCGTCCTTCACTTCCGTGCTCTTGGTGTGCACTTCCTTGCCGTCACGGATCTCGTGCTTCTCCTGTGGAGCAAAAAAAAACAGCAACCGTAAGTTACAGAACAACACAAAACAAATTAACAAAAAATTCTTCCTGAATTTCCAAGCTCCAAAACAAAATCAAAAAAATTGCGGATAAAATACGTGAATTTTTAATAACACACCAACACAGGAAAATTAAGCACTAATTCGAATAATTTTCAAGAAATAATTACGCAAATTCATCAGCTATATTATTACACACATTAATGATTAATGGAATTCGTATAATTTTCCAGAAATAATTACGAAAATTCATAGCTGTATAAAAGATTCAGGATCAAATAACTGAATTCAACCAAGAAATTCGGAAAGATTGATGCAAACAAAAATTCTTGAAGCATTCAACTTTTCGAAAAAAAAGGAAAGGTCACCAATTATTCAAATTTTATCAGAATTAAATTAAAAAAATCACTACATGCTAATGTCCTACTGACTTCGCAAAACCAGATAAATCGTTGAATATTTTACAGGATTAATCACTGCACAATTAGAAAACCAGCAAGCAACTTACATGTTCCTGCTTCTGGAGCTTGTCGGTGGTGTTGAAGGCGGCCTTGGCATCGTCGATCTTCTGGCCCAGGGAACGTCCGTCCTTCACTTCATCGGTAACGACATGCTTCTCGCTTCCGTCAGCATAAACCTTGTGCTCCTCCTGAACAACACGTTGGTTGGCAGACATGGTGATGGGTGAGATACGACTAAAGTCAGGAATTACAGGGAAAAAACGCGGTTATTCACTTGGAAAGTTCACTTCGGAAATTGCAAAAATATCAGATGTGATTTTGAACTCCAAAACCGCTCCGACTTTTATACGTGCAGGCCAAGGAAGGAGGAGACAGATAAGCGGCACGCGTGGAAACAACCGCTGGAATGCGCTGCACGACGGATCAATGATTCCGCGTTTCAATGAATGGGGTTTTACCCACGCTGCGATACGGCATCGCCGTGAATAACTGATAAGCAGCTGTACAATACCGTGAGTCATTCGCAATAAAGAAAGCGGCGCTCGCTGACTTTTGCATAAAACCGGTTTTAAAAGCTCTGCTTCCGTGGTATGTACGTACTCGGATGCACTCGGTGGTAAGCAGCAGTACGACGAGTACTGTACGCTCACTGGTCAGAAGGTACTTACTCAAGGAGACTGTCGAACATGAAAGTAAGTACTACAGTATTTCGGCCCTCAGCAGACAGGTGCGGTCAAATATTCACAGTCCACTTTACAACTGTTGTTCAGTTGTTGTACTTTTATTTTTATTTTTAAACACTCGAGTATGCCATCGTACCATTGCACCGTACTTTGGCACTTTGTACTGTATTTTCACAAGTTTAAGGAACATGGTGGGGGCGTGGCCAGCGTAGCCGGACCGTCGGTCGGCTTTGATCTCAAAGGGGCCGACAACTCGTGTGCGCGGCCCGGCCCCTGGAGCGTTCCTTAAACTTGTGAAAATACAGTACATTAATTTGTACTTTCGACGATGCACAACTAACTGAGAATAATAATTATTAGTTATTTATTGCATTAACGCGTGTGACGCGTAATTTTGTTTCTATCCAATGTTCACTCGAATAACCCAATAAAGTTACTTATCGTTACATTAATATTACTACACTTACGGTTAGTTACTGAAGAGGATTATTAAACTGTTATATCTATATCTTTGTTTTGTTTGTTAACACTCTATCCACGCGGTTTTTCTGTTCCCCATTCATTCATCAGCGCATAAAAATTTAAGTTAATTTGATTGTATTTAAGGAATTCCATTAATTTATCTGTTTTACCTTATTAAAATATTTCGGTAATAAGCGCAGATTAAGATATGAACTTTACAGTATCTTTGCTATCGTGAAATGATGTTGTGTACAATGCAGGTTTAATTAATGGTACAATGGTATGTATTTATAGTTAATGCGAGTGCGTACAATGTAACTATTACAAAGCAAGGATTATGATTACGCTCATACTTTACTGTCATATGTTCTTATAAACTTCGCAGTTACTTACACGGAAAAACGAGATCAGAACACAAATCACTATTTTACTGTAATTATAATTATTATCTACATCTGTAATATGAAATAATAAAATTTAATTTATACGGGGTATGTACTGCACTTACGATTGAGCTCGTATTTACATACGTATTTACATACTGTACCTCAGTACAAAATAAGAGTAAATCAGAACATCAGTACAAATCGTATAGATAGAAGTACTTATTATAAAGCTATGTATTCCTTTCTACAATAATTGTTCCGTTTTAACCTTGAATATCATACTTCTACACTTACAATCGGTTACAATAACAATATAAATGTTTTATCGTATTTATAATTTACGGTATTGATGGCTATAAACAATTCCAAATTTCTTTGTGGCTTTAGTGAGTCATGTGTATTCTATTTACTTTACGTCCGGTTTTGAAAGCTTTACATGACAGAGTTCATGGGAATACGTACCTAGCTAATGGCTAATATCATCAAAAATATGGTTCATACCATTTCGATAATCGTATCATAATTTTTTTTATTAATGTTTCTTTCTCACCACATTCGTTCGTGTAAGCGCACTACGGGCCTACGGTATCAGTATCAATATTTTAAAATCAAACTTGAAGTAGATAAATTGATGTATACCGGTAATTTGGCGGTATACAATGTACGACAAAAAGAGGTCGAACCGATCAGTCGGTCCGCGGTTCAAAATAATCCCATAGACTTAAGCATTGATTGCAAGCCAAACGGTTATGCGCACAGATCCTATGTTGTGCCTACGAGAAAGCAAAATGGCTAGAATTTGTGCTGTTCGCCATAAACAGCCACAGGTTTAGTATCAAAAAGTTTAAAATTTGTTTCTACACCTTTTGATATGCAACTGGTATAGCTGCACTTTGATATTCACGGAGCGCGAGCGTCTGAAAGTAGTGAGTAAGCGTCCAAGTTTTAGTGGTGGCGTGTCGTTGCGAGGTTATTTTGAACCGCGGACCGACTGATCGGTTCAACCTCTTTTTGTCGTACATTGTATTTAGTAATCGTACATAATGCATACTCGATAAGTACTGATTTACTGTTAATAGATTAATAATAATCGCAGTGCCGCCCGCTGGAGGTACTGTAAGGAGAATAGTATAAGTACGAGAACATAAGTTTGTTTTTGAATTTCTTGAAGGGTCATCGTGAAAAACTGCCAAATCTTAGTCATCTATACGAGAATAATCCCCCAGTGTCGACTACAGATATGTAGAGTGATTGTAGACGTTCTATACGGTAGAACAACTGGAAAATTTGCCATCGTGAACTCCTGCAGAATGTATGTACAGTAAATCGTTCATTATGATCGGGTAAATCACTATTTCGTTTGTTCTAGTCGTGCGCCCATTTTTCTGGAACCAGCCTTCACGTATCATACGTGCAAGGTTCGCATTCGTTTTTTAGGGTTACCCACAAACTGACCAGGCCATGAAAATATCGATCGCGACTGACAGATCTGAACTGGTGATGAACCTAGCTCCTGTTGATTATTACCAAACAAATTACGAATACTGAATACATAAGTGTTACGAGCGACATGGCAGATGTTGGACGTCAGCGAGATTTCACATGTACAAGTACAGACACAGACGCACTCATACCAATACCGGCACATATCAAGCCGATCAAGAATTAGGATAGCTGGGAAACGGTTTAGCGTTGTACTTGGACACCATCTCGGAACTGATCACGTACAGCGGACCATTGAACGCCGACGCTGCTGATCCCGCATCCACAGCAGCTGATCCTGGATCGTAATGTGGAACGGCATTCACGACATCTGGATACGTCGGCGGGACATACGGCTCATCGTCGACGTTCTCCTCCTCAACCGGAAGTGGTTTGGGCGTTACCGGCTTCGCATAATTCACGGCGACAGGACGTACCGATGGTGCCGCATACAGGAGCGAAGCATACGGAGCAGGTTTATACGACTCCACGGCAATCGGGGAGTAATATTTGGGTGTATTGAGGTAGCTGGATACCGTCTGGATGCGGTAGACGTCCGATGGGCGGTATCGGTTGGTCACGGGGACAAAAACACTGGGATCGTCGCCGACTTTCACGAGGTATCCGACCAGCGTCTGAGGTCCTAAATTCACCCCGGGATAACGCGCGCTGGTGAGCTGGATAAGCAAACAAACCGCAATGACAGCGAACAGCGACATTGTACAATATTAGTAGAAAACTATATATAATGTAGATTTCACATAATATACATTGTTCAGCTGCCCATCTAGCACATGGATCGATGTTATCGCGACCGAAAAGATTTTGCTATTAAATATCGATGCTGCACTCTGTGGTACTGTGCGGCTTAATTGTAATAATGATTTTCTAGCTTATGACTACGTTGTATGTATTGTACAACTAGTGCAGACTACAATAACCTCATTTACCGGCAATAAAAAACATCTGCTACCCGGTATCAGTCGCATATAATTTATTTAATGTCGAATGTTTCGGTGTGCAGGCGTGGTGCTCGCATAATTACTAGATCATCTACTTCTGATTGGTGAAATTATTCACAAATTATGACGGTTCTGGGCTGTAATAAATAATTGGTACTGCTGACCCAGTGCAATTTCTAGAAACGAAATTAAGCCAGGTCGGGGCACGAAATACTCTGGCCTATCTGGAACATTTTCTGTTCCAGGATAATGGCACTTCTGGGCCAACGTATTGTGGGCCAGATCTGGTTCAGATTCGTGGGAAGAACTTGCCCAGCGTGGCGCTGAAATATTCTGGCCCAGAAAATCGTAGTTCTGGCCCACAAATTAAATAAAGACTTCTTTATTTATTCAATTCAGCCAACAAAATCTAGCGGTGCCGACTGCACAGTTTCTATTGAATCACAAAGGATAATTTTGATAGTAAAGAAATAACCCGCCCAATGAAACAGCTTATGATTTATTCTGTGCTGACCCGCCAGACCGGCAGCAAGTATATGCATGCATGTACTACGCCCGTGTATCCGGTCGAAAAAGTTCCGTAATATAATAATAATAAAATAATAATAATAATAGTCATTATAATGATCATTCACGTTTGCTTGAAACGTATGACACAACGTACGCGCTGCAGATCATTGCGTGTATATCTATATTATTTAAAATATATTAATGAACTATAGTTCTATAAATACAAAGTTGAAACCTGAATTAGCACATTGAAAAAATAAAATATATTCGTAAGCAGTTAAATAAATATCATTATTAAAGCATAATTTACTGAAACATTTCGATGCTATTTGGAAACTGCCAGCCGTGGTAGTTCGCTTTCCCGCGCTTGGAGGCGGTACTACCGTTGCTGTAGATGTCATGATCACATGTACTTATTTGTTGCTCATGCAGCTACAAAGCGCAAATTTATAAATTCTCTTCTTCCACTGCTTTTAAGTTTTACGATATCCTCTGTTTCTCCTTTTAATTATTGTAATCACAAAGGCATTTTAGTGTACATCAGACCTATAAAGACTGCTCCTGGTAGATGGTTCATAGCGCCGCATGTCTTTGTGCTGTTATTTCATGCAGTTTAGCGTTTACTGTTGCAACGGTTCGTGGGCTTTGCCAACTCTGGACTTGCGTCAGCTGTCTGATCGTCGAAAAACTTTTTTCCACCTTGTCGAAACCTCCCATGGTATATGTCCAACAAGAGAAAGAAGTTCCGGAAAATGTGGAAATCATAAGTAACTGATAAACAGGATATTCCCGTACAGGTGCGTGCGTTGCGTTAAAAGTACTTTGAAAGCCATATGCAAACAAATGTGCTGTATATTTTATTTGCATATTGGGAACTTATGTTTCAACTTTTTACTGATAGTTAAATTTCTATTTTTGTTTTATTTTTTAAATGTTTAATTATTGTCGTGCATTATTATGATTTTCTTCGCGTGTACGGTGTATATGTAGGTTCCAGTTCGTGGAGAAAACCCAAATCATTTGTAGGCCCATTTTAATTATTTTCAGAATGCAGTAAATTATTGATTCTAAATAATAAATAATTTTTTATTAACTATTGAGTTGATCAATAAGTTTGTTATTTAATTTCAGGATTTTGCGCATAGATTCTCCATTATCCGATGAAAATTTTTCACGAACTCCTGCCCGCTGCCGTTTATAAACCTACCGAAGCTGCCGAATATTTCCGATGAGAAGAAGTAGCGAGAGAAGCTGTATGCCATCGAGTCGGAGGGCGTTTTCGAACAGAGCTGATGCGGATGTTAATTACGAATTTTTGCGCCGAAATGTTAAGAAATAAATGTAGTTATATATACGCTGTGCATCATGTTTTTATGTTTATGACGTGATTAACGCAGACCTATGATCAGTGCATATGATGCGCTACGTGATCATAAATAAAGCTTAATAGGTTACTTAAATCATGCAAAGCAGCATTCGATTCAAGTAAACATGTAAAATATAAAACGAAAAAGCAACCGCAAATTCAAAGTAATTTTAATGTTTGGACTGGGCCAGAACGCTGCTACATATCGTGTTTAGATAGGCCCAGGCGGAACCAGAACTTGCTCAGAGTGGGTCTACAAATAGGCCTTCCGCCCGTTTGCCGGTAGGCCTGAGCTCTCTGGCCCGCACAATGGCACCTCGGACTTCGTTTGTGGTCCCGAACAGGGGAGTTTGACAGGCCCAAACAACCCCTGTTCGGGTTACAGATTAGCACTGGGGAAGAGTGCACTGCAGCTCTAAAAGCCCAAAACATATGTTCGCGATACAGCGTCCGTTCAACTTTGCATTGCAAGCATGTTGTCCTGTTTCCAAATTAATTAATAATACAGTATGCTTCCTTTCAGGCTTTCATGCAGCTACCTTTACCAACGGTATAATTAAATGTATTTACATGTGTATACTTTTGTTTACGGGTATTACGCATAATCCCCATAAAATATAGAATATTATAAAGGTATTTAGGTGTAAGTACTTTTGTGGAAGAAAATAAAAAATTTTAATTAATGCGTCTTTGGTACTTATTATCAAGAAGAAGGGTAAACCTTTAATAAGTACAAACTATGTACCAAAACAAAACACATTTTAGAAAAGAAAAACTTCCTCTTTGCTATCCTGATCGGGGATCGTACCCGTTACACAAAAAATAAATCATAAGATCAAGAAAAGTAGCTAACATAAGATCTTCTAACAATCTAACATAATCATTTCGTTGGCATTCGAAAGCCACTCATGTATGTACAGTATGTTAATGGTGATTTCCTGGGCTTCACGAATCACTTCCACGAAAACTTCCCATACCCGTACCAAGGATAGGAACGTTGACCTTTTGTGCATACTGGAATTTTTCAGCTGAAAGTGGATGTTAGCCAGCTGTGTCAAACGGGACACTGGTGATGACGATAACCGATGCACAACTCAATTTTCGCTGTAGTGATTAATAGGAAATTTTTAGCGTTGTGTGGACACAAATGATTGCAGTTGCTTATTGCTAGCCTTCATTTGCCAATTTAGCAGTACAGTAGATAGCGCACGGCGACCTTTTATAAACGTCAACCTTTGGTGCGACCGGGAAAAGCGTGTCAGCGGGCTTCGGCTTGTGAATACCGACTAAGATGCGGCTGCGATCACTATGGGGTCCTTGTACAATAGCCAATGACAAACAGGGCAGCGTAATTACTGTCGAAGGCTGAAGCGAACTATGGACATGAGCGTTCTCATTAAAGGACCATGCATTAAGTCCGACTGACTCTGAGAAATGGGAAGGAAAATCCGTTTGCACAAGTTTACCGTTTGCCGTCTCCAGTGCCAGCCCTGGATGACTTCACGTACGCATATGCAGAAAATATTATGAACAGCCTCATTGCCTGCCGCCTGGTACGATCAGAACAGCTGTTTGTGACCTCGCTTCGGTTTTGTAGCATTAGCATAAAGTAGTGTGCTTCCCTAAATTCTAATCCCTACTGGTAGTGTGCATATGTTGAACACTTTAACCAACCAAGCAGAAGTGGCACGATCCGTACAACGTTTCGTTTCTGGCACCAGTGAACTGTTTCGTACGCATTTGCCATCGTAGCCATGTAGTATACCGCGTAGCACGCGGGTTAGTATGCGGCTGACTATGCGACCGACTATGTCGCAAACTTAAATTATTTCGGTAAATCCCATTGGCTCGTAAGCGAGCGGGCTGTCATGTGCCGCCCACTTGAGTTTCTGTACGTACAGGCTAATACTTGCACTCATAGTCTCACAGTCAGCCCCGTAGCAACCACCACTTGTGCAAGCGCAACGTCTGCATTTCGCAGTCTGCGCTCTGCAGTTACACCGTTATAAGCTTTCGAATTTAAAATTTGGAAACTCACAAACAAGGTTTCCTTTTCTACAACTGTCTGCTTACGTGGTACCGTCTCGTGATGTTATAAAATATGGATTTGCTGATAATTCTGGAATTCCTGTTGGCTGTCATCATCAGTTTGGCTTCGAAATTTGGAGTTCTATTCGGAAGGAATATCAGCAATACGGGATCGTCCTTATATGTTCGGGTTTTTAACTACTGTTGAGTTGCAACGTTCAACGGTAATACTTTGGCAATTCCACGACGTAGAGAACATCATTCGAAGTTTGGCGTCAACACGTTAATCGGTATTTATACGCTTATTGGTAATTATTCTATGATTTTCCGGGAATTCCTGTTACACGCTTGCGTGAATGTTGTCAGGACGGGTTCAAGGTCTTGAAAAATTATTAATAATTGTAAAACGTCAATAAGGGTATTTTATGATTTTAACGTCATTAGATGTTTTTGTGAAAATTGTTAGTGCGCGCACATGCTTTTTCAGTAACGGGTAAACTGGCAATTATTGTTTCTTTTTTAACAGGAATTCCATCAACACATTTGGCTCTTGATAGATCGGACTTCAGAGATCGCAGCTTCTGATGAAACATAAATTGTAAGTCAGATTTTTCCGTAAGCTAAATAGTGCAAAAAGAAACAGGCGTAGGTTTACTTTCACCTAAAACAGTTGTATTTAAGATGTGTTTACAAATCCACAGTATACTGAGTGTGCCCTGTTTGTAGACTGCAACGCCAGATCGGGAATTCCTGTTCCAAACTATTTTGGATTTTTATCGAAGCGTCAAAGATTATTCTGAGCTCGCGTTTTTGATTGTGATTTTGATTTCTGCGAAGTGTGAACAGATTCATTTTGGGTAGTAACATTGTTTGTTGCGTTTTGTTATCCTGTCATTGCGTGCAATGCAAAATTTGTTTGACTTTATTGCACTTGTTCTGGAATTCCTGGTTTTAGTACTACGACCGTAATGTGTAGAAGTGATCTTGAAATTAAAATTTCTCGTATTAATGGCTGTCCCAAAAATAAACCAGGAACTCATATAAAACGTCATCATCCAGAGCGGGTGGGAAAATTATGTACTATAAACGCACGAATCGCAGGAAGCATGTAAACGGCATCTGCAAGAATCCAGCCAATGGGACCAGCTGCACTGCCCAATAGCAATTGCATCAGCTCGTCCAATGGGGCAGACGCAATTAACAAGAGCTTGGGCTATGTGCACTAGCCAATCAAATTCGCTTTAAAACGACTCAAGCGGTGTAGTAGTCGGCGAAAGTTGAGTTGGAAATTCCGTTTTGATATCTAGTTAGCGGCATACTATTCGGTAGTTAGCGGTGTAGTTGCTGCGTACTACGCCGCAGTCGGTTTTTCCTATGAGCAATCAGGCTCTTTCGTAACTGCCCTTCCAAATGTCGACCTTTACCCATTACGGTAATGACGCTTTTCATATCGGCCAGCGTACGGATCAGTTGGCGGCCGTTAAGTGCAAACGCTGCTAGACATAACAGGGAAATCGTCGTGCAAAGCTGTGACTGGGTGTTAACGAAGAAGCATAAGAAGCCGCTATCGCAGGCAAAAATGCCCGGTGTGGCGGATGCCGACGGCAGCCAATAGTCACTCCACTCCAGAACCGTTGCTGCCACTTGGACAACACTAGCTAGAATCCAGAATACGCACTGCGCGGCATGCTGATGTACGTGGGGCATCTTTCTCCAGCACATAATTAAGTTAAGTAACTACGTATTAAAACGATCAAAATGATTACTGCAGTGCACACTCCAGGACTCAAGTGCTTTACATGAGCAGTAATGAACTGCTTCCTAAAATTAATAAATTTCAACAAATAGTGAGTGTCTGCTACCAATACTTGATAGTCACATGAAAGGTCACTGATACGAGACAAACTTATTGTTGAATAACATCTGCTGGCCGATGCCTGGTGTTATATACGGTAAATAAAAAATTAATTCATTTAGTACGCATAAAATCAATGCGATAAATAAGGAGTGACCTTTTAATTTCACACGCGTACCTGTTGATCGTTAAAACGTGTCCATTAACGCCTGCTTATGCTCCTTTCGCTTATAAATACCGTATACTTGTATCTCTACTGACGCACCAATAATATTGTTTATGGCTGTATCAATACCTGAATCCAGTAAAGACCGGAAATCCTGGTTCGGTCCATGCAGTTGTGCACCATCACATAAAACGCGTTCACCCTCCTCAGCAAACCGTAAACACTACTCTACGAGTAGGGTTTACAATAGAATACCAAGTAAAAAACCCGACTTCTGGAATGAATTTTAATGAATTAACTACTCTGAGTATTCAGCGCCCATTCATCATATTTCTGCTCATAATCACAACTCATGTCTCATACCCGTACCACTACTCATACCAGTGCTTAGTGTTGCTCAGCGCGAGATCCGACTTTTCGCTGACATAATTCATGCCTAAAAATGTTATGTTATTACTGAAAATCCACCTTTTGAACGAGATTTTATCACAAATTACAATTTTTGATGTTTCCTCGCTGTTCGGTGGGCAAAGAAGGTCACCCCCACTTCGCTAGAGCCCGCATTCGAATTAAAAAGGTCACGCATGCTCTGGAGATATGGAGTATTGTCAAGGGTATTCCGCACCAGAATAAGTTGGAAATTACTCCAGGGGTATCATTTTTGGGCTGTAGGATCAACGAAATTTTATACCAAATTTCAAGAGAGAGGAACTGTTTTAAAATTTCTTGTTTCAAAACTAAGTGAAACTGAAACTTAAATAATAATAGTAGGGAATTTAAAATATGATTCATTTATGGGTGAAAAAAATTTTGAACGTTTGAAAGTTTATCTCAACCCTAGTACGTATGAGCTAGTAGTACGGGTATGAGTTATGATTATGAGCAGAAATATGATGACCGGTAGGAGCAAAGTATGATTATGACATTCATTATGAGTATAATTTACCGATTATGAGTAGGATTAACGACTACCAACTACCTAGCCCGTGAGGCAGTGAGCCGGTTCCGTTATAATTATGCTCTGATAGTTTCGCACGAACACAGTTGCATTATTCTTATAAATGTATGTACTGTGCTGTACGTACTGTGGTTACGCTAATTTTAGACCTCAACCATTCTAAGTAGACCGGCAAAAAGCAGAATGCAAAATTTTTAAAGATTATTTTTTTAACACCCGGGCGTTTTCATTTTTTCTCTTGCGCCTTCTAGGAAAGGCTTTATGTGGGATTAGGATTAGTTTTTGAGTCATGAGGAGGACACAGTTATCCTTTGCAAGGAATGTTTAAGAGAAAATTAAATGGATAGACTCGATTACGATGAATTACAGTGCATTACTAGTATACAAACGCTTTGACAACAATACTAAATAATGAAAATTCATATGAAAAATTCAAATCCAGACGTCGATGTATCGCATTCGTGCATTATCCGCGAAGTGTCGTCTTCGTGTAACAGTAAGTACTTTCGCCGTTTTCATAAATAAAACTGCTATGACGTACAGCATATGCATGCGTGAGTAAGGAGGAAATAAGCTTAAAAATGAATGAAAGAAATTAGCTGCGGAAAACCTTATTACAGCTCTCTGGATCGACTTATTGGTTAATTAGCCGGTTTGAGCAATACGTATGAAGTTAACTTTGTTGATGGGAGCCACCAGAAGCGCACAAATTGTCAATAAGACGCTCTAACCAGCCGCTCTTTTTTTTATGAGATTTTACTAATTGCAGGCACCAACGAGACGAAAGACGTTAAACACCGAGACACCGCCAGATTTGCTAGTGGTGCAAGAACCATAATCATATTTCTATTGCTACGATGATGATAATCAATTTTTACAGTTATCTATCCCAAAGGGTATCGCCCTCCGCCTGCCAGGGGAGCACCAGGTATATAATGGTAGGAGGCGCGTTTGCTTCGCTCCGCCGCGGCCATTCTGTAAGGGCTGTCCGCCGCGGGCATGCCACGCCCGTATGTATACGTAGTCCTCGGCACCGATCATCTGACGAGCAAAGCCAAACTGGTTCGGCTGACTATGCCATTGAGCCAGGCTGCCATGAATAACTCCGACGACGCACACGACCATCAAGCACATGTCGAAATTCGACATTCTGGATTAATTAAGCAACGGTAGTCTGATCCCAACGTAATGCAATCGACAAGAGAACTTTCTGATTCGAAGAACCAACGGGAAATGAAAATACTAGTTTGTCTCACGAACCATCTGCAAATGTGTTTGCATTGATACATGATCTTGGGTTGCTTTACGATTTCCCGTTGCTTGGTTGTTGGTGATAGACGAGTTTTCCCGAGTATACATACATACCACATGCACGCACATACTTACTACATACACATAGTGCTGTACTTACAATTATTAATAATGATCAAGTACGTAGCGTTTAATTTAAATTGTACTTATGCATTGTGTTTTCATTAGAATAATAAAATTATTTTGTCCGGTAATCTGATTTACCGTAATCAAAAAAACTTTTCTGCCGTGGTATGTATGCGTTAAACCGGAATGACACGGCATGCTGTCTTTGGGTTGTTATAATAATTATGGTAACGAGTTTTGGGCTGTAATTTTGCATTATTGTCAGCAGTGGCTATTGCTCAAAGCAGTACGTGCTGAAATAGGGTGTCCGGTCAAATTTGAATGCAGAAAGCGCCTGTGTGCAGTTTGTTAATAACAGAAAACATTACAATATTATTAAATTTTTATTAATTTTTAGGTATACGCATTAAATAAGTTTGAGATCTCTGAAAAGTACTGGTACGTACCGTATGTACATATACGTATGTAACAATATATTTTGACTTATATGAGCATCTATTTTTAAAAACAAAAAACCGATGACATATTGTCAGTGTGTGAATTCAGAAACATACAGTAATGTCTCACGTAAGACTAACACGAACAAACTGTTTCTTCGAGTAGACTGGAATTTACCAGTTGTCGTATCGCGGTTAAGCGGCATTTGTCCAATACCTCACAGGAAATTGGCACGATTAATTACAGTAACTCAGTGAAAATTGTTTGCTGTTGATTAGATTTCTTATGGTTTTCAACAAACTTCAAGAAAAGATTTCGTGTGTAAAGTGGCACTCAGCGTAGTAGCACAAGTTTATTGCCTGTTGCTTATCACAGCTGCTGACTGAGACCGGGTTCTTTCCGCATTTTTGATAGCAACGTTATTTCGACATCTATTCTGGCGGAAACCGCGTTAAACAAGCATGCGACTACCGGTATACATAGTTTGTTCGTTGACGTTGCCCGTAGTTCGTGCGGCTTTGCAAGGCGCCACAGAGAGAACGCAGCGAACTTTCGGTGCTTCAGACTTTACCCGTATTTTCTCCATGGATTCCTTCGAAAGCAAGTCAACGGGCAGTAACTGCCAGTACATGCTGTCTAGCTCGAAGAACTTTTGGCGTGGTGTATCGCGCAAGAATTACGGAACGCGGTGATTTTGTTGCCGAAGACCACTATGTCGCAGTAAAGGTCAATCATTTGGACAGCGAGGCAAAATTGTTCAGCGGTGTCTATACCTACAACTGGTTCAGTCTGATGCAGCCTTGGGAAAAATGTTGGCGTTCAAACAGGATCCTCTGGTCAACTATCATAAAGCCTACATTTTCCGGGGTATCGGTGCACCAGCTATATAGAATTCATGATGGATTTTTGCAATGGTAATTATTATGGTCTCAGACAGTAATGATTATTAATAATGTTGTTTTGTTGTTGTTAATAATCAAACCATTAGGTCTCCACTAAATTATTGTTGAATCTTCAAAGAAGTGACCCGGTACATTGTATCACTTAATATCGTTGTACTTGCACGAGGGCTTTGGCTTTCGCGCAGTCCAAAAATATGATTGGTTTATGACATTTCGTAGCCAAATGTTTTCGTAGGCATTGTTTCACTACTGGGTAGTGCTGTAGGCACTGCAGTGTCTGCAGTGTCTCAGTGCAACATTTTGTCTATCATCCACAAACAGAAAATGCAGTTAACCGGAGTGTCTGCTTTCAGCTTTGAATTTTATTTAGGCGGAGACTTGGTTTCTTTGTTAAAGAAACACAAAAAGGACGGCCCTGTTCTGCATCCATCAACGGTCATCTGTTACGGAGCACAGATTTCGGAAGGTGTCAGGTTTCTGAACCAGAACCACATCATCCATGGTGACTTAAAACCGGGTAACGTCCTCGTCAAGTACCGCAATGACCACCACCACCACCAAATGATGATTGGCGATCTAGACAATTTTGTCCAAATAAAGCGCAGCGTCAACACGTCCAGCATCTCCGTGGTACCATCATGTACATGTCACCCAAAATGCTCAGGAAGTCCTCACTGGTTTTCGAGGACGTGCCGGGACGGACATTTGGAGTCTGGGCTGCATCATCCATGATTTGGCGCACGAATGGCTACGGCATCGCCGAGCGGGTCCTGCACAATACGACGACCGTTGTATCCGATCGCGATGACGTATCACTATCACAGCATACAAGCGCCAGCATGATCGCCGGGAAATTAATCGACAGTTACGTGCCAGTGACAGGGCCTTGATACTGCCGTCTGCTGGTGAAGCTTGTAAATCGGCCGGAATTTGTGAAACAATTTGTTATTAATTTCCCAAACGCGATTTGTAGCAGTTGTACTCCAGGCTTTGAGATTTATATGTTAAATTACTGCCATTCAACCAAAGAGGCTGTAGGCAGTTGTGGATTGTTTAAACCACGTACTTTATTACTTGATAACTAATATTACAGGCTAAAAGAAAAGGTGACCACTCCGTACACACCCTTTCACACCCTTTTACTCCGTACGCAACCTTTTGCACTACCTTTCATTCCGTGCTCAACCTTTTTGCGCTACCTTTCATTCCGTGCACAACCTTTTTGAGCACTACCTTTAACTCCGTACACAACCATTCCCATTTGGCACATCCTTTATCTGCGTGCACAACCTTTTATTTTTTTAATTTATTCCCAGCAAAGTTGTTTCTTGAACTCCCGCGTTTTCGTTAGGAGCAGTTACTGCTGCATATTTCAAAGCATCATCGGCAGTTACAAAATCGAAATCCGGTGAGGAAATAATTCTAGGCGCCCTTGTGCCGGTTTTTCTTCGCAGGGTTCGGAATTTGGACAGTGCTTTCCAAGCTTGAAATAGTGCAATCTTCGCTTTCCGAGCTTGACACAGTGCAAAAGTTGTAAAGAAAACACTCCAGATTACCATAAGTATACTGTATACATAACAGTTATCAAAGAGCTTGAAAGACTCATTGCAGTAAACGTTTAGTAAGACTTTTACTGATCGTTGATTGGTAGTGTACCGAGTGATTGGTAGTGTCAAAGGTTGTGCACGGAATGAAAGGTAGTGCCCGAAAAGGTTGTGCACGGAATGAAAGGTAGTGCAAAAGGTTGTGTACGGAGTAAAAGGGTGTGAAAGGGTGTGTACGGAGTGATCACCAAAAGAAAATGCAGGCAAAAGGTAGAGAAATAAGCACAAATGGTCATTCAATAAGCAACAACAACAAAGACAACTGCACAAAGTTGTTATTAGGCGTATCAATAAAAAAGACTATCCTAATTCAGATCTGTATTGCCACGAATGGGATACACCAGAGCCGGCAAACCAGAAAAGACTGACCAAAACCAGTATTACAATCTGAAAGCCCGTAGTCGAAAACCCGGCCAGATAGTATTCGTTTCTTTCAAAATCTCTCCCGCTTCGAATGCCAAAGCGGAAGAGTTTAGACTACCTTCACCAAATGCAACTAAATTATTGTAATAATAATTATCATCGTAGTACTTTTAACCAGGCTGTGTTGCCATGTAAACCAACTAAAACTTAGCTAAAAAATGAAAGCCATTTCTACTATTTAAATTATCAGAATGAGTTTAATTAACAGACCGTCATTGCGACAAGAACGACTGCATATGTAGGACAAATTATGCCCGAGAGCCGGCCGACCAAGTGACCAAGCTACCGGTACTGTCCAGTGTACGGGACTCGTTAGGTGGGCGGGTGACCGAACTACCGGTGCTGTCCAGCGCAAATAGCCCGTTCGGCAAACGAGCTAGCAGGTGTCAAGTGTAAGGCAAACCAATGACTAAGCTACTCATACTGGCCTGTGCACAGAGCCCGTTAGGCGAACGAGTGACCAAGCTACCGGTTTTGTCCAGTGTAAGGGACCCGTTAGTTATCGAACTTTACACTGATTAAAATAGTTGAGTCACCCGCTCACCTATAGGTGAGCGGGTGACCGAGCTACCGGTACTGTCCAGTGTACAGAGACCGTGAGGCGAACGAGTAACCAAATCCGTTTCTTGCGCTAATACGATGTACCGATTATGTTTCGACGAAATATGTTATTCTAAAGGATATTTATTGAAAACTAAATAAAGTGGCCGTTGACCACAAGAAACGCTGAGGCGAAGCCGAGGCAGTTTCTTGTAACTATAATGGCTAAAAGGTTATTCAGACTGAAAGTCACTCCCGAAAATGCCTCAAACAGCATTGCATTCCTGTTCCGGCCCACTTGGTAAAGCGCAATTATTTGCAATGCTTATTAAACTGCTTTACAATTTTCTCGACTGTGTCTGTGCTAACTCCAAATGTTTGAGCCACTTCCTGACGGGTTTTCCCTTCCGCACATCGTTCAATAATGCTTTTTGCGCGCGCATCGGGTTGTGGGTCCTGCAGAAACAAACAGGCTTCAAAGTTGATAGTAGCTTGTGATAGTGCAAATCGTGGTCCTCACGGTTTTTTTGCCGGTATCCTTGTTTTTGGCCGACTCCGTTTGGACAATCTGAACAAGCAGACGTGTTAAATGGTAGAAAATCAGGTTTACCACCGTACAGTTACCGTAATCTAGTCCGTGCCAAAATACACATAATCAGGGTTCGACAGCTGCCTATGAGCTTACCATGGCCAAGACGACCATCAGGAGAACACAAGTTAGGCGTAAATAGTTCATCTCGTTGGTAAAATTATTGTGCGCAGATTAACTGTGTCTCCCAGAATTCTGCACGAGATAGACTTTTAAATTAAGAAAGCCGCACTTGTCTCGATGTTTGACTGTCGTGTGTTTAAATCAAAGGGCTTTCTTACAACACTTCGTTCGCAGTTTCTGATGCATTCGGTTATTTGTGATATTGCACCGCTGTTCCGTTTTTTTATTGCCTCCATCACACAGATTTATTACATCCGTGTTTTTTCTGCTCAAACTTTAGCTAGCGGCTGTTTTTTTGCGCTCTGTTGGTAATGCAGTAAACCTAGTGACAAGAGCACACGATAGCGTGCTTGTTTAACGTTTTAACACTTATTAAAGCACTGGTTATCAAACAAAATATTTGGTAAAAGGTAGGAAATACTAGAAGTCGGTTACTTTGAGTCTTCGACGATATAAGTAAACATCCTCCGGAGGATGTTTACTTATATTTACCAAATTCCAATAATACTTCGTTTTTTTTCTTCGGTAATTATTTCGTTCGCTTGACGTACCATACGTTAATACTGTATCTCTTGATTTCTGTGCCTCTACAAATATGTCTGTCTGACTCTGTTGTATAACTTGTGTTTTCTAGCTGGACTGCTGGATCTTACCGAAGAAAAAAAACGAAGTATTATTGGAATTTGGAAATACGTGCCATCTAACGTTTATTAGCAAACGAGGATGTTGATGAAAAAAAAGGAAAACACTGACAGCGGGCGCATCCTGTTGACAATATCAGACATAAAACATACAAACATGCACAGACAAACACAAAGCCGCAGATCATTTACTCGGCTACCAAAAAGTAAACCATTTCTCCTGAATCTGCGAGGGGGCGATTGTTTGGGTTCAAAACAATTATTAACTTTGTGCAGTAGATTAGTAAATGGAATTTGAGTGGGCGGAGAAAGTTGCGGTAGTCAGCGCAGTCAATCCATTATCAACTCGCACTGAAGTATGTATCTGCACTTTGCCAAGAGCGATTGTGTGCCTTCGGTTACGCAATGGCGGGGTTATACAAGGTTGTGGTCTTAATTTAAAACCAAGTATCTGTTTCTGGATGACCGGAAGTTTTTGTTCAACACTGAAATTGTTTTCTACTGATTCGCAAGCGTAGCCGCGTAGCCACATACGACGTCCATTCCGTTCCCTTTGCAAGAAGCCGGCTTTTATATGAGTACCTATCTTAAATATGAAAAAAAAACCGATGACATACTATGAATGTGCGAATTCATTAATATAACTTCACTCGTAAAACAAACACCAACAAAATGTTTCTTCGAGTAAATTATAGTTTGTCAGTTGCCGTATCGCGGTTAAGCGGTATTTGTCCAATACCTCACGGGAAACTGGCACGGTTGATTAACTCAATGAAAATTGTTTGCTGTTGATTAGATGTGGCTGCTGGTTTAGATCAGCTTCAGGAAAAGACTGCGCTTTGTAAAGTGGCACGACAGCGTAATAGGACAAGTTTATCGCCTGTTGCTTATCACAGCTGATGACTGAGACCGGGTTCTTTCCGCATTTTTGATAGCAACGTTACTTTGACATCTATTCTGGCGGAAATCCGCGTTGATTAAGCATACCATGCCGGTATAGCTTGCTCGTTGACGTTGCCCGTAGTTCGTGCGGCTTTGCAAGGTGCCACAAGCACAAAGAGAACGCAGTGAACCTTCGGCTTGAGACTTACCCGTGTTTTCCTCATGGACCCCTTCGACAGCAAGTCATTAGGCAGTAACTGTCAGTACTACTACGACCATACATGCTATCTCGCTCGAGGAACTTTTGGCGTGGTGTATCGCGCAAGAATTACGGAACGCGGGGATTTTGCAGCCGAAGACCACCATGTCGCAGTAAAGGTCAGCCATTTGGACAGCGAGCCGGAATTGTTCGGCGGGGTCAACAGCTGGTTCAGTCTGATGCGGCGTTGGGAAAAAATGTTGGCGTTCAAACACGATCATCTGGTCAACTACCATAAAGTCTCCATTTTCCGGGGTATCGGTGCACCAGCTATTGAATTCATGATGGATTTTTGCAATGGTAAATTGGTAATTATGTATTATGGTCTCACACACTAAAGACTATCATGTTGTTTTGAAAATCAAACCATTAGCTCTGCACTAAATTATTGCTAAATCTTCAGAGAAGTGACCCGGTACATGATATCATTTATTACCGTAGGTGTGCTTGCACTAGGGCTTTGGCTTTCGCGCAGTCCAGAAATATGACATCTCGTAGCCAAATGTTTTCGTAGGAAAATGTCTGCAGTGTTTCAATGCGGCATCGTGTCTATCGTCCACAAGCTGAAAATGCTGTTGACCGGAATGTCTGCTTTAAACTTTGAATTTGGTTTAGGCGGAGACCTGGTTTCATTGTTAAAGAAACACAAAAAGGACGGCCCTGTTCTGCATCCATCAACGGTCATCTGTTACGGAGCACAGATTTCGGAAGGTGTCAGGTTTCTGGACCAGAACCACATCATCCATGGCGACCTAAAACCGGGTAATGTCCTCGTCAAGTACCGCAATAACCACCACCACCAAATGATGATCGGGGATCTGGATGATCTCGTCCAAATGCAGCGCACCGTCACCACGTCCTCCGACATCGAGCATCTGCGTGGTACCATCATGTACATGTCACCCGAAATGCTCAGGAAATTCTCACTGGTTACCGAGGACGTGCCGGGACGGAAGACGGACATCTGGAGTCTAGGCTGCATCACCCACGATTTGGCTGACGAGTGCTACGGCATCGCCGAGCGGGTCCTGCACAATACGGCGACCGTGGTACCCGATTATGTATCACTATCACAACATACGAGCGCCAGTATGATCGCAGGGAAAATCATCGACGGTTATGTGCCGCTCGTCAGCGACAAAGTTCCTCTCGTATTTTCTGGCGTGATACAGAAATGTTTTGTTATCGAAAGCAAGGAAAGACCATCTGCTGGTGTTTTAAAGAGCATGCTATTCGAAGCAGCGACACAGTTGGTGTCGACTCATTCGGCTGAAATTACGGGCATACCAGAGAACTGCAAATTCCGGCACTCGTTTTTACTCCATACAACCAGTACGGATGCTATTCTTCCCACCATACACCACGAGATGAGTGAGTTATCCTTCTTTCCAACAAATTCTGCTTTTGATAACAGTGCAGTCCAAAATTCCCTCCAAGATCCTGGTGCAGTTAAATTGTCATCCCCGCCAGTTGTTACGGTACGACGAGCTCACAGTGATCGTGGCCGCTCATTCGTCAGCCACTGTGTCGACAAACTGAAGAGTTCAGCACATTCTGACCATCCGGTTTCACAGCATACTGTGTTGTCGAGTCAAGTGTTGTCGAGTCAACTTGGCGCCTTTTCGTACAGTGAGTTATACGCTAAGCGGATACGACTCACTGTAAAAAAGGGTGCCAAGTTGACTCGACAACACAGTACTGATTTTTATAGCGGTCGTCGTGGATCTTTAGTGAGCCACTGTCTGGCAAGAATGAAGGCAGGTACCAAGCATTCAGACTTCAACAGCAATGGACACTTGCTAACTTTACCGACACAGCGTTTGTCGTCATCTTTGTCCAGTCTGCCAGTACCAAGCTCGAATTTTGGTTCAACTACTCCAGTTTATGAAAAAGGTCAGGATGTTCATCTTTATGGTACGGATTCGGCCGTCCACCGAAACGCTCAAGAAAATGTGCCGTGGCAGCAGAATGCGAACGAAGGGCTGGCAGAACCACCACAATCTTCGTCTCCATTGATCGACGGCTCAAAGGAAGCCGGACAGTTTTTCTTTACTAGCAGCATTACGAAAATGAAGTCGACAATTCTGGGGCATGCTGCCGGACACTACCAACCCTTGCGCTTGAGCGCTATCAGTAATACCCTGCAAAGAGGGTCTGCTGCCGTTGCGCGTCTCTTTACTCAGGAAAGCCAAAGCACTATACAGGGAGCATTCGCTGAGCAGAATAAGACATTTCACGAGCGAAACAACGCTCTGGCAAATGATAGCGGGAGGGTACTGTCGTTTGATATGGCCTTGGCTGATTAATTGGCGCTTGTTTAGTCAGCTTTAGTGCTTGCGATAAGAAAGATCGTTTTTCTTATATATTTTTACCGACTGTTTATTTCAGTGAATAATATGCGAAAGTTTTGAAAGCTCTCTGAAGAAAAAACAAAAACGACGGAAACAAAAGCCACAATTACAGATCTCAACATGCTGGTACTTTTCACACGTTTTTTAATTTGCAAATTGACCGAAATTCCACCATTTTTGCAAATGCTAAAATGACCTCAGGTTTCTGAAATCCATCTTAAAATTTGAAAACATGCCAAAAGCTTGGTTTGGTGTGCAAGCAATGTTCATAGTTACGTACGTCTTCGTGCAAAATTTGACAGATAGCTAGCTACTTTCATTGTCAAGGTCCGGTTGAAGAGGTATGAGTGAGACCGTATTGGTTCACTCATAACTCTTCTACCGGACCTTATGCGCACAAACGGTTGCATGCCAAAGTACTCGTACGGACCTAAATTAACTGAACATGAAAATAATGATATTATCATTCGTCCACAGAAGTGATAGAACAATTCACGAACGTGTTTAGGAGTGCGCGCGTATGCACTCTAATAATATGATACTAGTGTCATACTACCAGTATGTACCGACACACTTTCTTAGTACATATACAGAGTAGATATGTCTATGTATACATGTGTAATGATAAACAAGTTCAAGAACGGAAGACACAGATGTCTTTCTAAGGTTAGATGTTAGGGTAGGTATTAATGAAAATAAAACCCGGACCACGTAATAACTACAATTCCGACTTTTTATTATCTGATAGCGGCACATCTGTACTTCGTTACCGCCAAACCACAAGTGCAGTATTTCACCCGCAAAAAATCCAATGTGGATGAGTTGCGGTAATTAAGAGGCGTTCTCCGCGCCCCCATGATATTGAGCCAACATCAGAACCCGTGCAGTTACGGTGCAGTACCCACAACAAACTGTAATTGAAACCCGGCCGTGGCGTGTCTGTCCAATAGCAGCGTGTCCGATCAATTGTAAAATAATCATTCATTTCCGCTCCATCCATCATGAACATCCTCTCGAACGGTGCAAATCATTTATCGATATTATGCTACTGCTGCGCCGATCGCGTCCCATTCCCCTTTTCTTGGGCTTGTCAAGACTGAAGACAGCCATTGCACAGGCAGCTTAACCACAATCTACCCGGCATAATCCCCCGCGCGAATCTCAAGCGGACCGTTATAGCGTGCAGAACCACAACACACGATCGATGGTACATATGTGAATCTGCAGGAAAAATAATCGGGCAGTCTGACATTTTTTTTCAGCCGGGGATTATTGTGACTGGCAGCTATGTGTCTGAATGTTCAGTGTAGATAATGAAGAAGCAGACAAATTGCCCGGCTCAACAGCCACTTTGTACGCTAGCGCGCACGGGCTGGTGTTATGAGAAATAACAATTCCATTAGAGCGTTTAGCGTCCCGCTTAACTTTAACTAAACATTCCCGACGTTTTATTAATCGATCAGTGCTTTTTCATTTAGCGACAATTAAGCTCCTTTTCTAACAATCAATATCCACATGTCTCACTGAAAAATTTTCTACTGTATATTCAAAGCCGAAAACAACATCATGCGATTCGACGAAATTTGAGAAAATTAGCTACGGTTAATTAGCGCCCTTTTCAAATCAATCACTGTATTTCCATTTACTGACAATTAGGCGATTTTTCTGGCATTCAAAGTCCACATGTCTTAGCATACAAGTTCACGATTCGTTGCCAAAACAATATCGCGTGATTGGACGAAATTCGAGCAGGTTAGCGACAGTTGACCTTTTCTCTTTTACAACTTGTCCGCCATCCGGAAACGCAACATAAAGCTTTACAGCACAACCGGCGTTAAAATCAAGAGAATTTATTTTAACCAGTAAAACGATGCCGGTTGTAATGCGAACGTGGTCATAAAGCGGCAGCAGCGTCTCCGCTAATAAAAAGCAGGAGATGCCGGTTGTGGCCGCGGGGTCTGTTTATTGTCAAATCGGGCCCAAGCTGACAACAATCAGGCGCGCGCGCGCACTCGGTTGACGTCACCGGTTGGTCGTGCTCCGTTAGAGCGTCCGTACACGGTGCACAGTGCAATTGCCGTTTGCTGTGCGTTTCCGGGGTAGAAAACGCGGCACAGACCGAGGAAGATGCACACGCGCACCACACACTCTTTCCGGATGGATGGCACAGCGTAAAGGGCAATATAAAGCCCGTTCAGGCCCGATTGCCGATATATATATGCCCGCGACTGGTTGATTGTTGGCGGCGGTCGGTTGTTGTTGAGCGGCAGCGGCGATTATTTAAAGCCAACCGTCGAAAGGTTTATTGGCCGTGGCAAGAATTGCCGGCTGAATGATGTTTGATGCCTGGATTATGTTGTGGTGTGGTCTGATCTTCTGACAGGGATCAATATATACATAACAGATACACGGTACGTGGAATTATTGTTTCACCCCGGCTTTTCGAATTATTATCTTCATGTATAATTGCGTAGTATGATGTTTCGGTAAAGCTAGCAGAACAAAGCATATGAGCATTAAAATTAATAATTATGTCTATTGCGTTATTTATGCACGGGATTATATGACAAATTGGCAAATATGCTCGTTAATAATTCTTTTAGTAAGTACTACGGGTAGGTTGCTTGGGACAAACGTATGGCAGATACCGTTATTACCGGAAGCTGGCGTGCTGCGTGTCTATTGAATACAAACGCCATTCAAATTTCCAAAGCGATTACAGTACTTTAACTGGAATGTGTCAAAACACTTTTTGAGCGTCGTTTATTAAAGCAATAAAAAGAATAAGTTATGCAACAGCATGCGCATGTATATATGCGCATCTTGCCCTAAATGTTCAACAGCTGTTTTAAACTGTTGGAAGTTAAGCATAAATTTTTTAGCGAATGTTCGTTTATACGTATGTATGTTCTACTGTTTTTGGAAAAAAACTTTTGTTTTTGGATTTTTGCTTTTTATTTTTTCTGTTTATTCCTTTTTATATTTTTTGCTTTTAACATTTTTTGTCGTACTACATTTTTATTGTTATAGGTCAAAGATTCGCAGTCGCTGTTGTTGTGCTTTTTCGCCTATTTCTAAATTTATAATTCCGAGCGGCAGACTGAAAAACAAAGCTTGACATTCAAGTTCAGCTGATATACAGTGACACAGCACAACACAGCATCAGCGGAAATGAATAAGTTATAATTCCAACTGGCACACGTAATGGTGTGATTGTTCAACAGTAGTTGAATAGACCCGCGTAATTGTGGTACGCGCTTCCGCTGCTGCCACTACAGGGTCCCAGTTTAGCGTTTGTCTTCATTAGTGTGATTGCGCGCGCGCACCAAGGACATCTCCCGGCCGTTGTATGGATAATTGATTAGGTTGACGCGGACCAGTCCGCTGGTTAATTTATGCATGTCACATCCGATGGGAGACTCTCCAGCATACACACAAACACGGGTTCCTTCCGTTACCATCAAGAAATTTACACAGCACTGTGCTGTAGAAAACCCGGCAAATGAGATTTTCCGCTCAATTTACGCATAGACAACTGATCAGTCGGTGATTATTAGATTATACCCGGCTTTACAAGTGGGACACCCGGGAAAAAAAGCCACTGCTGCGGCTTGTCAAGTGGACAGTATACACTGTACCATAACTTGACGAGGAGGAAAAAATAATTTTTATTTACAGTGTTTAGTGCATTGAACTGTTTACGGTGATGAAGCAGCTAATGGGCGTTTAGAGGGTGTATAAACTGCTGACGCATACGCATTGAGCATCTGCCGGCATTCGCACAATTTTCATCGGGGCGCATTATCTTTTGTTGAACAAGGGCCGCGCGCGTTTGCCCGTGGAGTGCCACTTGTGGCCGGCATCCCCGAGTGCCACTTGCAAGACAAAGTCTCGTTGTCTAATTACCCATACGCCGGCTTGCGTATATACCGATAAATGTATGTATACAATGGTCCCATGATAGGCATTTAAATATTTTTCACGGTTTAGAACCATCAGTGTATCTGTCAATTTGCATATGGGGAATTTATATAAATCGTTAAATAAACAGAGAGGAATAATTCTCCATGATGATATATGTATATGGCTGGCGATGGTGATCACGCGGGAAGACGATCATGGCACAGCGGGAGAAACTCAATAAACCAGAGATTTATGGCCAGCGCCGCGCTGAGTGCTGCACACAGCGGGGATCCAGGATACTGCACGCGGAACAGAAATTGAGAGTTATTTTTTGACCGGATATTGATTCCGGGCTCATCATCCTGAATATGCTAATGTCGTAATAAAATCATAAAGAAAAAGGTCACATGAGAATACAATAATAAGTATTACGGTTTACATAATGAATTCCCTGTGTATATGCACTGTCTGTTATACATAATATTGATCAAAATTTTATTTGTTTCGTGATTTGATTTTCTCAGTCTGATTTATTTCATTCGTGTATTTTATTTTATTATTTCATGATGATAAAGCATCGAAGAATAATTTTGTAATTCTATGGCCCAGTTTGATCATCACACATTGAACGGCTAGAAAAGTGTATACTGCCTAATTTTAATGGATATTTTGCCCATAAAGCTAATTCTTTGTTCGAACCCAGTACCGATCCAACAAATATTTATTTATCTGCAGTGTTTGTACTCCTGTTGCAGAGTGTTTGTTAAATTTATCAAAAAATTTCCGAGCCGCGCATATGCTGGCCATTTTCAACGTTTTTAGCCCTACTGTGTACTGAATGCCGATTTGTACAGATAAAATATTTGCTTTTGCAAACGTTATTGCAAAAATAAATATTTTCTTTTTTTGCAAATGTTATTGGCTACTACAGATATATAATTTACCATTTTTCATTATAAGCGTGTTTCCTAGTTTAAGCGCTCACCATGCTTTGAGCATTTTAAAACTAGTAGAAAATATTCAGGCGTAATACGTACGAACAATTTTATCGGTACAGATACATTGGTAGTCGTAAGACTCGTAACGGCAGATGCACGCAGACGAGGCCGGTGTAAAAGAGAGGAAATTTGTGGCACAAATTTCCGCTCATGTAAGATCGTCGATAAACCGATCAACTAGTTTATTTATGGATTCCAAAATTAGTCACATAAACATTACACATGCGCTTCAATAATATTAATAATAAGATAGGGCAAAATCGCGCTGAGTGATTCAGACACACTTGTTGTCTCTTTCTCTTGTCTCTTGTTGTATGCAGTAAAATTCGCAGAGTATTAATGTGTTGTTAAGTCCACTTGTTGTTGAGTTATTTTTGCTATTTAATTAATGACGTCGGCCAGAAGAAAGAAATAATAACGTTAATATCTGATTTGTTGTAGATTCATAATTAAACAGTTTCTTGAATGCGTGACCTCATGGAGCCCAGTGTGCGCTACTACACATCGCAGAGCTCCACGGGAAATATCCCAACATACACATCGCGCACCAATCCCAACCGTTCCTCCATCCAAAGGTCAGTCCATGTACCGTGCTCGCAGATTTCGCCGACTTCTCATTACCGTGATGACATTGATCATTAAACATTGATTACCCATTGCGCACTCTTTCCCCGGCAAGATCTGACTATATAAGAGCAATCTTCCCCACAGGAAAGGCTCACAGCGGGAAGAATCACAGCGCTACTTAAACACGGGGAATGGATATATCGGCCAGCAGCAGCAGACATCGCGCAGCCAGGAAGATATTCGCTATATAACGAGCGGGGGCTCCATTAGTCCGTCGCGCCGCAGTCCCCAACCTTCTCCGACGAGGTAAGGCGGCATTATGCATGCGCTGACCTTTTCAACGGCGGGGAACACGGGGAAAATATTTGTTTAACGATCTTTGTAGTCTTGCTCAACGCCGGATTGCCCATCAGCTGAAACTAATGGCGGAGGAGGAACAAGCCTTAAACAGCACCGATGACGGTAAGTAATAAGTTGCGCCATACACTGCTTCTACTTTGAAGCGTGTCGGTTTTATTAAATATACTTTCTTCTTTATGTGTTTTATATAAAAACTTTATGTCGTTCTTGTAACAGTTTTTGTGTTTGTATTTTTGGTCCTAACAATTTATCACAGGAATTTGAAGATTACAATAATTATGCACCAGGCAGATTTTTCTTGGCTTAGTATTATAAGAACCGATCATCGAAAATCGATTGCATAATATTTACGTATCAAACTCACAGCGCGCCCACAGTAAACACAAGACCGATTGCGACAAGCTGTTTTGATAAAATGAATAACGAAACTCCGTTCCATATTTGCATAAAAGCGTCTTTTAAGAAAGGTCACCAAGATGTTTTCCGACGCGCTTTCTTCTATCAGCTAAAAATAGCAATCCAATTTTTGACAAGTTACTTAATAAAATGAATAAGAAAATTTGTCTCATATTTGCATGAAAGCTTGCTTTTAAAAAAAGGTCATCACGATGCTACCCGCTCACTTACTGTTATAAGCTAAAAATGGCAAATGACAGGATGCGGCGAATCATGAGCAAAACGCCATAATATTTCCTGTTACCGTCCTTTGCAGAATTCGACTTCATGGCCAGCCGGCATCGGCCCCGAGGCCGCAGTGATTCCCAGTCCAACGCTAATTACCATCCGGCCTTCACTGGAGTGGACGCCACTACCGCCGCATCCAGCAATTCAACGGCCGGCCGCTACCGGGTAAGATGCGCGCGCGTCTATACGGTAATTGCCAATTACCGCCGGCTTATTACAGCGCTCTCCAGCGCTGCAAGAGATGATTGGCTTGGCGTGTTAACCAGAATGAGCAGCGCTTGCGTGATGAGCACACATCAGGCAATTACATTTACTTGTACAAAAATACCGGGATTAGCCATTAAAGCCTCTTGCGGCAATCTGCGCTGCAAGCTTCCATCGTAAAAGGTCACATTCTAATAAAATGCAAATTGCGCGTCTTGATCTGCATGATGAATTTTTTGATGTGCGCCTATTGTATCCCGTCATACAACAGTGTCATGATTGGATAGAACGATAACCGGGAAAGACATTATTTCTGACGTTTCCGCTAAATTAAACCCACACAATTTGTTGTGGTCATGAAGAGACGCGCGACGGCTGCGATCGATTAATAGGCGGCAGATTTTATTCTCAGTAAAGCTAAACTAATTTCCTGATTGATTTAACGATGCTGGGCTCGCGAGCGAGCGTCCGCAGTGGCAATGAATTCTAATCAACGCGGAATGTATAAATATTTTACAACTTTTCCCATTTCCCCAAACGTGAAGTTAGCGAATACGAATAGCCCGGTTTACGACGAACCGGGGTTGATTGCACCCGGGATCATTATTTGCCACGGCAACAAATTAACTGCATTGACCTTGGTTAACACGGAAGCGGCGCTCGAATGGCTTATGCAGCACTTTCGTGGGAGCCTTTAGCTATGTAATGTGGGGTCACCCAAGCAGCTATTATTGCGATTCCATAAACCAGGAACGCATCGAATCCCAGGCTCAGTTTAGTCGGCGTTTAGACTGCCCTGTTTTACGTTCGGCTTACGTTGCATATTTCTGTATATCGTGAAGGCAGTTTGACTGGTTTTGCGCCACCGGGGCTTAAAACGATGTAACTTCGCTTTAGATTTTAGCAAAGGCAGTAGAAAGATTGTTTAATAAATCTCAGCAGAAAAATTTTTTTTGTACAAACATTTGAGACGGAAAGAAGTTAAACTGTTCGAAATTTTCAAGGAAAGAGCTCGACGCTGCCACACTGGGCGGTTGTCACTGCTTCAAGCACCGGAAGTCCTTGATTTCCTTCGTTAAATTTTTAGGTTGGTGGTTTCCGTGAAATATGAATGATGCAGTTTAGAAATAGGATTGCCGGCTTCTGATAAATTTGCACAGTCATTCTTCACTCATATGGCAAGCTGTAACAAGAACAGAACATGGCGGCGAACACATTAGACATAATCCGTGTTAACATTTGCAGATTTTAACGGATTCCACGCAGCGCCCGAAGATGCGAACGGAACAGCGGCGTGCCAGTTATTCCGAGGTCAACCTGCACCGGCCGCCGGTCAGGGACCATCGTGCCCCCTCTCCGAATAACCGCCGTACCACGCAGCTACAGCAGTTGTATCTTGGCGGTAACGATACAGTGCGGGATTTCAATCAGAATTCCGGTAATACCACAACGACGAATTATCCACAGAACTCAGCGCGGAATCATCGCAATTCCACCGGCGAGGTACACCATCGCCAGTTGCCCACGCCTCCTTCGCCGCACGATCGCCGGCTGATTGGGGGGAAGATTGGTGGAACGGGACAGTATGACAGTATTTGTACATCGGGTGGAAATAGACGAGAGTTCTATTATGAATATGGAGGCTATTAATTAATTTCTGGTTTTGTGTATTCAATGGTGTTATGTATTACTGTATAGGCATTCTTCGTATGTTATAATAATACTATATTACTCGGCTTCTTGTTGATGGTTGGCGTTAATAATGATTGTTTATTTCGTAAAATTTGCAAGTTGTACGAACAAGTAGGTTTATGCGTGGTGCGGCTCTTTCTAATGTGGCAAACGCTGGTTAACAAGAAGATTCAGTACGATTATTCTGTAATTTGTGCCTTTAATTTGTCTTACATAGTTAATCTTTACGATACTCAACGGTAATATTGGCGGCATCCATAAAAAACTTTCAAAAAAGTTTCCAGAGAGGCATCACAATTCAAAGTTGTGCTGGTAAAGCTTTGATAAACGCAGGAGCGCAATATATTATAAGAGATCTTCCAAACACAGTATGTAAGAGAATTGTTTTTAGAATGTTAAATTTTGGACTCTGTTACTGCCCTGCAAACAGTGGCACCGAAAAAATTACGGTAAGTTGAATTAAATTACCGACTGGCTGGAACGGAAGACGATACTGGTCAAAAGCGGGCAGAATAACATCGTGTATGCCCTGGACCATTACCCTAATCATTGACGGTTCTCCATCGCCGTTTGCGGAAGCATGCAACGAACTGGAAGCCGGCTGCCAACGTCTGCAAAACCAACCAGCTTTAACATTCTTACCGGAAATCCATATTTACATCGCAAACCGTATGGTTTTTCCGGCGAAGTGACGATTGTGTTTGTGTAAACAATATAAGAAAGGTATTCAAAACTAAGACCAATAACGGGCAAATAGAACACCGTTAGTAAACGTGATTTAACCGGTTCCGTAAAAAATCGGTTCCGATCTGTAACCGAATAAGAACACCGCATGGGGAGTCGACCAGGGATTTTCCATAGTTACGAACCGCATTTAAGTTACGGCGCTGCAACGCTATTTGTCGAATTTTTTCCCTCCATACTTTATGGACCAATCATTTTTGGTGATTTTTCAAAATCTTGAACCGTTTGGAACCGTTGATATCTCTAAGTAAACCCAAACACGTTTCTAAACATAATATCATTATCAGCAATTCATTGCCGTCTGGGCCAGGAAACCCAGTGCTTGAACGGAACCCGTGCTGTCCTCAACATTCAGTCAAATTTAATTTCGGTGTCCGAGTACGGAAACCGTTGGTGGATGGTAAAATGACGTGAGTCTGACGCCAACCTCTGCGATTCACCTATCGGTGTACAGATCTACCCGTCGAGTACTCAAGTACTGTTGCTGTACGGAGAACGCCGATATTGCTCACAATCCGCTGCTGACACCCACCTCATCCCGTATACGTATGCCGCAGTATCGCGACGCGGACACGGCTCAGGAAAACGCTTGCAGGTTAGCACTGCGTTAAGATGTTGCACAAAACCGGTAAGAGAGGGTAGCAATTGTTGTTGGGCGCTATTCGACATTTCCGCGCATATGAAATTATGAATGAAACAGTTTCTAATTGTGTGCGTTAGAGCGTAAATGCTGTATTACGGTTCATATAACCGCCAGTAACCTTTGCTAAAATTCTTATCAATTGTACTATATTTACTGTTTGGTATGGACAGTAACTACATACAATTAGTATCTTGTGCAGCTACATAATATTATTTTAATCTTTTTACATGTTTAGCAACAGGCACATGTGACTGATATTTCCGTGTACGCGCGTAAACCGAACAAATTTGTTTGATATATTTATATCTTCACAGGGTTTATACAGACTCCGTGGCACAGAGGCGATTTTGTTAAGTAGCAATATCTGAGTCATCCGGAACAGGTAACCTAAGGTGTAATTTTCCTATGCACCACACCATCGTCAGCGTAATAACAAATGATATCACAACGGCGATCACCGCACGAGCCCTCCATTGCGTACCTTAATCCTCTCCATTCCGCTGGAGAGACGATTCTTGTTGACGAACCACAATGAAATCGATGAGCAGCTCGGCTGTCGCTTCCACGGTGTGTGGCGCCGAGGAGATGGCAACTTCCACGGAGATCTGCATCCGCGCCGACGGCATCATGCTCGTATCCGTCAAACGATAGATCTCAATATCGTCCACATACCAGACGATGCTGTCGTTCGTCCAGTGCGTCTTGTACGAGTGAAATGCAGTATTCTGGTGGTCAGCAGCAAAGACTGGTTCCGTTTGGTCGATACGACCTTTACGCACACCGACATCGATCCGCGCCGGATGTTGACTGCGGAGATCGGCAAGGAAGATGGTCTGATCGGAGCATACTGGTGCATTGTCATGGACGCTTTGCGAATCGACTAGGTGCAGCATGGCTGACGCTGACAGAGTGTTATGGTTGGCCGTCAGCTTGGCTCTTATTTCGATTTCATCATAGAGAAAATCGAATTTCCCACCAGAATGCGCATGGGCGACATAGTAATGCACATGCGCTTGTGTGGTGTTTCCTCGTGCCGCATGGGCCGTAAGGTGTAAGGAGCCATTGCTAACCCGTACATATTCCGGTCGTGTTATGGTAACCGTCGCTGTTTTGCGCTTTTGCATCGTTTCACTTATTCGCCGATTCCACTTGTCGTCTAACGTATTTCTGCTGTTGAAGTCTTCCCGGAAAATTTCGGACATCATAATGTCTGCCAAAATTCGATGTATTTTTTTGGAATACATTGTAGATGCATTGAACTGTGCTTTGGGGACGTCTGTACTCTGTACTCTGTAGTTCTGCATTTTCGATTAACCATATCGCGGACATTGTAGAGTACCTGTACACAATCTGTCATCGCGAAATGCTGCAGGATTATTCCCCGTGTTTTCCCTATGGAACGCGCTGGGGCAGGTAACACGGTCTGTGTTTCCACAGGCTAACCGGCGTCGGACGTATCCTCGCAATGATGGGCACCGTGCCCACAGGTGTGTGTCAACCGATGCCGTTTCCTCTAAACAGGTATTAATTATCATATAATAGATATTTATAGAATATTGGACGGGGATGTTTCGTACCAGTAATTCGTGATTGGGTACGATCAGCAAATGTATGAATAAACAAAACCTATTTCTGGTAAACACATCTTCACCGAGACAAATCAAAGGTACTCGTACTGTCACAAATATCCAGACAATACTGCACGTCAAGTTCATAGTACCGTATAACTGTATTATGCATTACCATAATATTACTAAACTAACAGGTATTCCATCGAGCATGCACCTTGTACGATGACGTCATGGTAGAAAACACGCACAGTGAGACGCAGTGGGCAACCCCTGCGGGTTCTGTGTTTTTCGAAACTTTCAAATTAGTACAATCCCTTCGTAGTATGGCTCAAAAAATGCGGAAAAAAATTTGAAGTTTGGAAAGTGAAAGTTGGTAAGCAAAAAGTTGCTATACAAACGAAAATTTTACGGTTAACGTAATTCTTGTTTACCATAGAGGTCTATGAGGCAGTCTGCCTTAGCCCTCTACGCTAAACAAAGAAAACTTGTTTTGATCAAATCTGAATTGTTTGACCGTTTTCATTGATTGATTAAATTTTAATTGTTTCGTTTTGGTTGACTGATCAGGTTGTGGTCGCTTCATTTGATCACAGATCAAGAACCAAGGATTCTCGTTTAGCGTGGAGGTCTCTGGACTGCCAAACCACCTCATAGACCTCTATGCTAACGAAAATCATAAAGTTTTCGTTTCCTTGACAACGTTTCACTTGTCAGTTTTAGTTTACAAACTAAGATTTTTTTTCTGCATTTTTTAAGCCATAGTACGAACGGATTGTACTAATTTGAAAGTTTTGAAAAACACAAAACCCGCTGGGGTTGTCCACTGCGTTGCAAATTGCGTGCCACAGAGCGTGACGTCACGCCAGTCGATGGAATACCTTAAGGTTTAGTAATATTATGGCATTACGTTAGTTTGTTACCAACAATAATCGTATACTCCAGTTTCACTTCATGCTGAACAGTAGCTGGCCCTGTCCTGCAGACGTGGAGTCTCAGAGTGACATTATTGTAGAAAGGATAGGTCATTAACTGTCCAACACTTTTTCCAACAATACCGGCGTCATTCTGCAGTGTTTTTAAGTGCCGTTCAGATCCACCTGGAAATTTCTGGTAAATTAACAATTGGTCATTGATGGGCATCGCAGACTTCCTGAAAAATTTAATAATAGTTTAGGAGCGTTTACTGTATAAAATGCCCAAACGTACATTGGGCTTTTGTGCGTATTGTACATGAGGGTACACAGCACGGCCAGTCTTCCTAGGTTCGCAACTTTGCATTCGATTCTGTCATTCTATGTATGCTAAAAGTGTATGTTTAACTTACGCTATGTTTACGTACAATGGACTTCAAAATTTTGTTACACTCACAAAACGCGCGCAACCAGCTATTTATCTGTACTCAATCAGCCAAATTCCGGGCTGGCCATCGGCCTGTTGAGTTCAAACACTTGCACCTCACGCATTTCCCAACAAAAACCATCCACCAATATCTCAAACGAAAGAGAACAAAATTTTATGAATTTTGATACCAAACAAGTTAGCTTTTATGGGATCTGACAAAACCGACGCATCTAAAGTTTCTCGTAGACAAAGCATAGCATTTGAATCCACGGTTTGGTTTCAGTTTTCACACAGAAAACGTATGCTCTGTCTACGAGAAACTTTAGATGCGTCGGTTTTCGGTCAGATCCATAAACTGACTTGTTTCGTATCAAAATTCATAAAATTTTTCTTTCGTTTGAGATATCGGTGATGGTTTTCGTTGAAAAATACGCAAACAGCAAGTGTTCAATTACTGCGCGTTTCCAGTTTATTGGTCATTTGGTCTTGGCCATTTGTTTCTATTGGTCATTCGGTCCCGGACCGAATGTAACAAAATTTTGAAGTCCATTGTATAGACTGTACGAGATGTTGATGACAAAAGGCATCAGAGTAATAGTTAGCGTGACCGTGCAATTTCGGTCTGGATACCGCGAAAACATCCATTCTCCGCCATATTGTTCGCTGTGGATCAGCAGGGGCTTTTCGTTACAAGAACGCTCCAGATGCAGCAGCCCTCCATCTGCCGACCATATTAAGTATTTACTTGGAACGCCATGAAAAGCTTATGATGCAGTCGCAAGAATATGTACTGTACACAACACTGCGCAGTTATAGTGTGGTTGTTGAGTGATTGCTAGTGTGGCTATTATTAACCGAAGTGGCTTGTTCTGTTATTCGCACAAACAGGAACAATAAAATTGGAATAAAGAGATAACAAAGCTAAGTACGCTTAGTAAGAAAAGCTTAGTTAAGAAAGCTTAGTAAGAAGAACTCAATCCTGTGCATGCTTTTGGCGTAGAGTACCTGTTGCGGCAGTTCTCCATTGTGTAGATTTTGGCCATACTGCAAGGGAAAGCGTAAAGACACTGAAGAAAGGGAAACATCATTATGGCATTGCCGATTCAAACGGCATTTAAGTTATTTTTTCTTATGACTTCTGATACGGCCATCGCACAGTTACTTATTTTCTGCTACATACTAGAAAGATGGAAATGGATTGCAGTTCACCTACTCGTAGACTATACAATATTAATGTCGTGATAAAAGTAAAGTATGCATTGTACAGCTTACGTCTCTTGAGCAATGTCACAGTGCGGCAAACTGCATGCGCTTTTAAATTACGATAGTGCTAGGGAGCACATATGTATCCTAAAGGAACCCATATAGCTAATTTCCCGAAAATCTTAATAGAGTACAGGAAGGAAAGACGAGTTCTTACTCAGAAAGTCGCGCCACCGATCCATGGTGTATGATGTGTATCGTGCCAATCCAGTTTACTCGGTTAAGAACGCGTCAGTCTTTTTCTAGTGAACACACTTTGGTGGGCTACCCGAGTACTGCACTGGAAACACGGTAGTCCTACTCAGTGTTAACGAAGTGGTTAACAGCTACGTAGCTGTAAAATTAATGACAAATTCAATGCTGAAATGCGTATGGACTCATACATTATTGGTGCCGATAGCATCGCATTTGTAACTTCCTGTACACGACCGAGCAATTTCACAGAATAAGAAATGATCTTGAGATCAGAATGCTAATCTATGGCTTTTAAATCAGCACGCGAGTATCTGATTATAACATATCCGAAAACAAATTAATAACAACCACCTGTTTATGAGCATTATGTGTTGTTTGTGTGCATGGATACAGACAGATACAGTATATTCGGCATATCCCATTGAGAGAGCCAGTTTTTTATTTTGCTGACACAATTTGCTGATTTTGTCTTATGTTTCGTGTTTTGTAAATACGCGTGCCCGTGTTCCAACATGTTGCAGCTCTCTTGATGTCGCGGTTCTAAACAGATGGATGTGCCGTTCTTCGGATTGTGGGACCCTAGAATTTCCGTAATTCGCCCGTGTTAAATTGTCAAATTTTTGGCGAATTGAATCTTAACTTCTGTAGACCGATTGCCAGGTCAAAAACTGGGCAAAATGCAGTAAATCAACGGAAATTTGTGGGCAAGAACACTGTCTGTTATAATGACCAGATTATCTGGTCGAACCTCCGTGAGAAGCACCTGCCGGTATGATATTGATCAAAACTGCCTTCTGGGGAAGGGCGCCTTTGGAATAGTGTACAAAGGAAAAATTGTGAAACGCGGAAATTTTAATAGTACAGAGACTACTGTTGCTGTCAAGGTGACGTACTGGGAGCAGGGAACGAAATCTCAAAGCCGCGTCGAGGACTGGCTGGAATTAATTGAACGATGGAAAAGGCTGTTCAACTTCCGACCACATGCTCATTTGATATCGTATCATAAATTATCATTCAACGTAGCCAGCGGTGGATTTGTTGGTTTTGAATTTCTGATGGATTACTGCGATGGTAAACAATACTTGAAAGAGTGCTTGACTTACACTGTGACTGTCGACCTCATTTCATAAAAAAAACAGTGACCCTACCGACGATGTGGCAATAAGATTATTTAAAATCTCTGATGGCAAGAATGCCCACCCATCGTCACAAAAGAGGTTTTTGTGTCTATTCACCTGCAGCAGCAAAATACTTATTCACAGTGACACTGTGGTTATCAAAATAAAAGCGCAATAATTATAATTTCTACAAAGTAACTAGACAAATTTAAGTGAAATCACACTTAGTAGTTAGTCTGAGTTCTCTTTTATTGTTATTTTTTAAACCATTACAAGGGTCTAAAGTTTAAATTCTACGCTTGCTGTTTTGCAGGCGGTGACCTGGCCACTGTGCTAAGCAAGCCCAACTGCAAAGAGCCATCTCAGCGAGAAGCCAGCAAGCTGGTTAACGAGTTGACAGTTGCTTGTCACACTATGCAGATTGCTGCAGGACTGGAGTACCTGCATAAAAACCAGTTTGTCCACATGGATCTGAAGCCACACAATATCCTGGTGAAGATACAGCGGACAGGGCATCACAGACTGGTAATTGCGGACTTGGATGACATTATACAGATGCGCGAAGCACAAACCCACTCGTGTGATTTTCCCCCGAACAACGTCCGTGGTACTCTCCGCTATATGTCACCGGAAATGCTGAAAACATTTGCCAACATGCCGTCTTTAGAGAAAGCAGGGCAAAACACCGATGTGTGGAGTTTAGGATGTGTTATGCAAGATTTAATTGACTACTGTTACGGTATTGAAGAAAGAACTCTCCGCAAGACGACGACGGAATTTCCTTGCAATGATGTTATTATGGATAACACGACTAAAGACTTCCAGTACATGAAACTAATCGATAAGGTTATCTGCCGGTAGTTAACGCTACGATCCCGTCAGCATTCGCTGACCTTATTGGGCAGTGCTTGGTCGTGGATGTCAAGCAGCGGATATCCGCTGCCGGCATGAAAACAGCTTTAAAAGGACTTGCAGCAAAAATACAGCCGAACGAAACCAACCGACCATGCTTTTGTGGAAGTACTATGGCCAACTACCTTCAGTTAATGGATATAAGCGAGAATGATCAGGTTCTAAGCGAGAAGCCACAAAGCTGGTAGCAATTATGTAGCTGACAGTGAGATATTCTGTGGGTTGTATTACTATCAGGTTATAGTTAACAGGAATGAGAGGAATGAGGATCTCTTAAAAACCTGTTAAAATTAATGCTTGTTTTCGGTTTACAGTTGCGACCAAGTCCACTAATCGACTTCGGCCCACTGGAGACGCTGGACCCGTTCGGTAATCGTATATCTGATTTTTAACGAAATGTGTCTCGAAAAGGATGTTATAAGTAATAACGCGCAACTGAGCCCTCGGCGAATGTTCTGTGTTTCCAGCATCTCCAACCGCGTCCGCGGGTACTCGTGCCTGTCACCAGAAAACGGCTTGGCGTGTCGTGGTGGCAGCGGTTTACTGCTGTTTCATAGTGGATGGTATAGCCGGATCTATCGAATTGATTATTTATAAATATTCTACCATTAACGTTGGTAGTTTGGTCAATGGGGTTCTTCTTGTTGTGGGTAAGCTACTTCAGCTGCCAAATTGTCAACGACTTAAACATATCGTGAAACTATGCGAAAATTACAGCGCCTGTAGCCTGTGTGTTAGCTGATAAATTTGGTTATCGTTTGCTGCTATCCATTGGTCCCATAACGGCATCCACCGGGATAGCATTCGGCTACTTCGCCAATGACGACATTTTGATGGCAACATCCGCAGTAATAGCAGGTAGGTAAAAGATGGTTCACAAAAAAAGTATGCTTATCGTACACGAGCCAACGATTGTTGCTTGCTATAACTGCACTGACTGACGGCACAGGAATGGGTCTCGGTTTGATTTATTCCCCAACGATTATATACGTCACTGCATTTTTTAACGGGAAGGGCGCTTTGGCTGTGGGCATCGTGATGAGCGGCTCCCGAATGGGCGGAATAGTCTTTTCGTTTTTTACTGGTTACCTGCTAGAGCACGTTAATCGACATGAAGTACTGCTTGTTCTGTCTGGAATATGCATGCTATGCTTCCCCATCTGTCACGCAATGACACAGCAAACACTGCCGTATACGGAGCCGCTTACCAGCGGAAAGCAGTCCATATTGCGAATCTATCACAATCATGCTCTCCTCTTGTATACCCTGGCGATCTTGTCTGGAGCTTTTGCCTTTCTGGTACCGGTTAATTTCCTGAAAGATTTGCCAGCTGTGGCGAACAGCACAATGCAACTGCGATTCGCAGTGCTAGTTGCGCTTATGTGTGCCGACATAATCGGGAAAATTGTGTGGAACGTTTGCTTAGACCACACTGGTTGGAATCCGTTGAAACTGCATAATGTGTGCATCTTTTTCTGTGGAGCCAGTATGTTCATGATGTCATTATGCCAAGACATATGGAAAATACTGATTTTAACTATCGCTAACGCTTTCTGTGCCGGTGAGAGTGCTTTACTTTTACACGTGAACTGGATATTTTCGAAAAACACTGACGTTAATAACATTACAGCCCCGTTCATCTCCTTTGCGACAGTTATTCTGACCAAGTTATTGGATGTTAGGCAGCTGCCGGTTGCCTACGGACAGATCCAGCTCATGTCAGGGATCGCTCACTTTGTTGTGCCTTTTCTCGCCGGTAAGCAAGGACTGACTTTGCAGTAATTTTAACAATGAACAGTATGGTTTACATCAGCGGTTTTTGCTTGTCGTTTTTATGATAGGCTTAAGCTACAAAGATCAGTAAAGGTTACTGCATAATCTAACTGGGAATTATTTCCTAATGTCCGCTCACTTGAGCCGTATAATTTGAAGAACTGATTACTCTCAGCTCACGTGTGTTCCAATTCTTTAAGCTACAAAAATTTCAAAAGTAGTTGTTCTACATGGTTCCTTGTGTGGCTCCACATTTTTCAGTTGATTTCAATGCGCAATTACAAATACGAATTTCAGACCATGTACTGTAGAAAGATGGAATACTTATTGAAATTACAATAACCATAGTTTTTGCAGCTAAAGAGCACTGTACAGAGTAGATCAGAGTTTCTAGTACACAGATTTTGTTTTTGCGTGAGTACTGTCAATTTCAAAATTTTTTTGTACCTGAAAATTGAGTAAGTGGTGATTTGTTCAAAATACACATCGAAAGTAATCGGTTGTTGAGAAAATTTGAAGTACCAAGTTGACGTAGTCTTAGTGTAGTTACTCCGAGATCCCATAAATCGGGATCGCTACAAATGATCTGCAGAGTAGCTTTGTGTTCAGAATGCCTTCTTTTCAGCGTACATCAACAGCAGAGCCGCCATTTTGAGCGCCGGCGGTCTATGGATGATAGCCACATTGATTGCCACACTCATCTTTTTTCTTCCTCGGCAAGCACCTTTATCGGAGCCGGTCCCCGACCAAGAATTTAAATTGTCGGTTATGTAGTCTAATAACACCACTGAAATTTAATATTGACCATACAGCGTATCGCTTAAAGAGGCGAACAGACCGATTTTTTTCCCGATTAACGTTACGGCTGAAATGTGAAATCGCGTTTAGACGCAGCAAGTCACGTCAACTACGGTGAACTACCATTTGCCTGTCAAATTAGCGGTTGCTGAACGTTTGTACATACACCAATTGTGCTGAGACTTACATACGTGCTGAGACTTCCATAATAAAACGCGAGCGCTGCCAGACTGTATTGTATTTTAGAAAAATGAAAGTACTGTTACAGAAAAAAGGTCAAAGCAAGGCAGTTTTGTTGAACACGACCACAGATGATATGGCGGTCAGCACTTCCCAGTAGCTTTGTAACAACGAGGAGATATAGTATTCGCATGCAAACCATTTTTTCGGTTGCACCTATAATACAACAGGCTGTGACGGAAATTTAGCAATGACTCCACAATTGGAAGCCTACTTCCTGATTCTAAAGCTGGAACTACCATGAAACTCGAGAACTGGCTATTTCTTCCGCCTGCTATGAGAAAACCCAATAAAAGACATTACGTTACTCGGATTACTTATGGGCAGCGCATTGCTTATGGATTACTTGTGAGCACTGGGCAGCCACATGGGCAGCGTGTGGTCTGCCAGTTTGCGCTGACTAATTCTGGGAACTGATTGTACAGTGCATAATTGAGCCACAAAAAAACAGGTACTTCAAGTACGAGTACTTTTGAAAATTCATTTGCACTATAGCACTGCAATCATATTATAAAGAAACAGTGCTGCAAGTTCAGAATGCCGGGAACAAAATTTTTGAGCGTTCAAAATTCAAATATTACTATTATGCTCTAGAAAGAATTAAACGTTCCGTTTAAAAAAATAAAAATTAAAACAGTGATGTGCAGAGTCAAGAGTGAGGGTGTTGCAAAGGTAGTACTAGGAGCCAAAGGTGGCATCCGGAGTCTTCGCCAAACGTTTATTATTAGTCTAACTTTTCGGTATGAGTCGTTTGACAAAAAAACCACGTACAGATTTGAAACATAAAGGAACAAAAAAACAGCCGTTGTCGCCAACTCACCGTCGAACAGCCGCAATTTGTCGAAGTAACTAGTGACGGCTTGAGTAGCTGCTGCGTTATAGCCAACCGCCAACGTAGAAGGGGCAGCCCACGTAGAAAATTAGATATGCCGACAGTGCAATCAAAAACGCGCTGTTTCGGGCTTTCGAAGTTTTTTCACTGCACCGACTGCTTCCGTTTGCTTCTATGGTTTCGTATTTCTGTCTTAAACGTTACCAGATTGCCGAAATTGTTGAAGTTCTGACTGTTCGAGACAACTTTTTAACGGGATGGCGAAGCTTGGTGACCATGCAAAGAAGTTGTTATTCTGTGGAGATATGAGCGATATTCAGTTCGCGGTGGGACGTGATTATGACACCGTGAAGATCTTCCCAGCCCAAAAGTGAGCGCTAGTTATGTAACACTGGTTCACCCAAGGTTTCAACTACGAAACCTTGGACTAGCTGTCACTAGCACTACGAGTCTACGAGGCACTGTACGAACTTTTAAAGTCTAAGTTCTAATCAGCCTTGGAATGCTGTCGAGGCACAATGTTTTCGAAACACTCAATAAGTTCTTAGTTCTCTTTTGAGAGCAAGCAGACTGTGCTGAGCCGCTACAAATTACTAGGGTTCTTTGTTAAAGGAAGCTGAATGCGCTCGAACGCACTACGAATTCTTATATTTCGTTTTTTTGGTAGACTACCTTGAGCCTTGAGGTGCACTGAGTTCATTCGATGATTGGGATGTTCAAACATTAGTATAAAGTGTAAGGGAGACGACCCGCTAATCTTGTTTCTTTAACCTTCAAAAATTTCGAGTTTCCTTTTTCCGGAACTTTGTCGGGTTCGGGAAAGTATAAAAAAAGTATACAAAACCCCAGACCAGCAGGGGTTTTGTATAGGCGCTGCAGAATTGTAGTGTGTAATACGTTTGGACCACCTTTTTCAATTACTGCTAAATTTTGTCTGGCTGGTTATTCAGTTGTGACATGTGAGTTTTTTTTGCAGGGTCATAATGGGCCTGCGCAGCGCCGTGTTTCATACGATGTTCTATGGCAACCTGCCCGATCCCTGCGCTGCTCCTATTGACATTCCCGATATCCTTCCTGAAGCTTTCGCTAACCTGCTCAGGTATGTCTGTTGACTACTGTTTCGGAATTTCGATCTGGAATTCTGGATATCGTATTTGACTACACAATAATTTGTACCATATCTACTGTATCTAATTTGTAGCTATATCTACACCGACGCGGTTACGAATTTCACCCCGGAGAATGTTTTCCAGACGCTAATGTGCGCTGACAAATACGATTTACCGTTACTGCTCGCGCTGTGCACTGACTTTATCCTCGGCTTGCTCAATGTCGACAACTGCCTGCATAATCTGGACAACGTAGGTCTTTTCGATGATTTTCGGCTTTATGCGGTTACGAAATGTTGCGAGCGCGGTGCCGGAATTTTGTTTTTTGTAGGCGGTTCTGTATGCGAATGCAGCGCCGGACGTCCTGGTGAAATGTTTGTGTCTTATTAATGATGAATCAGCGAAAACTCTGTGGCAGTCGGATCAATTTCATGTGGTTGGGCAAGCGGCTCTACAAGCTTTTGACCCACGGGATGCTTTAACCGCCGCCGCCGACGACATCTTTTCGTCAGTTGAAAAGTAAGCATATCTCCCGTCTTCCCATGACGCTGAATGGGAAACGGCTGCTCGTTAACGCATGCCGTTTTTACAGGTGGGTGGAATTTCTTCGGAAGGTCAGGGACGGCATCACATTCCCCACCGTGACGACACCGGAGGCGCAGGTGACCATCAGGTTCAGCGGGGACAAGAAGGCCTTGACATCGGACACAACACGGTTCCGCTTCGAGCTGCCTTCGAATGTGCACGTCTCCGGGGTGCCCGTTGGCAAATTTGTCAAAATGACGGTGACAGTTGATGGCAGAAGCGAGACGCAGTGCTATACTCCCATCTCCGACCCCAAGGACCGAGGTTAGTCGAAAAAACTGCACTTCTCGAAGACCTACGTTGCTTGCTTTCTTATGCGGCATAGTTCATGATTTGTAATTTCTAAATTTTGATTGTAAGCGATTCTTCTGACTTGACCTTTGACATGACTGAGCTCTACAGTTTAGTAAGCGTCAAAAACTTGATAATTTCTCGGCTAAAGATTATCCGTCCTGCATCTGCTTCTTTGTCCGCTTCTTTGCTTTGTTTTGCGGGCAACCACAAGCACTTTTGTTGAACTGAAACTGTCCTTGAGTCGATTAAGCCACAACCAAGCCCATAAGCATGTCTGGGTTGCTGTAGAACGTTTGGGACCCATTCTGGCGCCACCTTTTGGTTTTTCGCCGTTATGCATATTTTAGCGAAGCATGCTCTGGCATAAGAGAAAGTGTGGTTATTATTTTTCATCGCTTTCGTAGGTTTTGTCGACTTCGCGATCAAAGTATACCCACCGAATGCCGCTAATCCCAACGGTAGCGTCGTATCGCAGTGTATCAATAAACTGCAGAAAGGCGACGAAGTGTGCATCAGTGGACCATATGGCCTGCTCAGTTACGACAAGAACGGGATCTTCGTGATCAAAGCGAACGAGAAGTCCGCTGCCGAATATAAAGAGATTCGACGAATCGGTACCGTTAACATAAATAACGCTACGGTAGGGTCACTACTAAGTACTGTATATAAAAATCATGGGTAATTAATTGCAGGCATGGTAGCCGCTGGTTCCGGAGTTACCGCCATGATTCCCATATTACGAGCTATGCTGAAAGAAAACCTGGAAGCACCCAAATGTAAGGCGTAAATAGCTTTAATTTTTTCTGTGGTGCGGCTGCATCGGTTCGTCCTTGACACTGGGAAGTTTGTAGGTTCACTGGTATATAGTAATCCGACAGATCAGGACATCATAATGAAGAGCGAGCTGAATTATATGGCCTCCAAGTACCGGAAGCGCTTCAAGCTGTGGTACCTGGTGGATAGACTCTGTAATCCCAGCCTATGGAAGTATGGCGTTGGCCAGATCTCGAAGGACTGGCTCAAGGACTGGATGCCCAAACCGGACAATGAAGTTGTAGGTAAGAAACCGCTACATTTGCTGTTTGTCGTGTTAGCTAGGCGTAGCAACCATTCCTCATGGATATTAGACATCTGAAAAATGCGCTTGCTTCGTCAAAGCCGAAAGACGATAATGAATTCGATATGAAGTTATTGTTTTGCTGTAGTATTAGTCTGTGGTCCGAAGGAGATGGTGGACAACTGCAAGAAGTTGCTGCTTGGCCTGAACTACATCAACGATATGATCCACGTGTTTTCCGCCCCGTAGTCTCCTTGTTTGATACGACATATGTCTCTCCATTGCATTTCATTGATCCATTGTGTTTTTAGTTATTCTTTTATATTCTGGTAAAATTTGTCGATCGTTCCGCGACATACCCATCCGCTTGATGGAATGTGCCTCGAAATCCACTGGACCAAAGGTTGTGCCGAAAGCTGGATTTAATTGTTTTAGGAAGAATAATGATTGTTATTTTTGTGTAGTTTTCCTGTGGTGAATTTCGACATCCACCGGTAACGATTGTTATGAATCATGCATAGCACACGCATATTTTGATCACTTTGGCACCTGATAAGTATTAGCCGAGCTTGCTGAACTTTTTTTCAGTATGGTACATTAAACGGTGTGCCCTTTGTTGCAATAATTAGTATTTGGTACACAACCATCGTGCTGTTGTAAATAATATTGAATGTTTATAAAAAGTACCTGTATTTGTTTAGCTTGCCACTAAACCCTGCAAAATGTTAGTCAAAGCCGAATAGCATTCTTTAAAGAGTAAAAACGTGTTACTAACTTACTATTTCGTGCCGGAACCTGTGTGCCTAGTACCACTGGCACGATGAATCCCGGTCTATAAATGCCTAAATGTGTGCGCTTCAAAATTTGAGTCATTAGAATTTAATCATGACTGTATCGTCCACTTGATAAGAGTTCTACTCGTACATATGTTATCGCGCATCGATACTCTTTCTTCACAATCTGTCAAACCAAGCTGTAGATCGTTTGTCGAGGCGGTGAGAGGCACACCTTACAGTTACGATAAAAACGTAAGTTGTAAAGAAACTAAATGCATAAACTGCGAGAAACAGCCCTGAAAAAATCATTTAAATCAGTAAGTAATAAGTGATTGGTTGCGTTCATTCTAACGAAGCGCAATGCATTTTCGCAGTTTAATGCAAACCACTTCTCGTGCAATCGGCGAACACAAAAGAAAAATTGTCGCATCAACAATATTCGACAGCTTGCCAGCCAGTGCAACGGCTTCCTGAGCGGCAGTTAAACCCGGATAGAACACCGTAGTGATCACTGCCGGTAACCATCCAAGAAATAAAGCAATCGTTGATGCAATATATATCCTGTTGTTCCCTTTTGCCGATTGTCTTGATGTAGACGAAGGATCTAATCAATAGAAATCACCACTAAAACAACTGATTGAAGGAAACGGGAAAACGGAATTACAGTACATAGTACATACAACGTAAAACAGTTACTGATAAACGTAGGTGCTATTTTTACCATGTACTGCGCAAATAAGCTGTTAACTGTTCCGACACATTTCTGGCGATCAATGCGCGGTGATGTGTTCCTTCTGTACACTGTTTTTGTTCATTTTGGTATCAAATTTTCAACCAAGACTATTGTACGTACGTCGTGCTACGGATACAATACGACGCGCTTGGATCCGTCGCATTATCATCACATACGGCAGCGATCCGAATATAACCACCAGGGTGGCCGTAGACAAATAGCGTACGGTGAGGAATAGAGCCGGAAAGATCTGTGCGATAAACCGGCAGCCGCTTCCGTCAGACGACGGCATCAGCACACTGACGATGAAATTCGGTAAACGCGTTCCGTCCACGATAACGTGCATCAAGACACAGGATGCCATGGCCAGCGTCTTATTATTCTTGATGCGGTACGATTGTGGAAAGGTGACCGCCCAAATCCGGTTAATGGCCAGCAGAATGTGCCCGGCTCCACCGGCTGGAGCTACGATCCATAGGGAGAAATTGCCAATGGTGCACCACGGTTTCTCGTTATCAACATACTGTCCGTTTATCATCATGTGCCAGTATGTTGCGCAATGAAGACCCGTCAGCAGAACGTACAACATCAGAATGTTGATAATATAGATATTAAAGGGAGTGAGGAGTCTTTTCGCTGTCAAAAACACCGATACAGCGAACAACGTATAAAACAGATGAAGAGGAGCCAGAATCCCCGCAATATGCACCATAACGATGTGGTTCTGGATGTCCCTTATAGATGGACCTACTGTAGTACTGGAAGTGTTATTGAACACCATGTTTTTATTTCTTGTGCCGAGCATAAAATTTCAAATAGACTGATTTTATTCTGAAGTTAACTGCGCATGCGCGGATATCTATAACGACACTCTGCTGGAACGCATGATATCGCTGCTGCTGGATGACGCGCAACCACCCAGCAATAACCTGTCCATTGTAGTGGCCTACTCATTTCCATAAATTTTTCAATGACCACAGCCTTGCGTAGTATCTGTACGTGCGCGTTGCTGCACCGCCGCTGCGTTGGCCTTACCTGCAGCAGCTACCAAACATGTGAGCTATCCGTATAAGTTTTAACTATTTATCACGCATCTTATTCAGGAGTGCCCCAAAGTGGACTGCTCGTGTTGTGAAATGAACGACTTTTTAACGTAAACCAAAAGTTTGCATGCCACTACTCAAAGTAAGTATCCATCGGCGCATTATACGGTCGCCTTCAGCTGCGGGGAGATGATGATGGATAATCCGTTCGCTGGATTTCATGGTTTACAGCACTGTCAGTGCAGAAAATGTTCAAAAAAAACTGGAGTGGGACTTAATAATTTGTATCTCATTTTTGCTGGTTAGGTCCATGATCGCAACAATTAGGAAGACAGTCTTTTCTTATAAAGGTTTAGTCTATAGGCTACCGTACTTAAACCGCAAGATACGGCTAAGCATGGCATAATATCCGCGAAATGGATTGTTTTTTATACTTTTATAAAGAATCTCGGCAATTATTGTAAGATATTTATGCATGGCCCCGTGAATTAATCATTTCCCGCAGTTCCACATCTTTCCTAAACAACCGCAGATGCCAGGGTAGTTTATGAACCGGGACGCCATTTATTTTTAAACATGGTCAGCTCAGATGTAAAAAAATGTGTACTGTACATGAATCCAGTGGTTGACTTGTACAGTCACAACCGTTATTTCTTGTCAAACGTCTGTTTTGCAGCTTCATTTTTATGTTGACAAAATACCGAAACAAGTAGCGGTTATCCTTTTGTCACTGAACAACAAAATAAGAGCATATCTTATGTAAAAATAGTGCAATAAACGGCACGCGATTTGTGGCCTGTAATATTAAGACAGCGCAACACATTTTTGTAATTTAACTTTAACACAGAGTGCTTCCATGAAAAGGGCGAGCACAAAAGAAAAACTGTCAGGTCCACAATGTTCTAGCTAACGTAGTGGCTTCTTGGACGATAGCCAAACTCGGATATAACAGTGCAGCAATCGCTGGCAGCCTGGCGGCAACCATCCGAGGAATAGCGTAATCGTGGATCCGACGAAAATTTGCTGTTTCCTTTTGCCGATTGTCTGGGCGTCGACGCAGGATCTAAACGTCAAATTTTTCACTGAACAGCTGATGAAACCGCACTATAAAATACAAATAAAAGCAATCCGGAACAGGGAAATACGTACGTGGTATCATAGATAGATACGACGCGCCTGAATCCGTCTCATTAGCATGACATACGGCAGTGATCCGAATATTACCATTATGGTGGCCGTAGATACGTCAACAAATCGTCCTGTTATCAGCATGTGCAAATATTTGGCGCAATGAAGACCCGTACTGACGGCATACAACAACAGAATGTTGAGATGTAGATGTTGAAAGGGGTGATAAATCTCTTCGCAGACAAAAGCAGCGATACGACGAATAATATGTACAGCATTTGGAGAGGAGCTTGAATCGCTGAAACATGTATCATAACGATGTGGCTTCGGATGTCTGTAGAAGAGGAATTCAGACTAGTACTCGAGGTGTTATTAAACGCCATGAGTAAATGTATTGTATTGTGCCGATAACAAAATGCCAAATAAACCTATTTTTTTAAGTAAACCGGGAGATACGTTGGAACAACGCCCTAAATAACACACGATATCGCTTTTGCTGGCTGAAGCGGTACCGTCTACATACCGAATGATCTTTGAAAGATCATTCAGCAGGCGTTTGCGCGTCAGCCAGCAAGACCACTTCCGCGGAATGGAATGATCTTTCTATTGTAAGCGCCTACTCGTTTCCATTTCTTATTGATTGCAACTTTTCACCGTACTGTCGCTGGATCGTTTACCGTTACTGTGCTGATGTTATAAGCGGCAACAGTGCAGTAAATCCATTTAGTTTTTGTATGCCTGTCCCCCTTTTACTTGGAATTATTTGCTTTTCGTGGCATGGGGCCACTCATTTTTTTGCAGCTGGCCCGTATCTCATTCTCGTTCGGAGGCGACGGTTAAGTTCACTGCGACATTATGCCAGAAATGTACAACGCTATATGCTAGACGCCTTAATCTAGACGAATGCATTAATTTCGAGTAATGCAAATGTATTACTAGAATAAATATATAGATATAATAAATTATAAATGTACGGGCTGTTTGTACGTGTCATACATACGAACAGCCCGTACATACCTTTGAAAAAAGGTATAGTGAATACAATAATTTATTACGCAGTGACGGCCGGTATTGATGGCGTACAACAGCAGACAGTTGACGATATATACTGTAGTATATGTTAATGGGGGTGATTAGCCTCTTCATTGACAAAAAAAGATACAATAAACAGCGCATAAACAGATTAAGAGGAGCTATGTAGAATATGATTATGCACCATAACAATGTGGTTTCCGATGTTGGTTTATCGATGGATTTACTCCGATACTGGAAGTTTTTTAAACGCCATCAAATAGTCTTTTTTTCTAGACGCAGTATAAATAAAACGAAACATCTTTTGAAGAAAGCGAGGTTAGCTATGCAGTATGCAAGTTAGAACGACACCCTACTGAAACGCACGATATCGCAATTGCTGGATGATCCACCGAACAACTATCCATTTCCATTAATTTTTCAGTGGCCACAGCCTTGTGCAGTAATTACGAGCCACTGTATTAGGTATTGTTCCGTTCACGGTTAACCTAACGAGCGGTCGCAGTCTAGAACGTGAAAACTTTTTAAATATTTATGACGCCTTTTAATTAGGACCAACTGCATTTCACACCGAGGCTCGTTAATTTTAGAGCATTGCAGTGTAAGACTGAAAAGCACTGTTTTCAAAACAGTTGAGTAGAATACTGCCTATACGTGCATATTTGAAGCAAAGTTGAGCTGATGACAAGCTGATGACAAGCAAGTTGATGACAAGCAGCAGATTGTCGACAGGGCAGTTAGTGTGAACAACACGGAAAAAGAAGTAGAAAATTTTCAGTCTGATAAATCTTTGATGAAAGATAAGTGCTCGTAAAATACTTAGCGGCTTAATTTATACGGAGCCAGCATAACATTCTGAATGCGGTGCCTGTTGCAGGCTTGCGGTAACGCATGTACTGTAGCTCTATGCTACCAAAATCTTATGGCAGCGCACATGTTGTTGTCGAACTATCGAACGTACAACGATAGAACGTCTCGTGTGATGTCAGGACGTATTTAACATTTTACATACAGATAATCAGGTTATTGTGTGTGCCACAAAGATAATAATTCTTGTCAATGCACACAGTCATGTAATCGACCTTGCGTCTACGAAAGCTAAACTTGCACTGCAATGTACTGGTTAGTGCTCTTTGTTAGTGTGCAGCTGATGCCAGTCATCAGCAGTGTCATTTTACCACATTTTAATTGCACGTACACGGCTTCAGGATCATCAAAAAGCTTTGAATTAGACTGTCAAGCAGAACGCTTCCAGTTCCCTACAACATTCAACGTTACCGCAATCCCGAAAGCGGTTAAGAGCATTGCGATACGATGCCTGCCCACTGACGAGCTCGCTCGGTACTGCGCTGAAATTGGGCAGGACTTTCAACCAATTCCTCAACTGGAAGTTTTGGAACGCGTCCACCTGAGCGGATTCCAAAGCGCCAATCAAAGCGCTCCACCGATTGGCAAGCTGCTGGATCGAGTGAGACACCAGATTGTTTACTTAAAGATCAGCAACAGCCGCATCGACTTTGTGGATGCCGACCTTTTTCGAGGATTCCGATCATTGAGGCACCTTGATTTTAGGAACAACCACATTCGGAGGATCGCTATCAATGCATTTCGTTCGTTGACCAGTTCGGTTGATTCGCCGACAAAGAAAACGGAGCTGTCGAAATTGCGCAATCTAGATTTAGGTGGAAATGCACTGGAAGAATTAGACTGGTCTGTTTTCAAGCCGCTTTCGCGGAGTCTCGTAAGTATCCGTATACTTGCTAAGCATGTAATATTTTCACTGTTCACATATTGTCTGCTTGATTATCGAACGCGCTCGTGCATTTTCACAGCAAGAGAAAAAGCTTGGTGTTTTTTGGCAAAGCAGTCGATAAAGAAACGGTTTCGTTCGATAGAATTATTTGGATCTCAGTTGTCAAGAACCACCGCTTAAACGTCTCAAGATCAGCTCTTCTGCATTCGAGCTGACCTTAGTGGAATTATTGCTGGAAAACAATGACCTAAAAAGAATTCCTAAAGAAGTGCTAGCCACTATTAAACCGTGGCGCGTTCCAGTTTCTGAGCTTGAAAATAGAGCTGCAAAGAGTAATTTTTACAACTTCCAGGGGAATAATTTGTGCTCAGAATCAGACTGCTCGTGTTGTGAAATGAAAGACTTCTTAGCGTGGGGCAAAAGCCTGCATGCCCGTGCTCCAGACAGGTCGCCGTCTGTGCCTTATACGGTCACCTTCAGCTGTGGGGAGATGATGATGGATGATCCGTTCGCTGTGGATTTCGTAGTTTTTCAACACTGTAAGTACAGAGAATGTTCAGAGAATGTTGAGTGCAACCCAGCAAGTTGTAATGCACTGTTGTTGTTTAGGTCCACCCAATTAGGAATGACAGGCTTCTCCTATGTAGATTTTGTCCATACTGAAAGACCAACAATGTAAAACGCAAGACGGATATGGCCCGGAATGCCTAAAATGGCTTTATTCTTGATGTTTCTGCTAAATGTTTTTCTGGATTAACTACACAGGGACAACGATGGTTTCATCGTCACCTGATCACGTCAAAGAAATTTTAGTTCGCGTACAATTAGTGGGTAATACAGAGAGACATGCTGATTGCTTTGAATATGAAACGGGCTTGTGCGTGACGTAGTGGTTTGGCAGAAAACCAAGAAGGTGGTTTGGTGGTTTAGCGGGAAAATACTCGACAATAGTTAGCGATTTTATTGGTAAGGCGTACTCATACTAAATTTTGTAGGAATCGTGACAAAACAGATGACTCAATAAGAAAACAACCTCATTTCGGCTTATTCAAAGGTCGCACTAACCCTTATCTAAAAATATATGCGCCGATTCCATGTACATTCAGTTGCTGACAACAGAATTCCAGATGTACTAATACCGGCGCTGCTGTGAGCACAGCCGCAATTTGCTTGTGCTTGTATGTCGAACAGTTTGGTCTATTAAGAACTGGCTGAATGGACTTCCAGTTCCTCGAATTTAGTCAGTTCAGTCGATCGGCGACTGTCGATGGCACAGAAGAGATTGCAGCGGTTATTTTTATCAACGTTGCAATCGCCGTACGTAGCAAAAGTAGTCATATAAAGCAGGTACGGAAATGTTCTAGAAGCCCTATTTGAGAAGGCTCTTTTCACACTGGTGTGATCGATAATCAATAATCTAAGACAGGACGTGACAAAGAAGAGGGCTCAGAGTGTGCTGTATTATACGGAGGGCACACAAAACGCACGGAAGGCGGCTTAGGTCGAGAGTGGACAGGATGGACACCCCACCGATTCTACTTTGTGCCCTTGTCCTTGTTACTGGATGTTGCTCGGCACTGGCAGAAACATGCGACGAACTGGAGACACATTGTCGAAATCTGCAAAGTCAGCTAAGTGACACTTTTCAAGATATGATGTCTGTGGGATGGCCCGTAACGGATGACAAAGCCAACCACATATCCGAAATCGCCAAACGGAATTGCCGGTACGGCCTGTTATTGTTTGTTGCGAACAAAATAGGAATAAAAGCGCTCATAATTATTAAGATTAACTGGCAAGTTACCCAATTAATAAATCATCTAGCTGAATTTTCAAAAGTGATCAACTTTCCACAACTTGATGCAAGAATGCGAGACGTGTTTAAACGCCTTTCGTCAACGCTGCCCTGAACGTTCACCGACAAGTTTTTATACCGGCTGGTTTGCGACCACATGGCAGAAATTGTCCGCGAAGCTCTGCGACTCGCCTTTCCCTCCGGAACGCTACCTGCCCGCCCTGTACGACTGTTACCAGGATAATGCCAATATTACTCACATACCTTCGGTGAATCCCACGTCGTCGTATGTTACTGAGTCTCATAACGCTTCCCTTGCTCAGGAGAACGCTTGCAGGTTGGTTGCCTTGCTGTTTTTTTTTCACATTCTTGGACTTCATGAAAATGATAATTATTGCTATTATTATAGGGCACTGACAGAGATTTCGGCACATTTGAACGGATCAACTGGAGCCATTACAAGAAAGTGCGGTGATGAAGGTGCGCAGATTCTCCTGGATGCAACACGCTTTCTTCTCAAGACTAATTGTCCGAGTTGAGCGAATGTAGCAGCAAATCTGCAGCTGCCAGTAAACTTGCGATTAATGCCTATGCAGTCTTACAGTCATACAACAGTTGTTTGTGCAGAACTTATTGTGGGCGATAAGCCGATAACACTGTTCAGCGTGCAATCATATTAAAAATTCCGACAGTGACAGCCGTTTTATGGTACGTAGGGCGATTCGGCAAACCCGGATCCAACAGTGGATCCGGGTGCGCAACTTTAGTTCCGTGTCCATTGTTCGTCACGGGGCGATTCGACAACCCTTTGGGGCGATTCAGCAAGCTTTATTTATGACAAATAGTTATCTCTTTAACAACGCAGCATCCTGTCTTTAGAATTTGTCATATATGTACTGTGTTTGCATGTAATAAGTAAGTTGTCTATTTCTCAAGCCAATATACTGTAGCCGCCCGCACAAGTTGCTCCATTGGCAGATCCGGCCGCTGCCTTCTCCCTGCACACACTGCGCTGAACAGCGAGCAATGTGAGGCCAAATATCCGTATACCTCACTCTGTGGGGCAACTTGTGCGGGCGGCTACAGTAATGCTTTAAAATGGACGAAGGGCTCATGGCTGGACGATTCACTACAGCTAAGCGTAATCAGACGGCGATTATTTATCGAAAGTGCCCGAAAATCATACCAGAAATTATTATCATGCTCGAAAAGTTAATTCACATAATCCCGATGAGAACGCATACTTTAAATGCAACGTAATCTTCTAAAGAACCGAACTGAAAGCAAACAACTGAAAGCAAAAAATGAAAGTGGCCAGATGTTACCGAGACACGTGGGGGCAAAGTTATGGGACGGACCGGCGAGAAGATCATCTATTTTGGTATGAAGTTATATGGCAACAAGAACTTCTTCATAAAAGCGCTTGTTATATCTTTTGTTCTGTTTTGCTGCATTATGAGATAGGTGGATCGAGTAACGCATAATTTAACTATGTGGTGGCCTAGTTAAGTACTGTAACAGTGTAACGAGTGTAAAATAAACACGAAGTCATAAACTTGTTTTTAATGTTTCGAAATCCTTCCATGTTTCTTTTTCGAAAAAACGGGCACCAAACTGCGAATCGAAATACTACCTTAACGGTAATAACCCGATAGAGAAAACCGACTGTGTTAAGTATTTGGGTGTACTGTTCGACCGCGGTTTAAAGTTTAAAGAAAATACTAATAATTTAGTGACAAAACTGCGTAAGAAAACTCGTTGGATTAACTTTGCATTCAGAAGAGCTGATTCTGCAGCTCGTATTCAGCTGTTTAAATCTTTGGTGTTTACGTCGTTTGACTATTGCAGCCCTTATGTAGCACCAGCGAATAAAACCTGCAGAGATAAGTTAGAACGTTGTTTGGAGCGCTTTCCGGACTCTCTTAATCTCCGTAGCAGCAATTACAGAGAACGGTTAAAGGAGTTAAATTGGGACTGCTTTGAATTGCGCAGGTTGAAACGGAGCCTTGTGTTTACGTACAAACTTGTTTTCAACCGCATCCCGCTGGGAAAACGGTTTTCTTACCACCATATGAGCAAGCTGCTGCCGCTGTTTCTTGTGTTTCAGGTAATACTCGTTCAGCCAGGCGGCTATGTACACATCCCTTCCCCATTATGGCGGCACCAATAACATTGTGCGGGAACACTCTGCCTTCCTCCCCGGACTCTCTCTCAAGTCGCTTAGCGCTATTATGGAATGGAATTCCCCTGGACAAAGAAAGTTACGCCTCGGTCAACATGTTTAGGAGTGCACTGGATACCGTCAACTGGACTCCAGTTACTGGAGCAACCTGGACTTTGTTAAACGTTTTTGTAATACTAAGCTACTGAAGAACTGATTCGACATTGTGGTTTCCAGCATTTTCTGTGTAAAATTATTAGTTGATTGTCTTTATTTTTTACATTTGGTTTGTTTTTGTCTGATACTTCTATAATTTTTGGGCTACCTTTTGAAGAGTTAAATTGTGTCTATAATTGTGTCAAGTGCCCAGAGGGGACATCTGTCCCGCTGCATGAGGCAATAAATCAAATCAAATCAAAAATATTTAAAAGAAAATAATGGTTTGCTGAAACGCCCGTGTTCCACCGTTTGCCGAATCGCCCTGTCACTTGCGTAAAATGTATAGACTAAAAACACAATAGGCCTTTGGGAAGTTTAAGCTACTGCGTACTATTGTTGTCGAATCGCCCTGTGAACCCCGTTTTATATACATCGATGCCATGACTTAAACAAATTGTCAATCATTTATTTAGAAGAAATAAAATCGTTTACCCGAGGTCATGCGACCGGCAACGGTGAGACGACCCCGGTGCCTTACTACCAGTTACATTGATAGAAATTTTTAAAACTTATTAATCGCTTCAGTGAACATGCAAACGTTTGCGAAACGACTGTGTCAACCCACTCTCCGCCAAAACCGCCGAAATTCTGTGGTCTGGCTGATCATGATCCGTAGACAGAAGAAAAAAATTTGCTTCAGATTTTGTTTCTGCCAGCGAGTTATTTCATTCATTTTTGCCGCCCTTCAAATGTTGCCAGGTCTACAGCCTGGTTTCTTTTCACGGTAGCCGCATTTGGGTTCGTTAGGCGGTGGACTACCACACTTGTACCAAACAATCTTGCGGATGGTTTTGTCTACCGGATCCCGGGAGGGTTCCAACGCTTTACGGCTAGCAGAATACTCCAGTACCGGCTAAAGCAAAATAGAATTTGCCAAAGTAACCAGCACACCGATACACAAGCAAGACATAAGTATCACAGTTCGTAATAAAATATCTGTCGGTCGGTCATTGCGTAAGTTTTACTATGATAACAACAATTCGTTATCTTTATCTAGTTATCTTTAAATGACAGCCGACAGCCTAAGTTAGGCGGTAATGGAAGCAGTTAAATGCGTCATAGTTAACGCCAAATGCACTAAACCGACCAAAAAATTCCCGGTTTTGGAATCCATTTGCTTAAGCGCCCAATCCGCATCGCGATCGCCGTTAATGTTGATGACGACCTCCTGTCCCAGAACGGAGAATGTGCGGTTCCACATCCGCTTGCTCCACGTCACACCATCATAAGGATCTCCACCAATTCCCGAATACGCCATTTGCCAAATGACCTGCAAGTTGACTCGCCATAAAAAGAGAAATTACTTGATAAAGGAGCAGAATTTTCACGGGCGTGGTGCCAGTAATTGTCTATGTAGTGTTTACGGAGGATGACATTCATGAACCCAGGAAAAGTGCTGAAATACCGACTTCAAACAGAATTACCTCGCCGAAAATGGCGGCAGTATGATAGTAAGACATGGCGAATGGATTGACCTTGCAAACATAAGAATAAACCAGGGTTAATTAAACAACACTTTGATAAAGAAATCTTTGCGACAATGGTTACAAATAATCAAATTGTACATGACGATAAATACCGAAGTCACATCATACAGTCGGTACAATATCCTTTACGTAGTTTAATTAGCTTACATCTTCACCGGCAGGATATGTATAGCCATAAATCGCATTAGACTGACGCTTTATTTCGTCAGTATGATTCTTGAATTCCGGCGTGGCGACTGGGTCGCGCAAAGACATAATGAAGAGCGAGCGAAAAGCGGTGCGGGCATCCTAATTGGTAAAGCCGCGAAAGTTCATTATTGCAGCTTTCCAAAATTAGCATTCATTTTTCTGGCGAAGTTGTTAGACATTAGGCCAAATGGAAATCAAGAACTGCGGAAAAGCCACTTCTATGATTCGTTTTTACCGCATCACGTTTATCGCTGTCTCCCGTGTTCCATGTTATTTTGCCAAAATATCTGGCGCTTGGGAATAGTTCGAATGTAAAATGTACCTGTAATGACAACAAATATTTTAACTTATCGAGCATAATTTCATTTAATTATATCCACACATCAACTGAACGTATACAAAAGCGAATGCTTGTGGACGAGAAGAAGGAACCTTAATGCATTACTCATGATATACAGTAGTTACATAATCGCCTCCTGTCATCTGGTTGTCAAACGCTGACAGCTAAAACGTATCACTGGTTCTTTATATTGTTGATAATCGATCATACATTTTTTTTATTGCAGTATGCTTAATTGTTTCACCATGATAGGACGAATTCGGCTGCCATGGGCAATAACGATGATAACTGCAAAAGCATGATTGATATCTTTATTTACTCACAGACTGAACAAGTTTTTCACCCGTTATTTTGGTTCAAGAGCTTTAAAAAATGAGCCAGCGAAAAATGTAGACATTTGCAACAAGTGTCCGCAAAAATTTATAAATTTGTCGTGTTAGAGCTTGGAGCGCTCCTCTGCTAATAAAAACCGAAATACGTTGTCTTCCAATTATGTAACTAACCCACGAAAAGAAACTTAATCTCTACTCTACGTCTTGCACATGCTCGCACAATCTCTCGGGTTTGCTTAATCCTTTCAAAGATTTACCTACCTCGAGTTACTGTCTTTAACTCATCCAGATAGTGTTTCAACGTTCGTCCTGTTCAAGGCATTCACATAAAATCGGCTAGCTGAAAAGAGGTAAAAAAAGCCGGAGATTGTCAAATGCCACTTTGCATATTGGCCCGTAGATCGCTAAAGTGTCGTCTCTATCATCACACAGAAATCCCACCGTGCTATAATTAAATTTTTGCAATACGTTGTATACGAAGCGAGTCAGATCTTCCGGAAAGAATGGAGCAAGCCTGGTCAGTGTGGGAAAACGTCTTTTGTTAGCAAGAGCGGCGTCTCCCGATATGCTAAAAATATGCTTAACGTCATTCAAAAGTTCAAAACATACTGCAAAATGTAATACCATAAAATTTTTTTATTTTTACGTAATGTTACTAGTATTATGTATGCCGGAACAAGGTATGTTACTATGTTATACAAACATTAGTTTAGCTTGATCTTACCCAATTGTCATCGGGATATTCCATTCTGCAAAATAATGTATGTACAAATGTACAACATATGTGTGTAATATGTTGTATTAACGGGACAGTAAACTAATGTTATGCAAGATATTGTCGTCATTCGTACTAGTATTTTATGCAAAGAATTATTCTTTTATTGCTGTGCCAACAAATTCATGCCACTTACTTGTCGCTAACTGTGCAACAGACGCCGCAGTTGCGGGACACCCTAAACCATGCTCAAATACACAAAAAGTTACATCAGAAATTTGTGGTCCTGAATTAAGTTACCGGGTCCAAAGATTCCCATAACAGGGTTGCCGGTAGCGATCTTATCGTGATATTTCGTAGCCCACAATGCTGCTTCCTTGTCCATCATGTCGCAGGTGGTTACATTGCGTGTAAACAACAGGATTCTGGTTATATTCATTAGTGTCTTGTACGGAGCCAAATCTTCCACGGCTTTGGTGAATGCGGGACCAGCCAGGGTCAGACTGGTTGGAGTTTGATCTCCCCACAGGTAAACCTGTACCAACGACACATCCAAGGTAGATGCCGGTACACAGCTAAGTGCAGTGAAAGCAGATAGGAAAAGGAATGAAGTCCTTTGAAGGCCCACTGGACGAGGGCTGGGATCCATGAGTAATAATGTCACACTGACAACCAGAATCAAGTAATATTGGGATTTCTACCTGGTAAGATTTTCAAATCGTCAAATTTAGCCGTTATGCATTGAATTTGGTAATAAATGCTGGTTGAGTTTGGTACACAAAGGTGGACAGTTAAAACCTACTCTAAGGCACAGAGGCATTACTGGAGTTTTGTCAATGATGATCTTTGTCGAATGTCAAGTTTTGTGGTTATTGACATGTTCACCACCTTGACTTGTTTGACTTTGTTGGCAGTTCTGTTAAACGCAAAAGTTTATAGTGTTTCGGTAGCCGGTCTAATTAATCGGTTGTTACATAACACTAAACATCAACCGACAAAAGCGCACCAATCCGTACTTTAAGTGAGCTAACGACAATTACTGTACTTACATTCTACTGATATATGGACATGGACGACGGCGGTGTATACGACAGGACTTGTAGCATCCTTTCATTCCTTAACGCATGCATGAATAAACATACAATGCATGAGAAAAAAAAAACAGGTAACTCGTTTAAGCGTACATAGTACACTGCACAAACAACTGGTTCTTCGTTCGAAGTTCGCACGGTTTACTGCTTAAATATTAAATTTATTAACCGCGTGTCGGTTTATGCTTGGTCTTGTCATACACTTAAGCTGTGGTCCAAGACTTAATACGGAAATCTCTTGTTCATTTTGCAGAGAATCATTAGCAGCAGTAATAAACAATAGCCCCGAAGCGATCTTAATAATCCTTAACATCACCTGCAGTGTTTTGCGTAATAATACTACCAAAACGTTCAAAAATGTAGCTGACAGTGACTTTTTACCAGCTCCTTACCGTTAAAGTGTGTCAACGACCAATATCAAAATCGTTATACTAAAAGGGAACAAAAGATTCGATGTGTCTCTTGCAAGTCAGGATAATGAAGCCGGCAAATAAAATTATGCTCAGAGCATTCCTTTCACCGCTTGGAATAAGTTTACGACAGCGGCTGCAAGCTGCTGATAGTGGTTCCTTGCTTGCTTGCACCTTGCTCTGAAAATCAAAACAAATAGTAACGATAAATTGAATTAATGGCCAGTGTTGTAAGTGACGTTATTCGATTTTTCCCGAATTTTTAGCAGTTATGTATCTGTACACGGCTACATCGGCGTGTGCTAGGGCGTCCTTCTAAATTGAACAGTTTTTGTCTGTTAAATGCAGCAGCGTATGGAATCAGATTCATTAACTCCAGCCGTAGAAGTATAAATTAAACAGCGGCAAAAACAAAATACGCAAATCACATGAAATCCAGTTATAGCTTTTCCCGTTTCGAGGCGCACATACTTATAGCATCGCACTCTGGTTTAATTCCACGATAGCCGCATTTTGGTTCATTAGGAGGCGGGCTATTACGGTTGTACCAAACAATCTGACGAGTGCCGTCATCCGCTGGGTCACGAGAAGGTGTCACGATATTGCGCTTAGCGGAGTAGTCCATTACAGGCTAGAGACATATAGAAATGATAACAGCCGTTCGTAAACAAAACAGCAGTTTGTAAAGTCGGTTTAATCCACAGAGTACAGCAGCAGAATAGCAGAGTAAAGCGAGAGAAAAGAGTACCGCGGTAAAGTAAGCCGCATTCCACTGATTCGACATTATTTTAGTCTTCAGCGTGACGTTCTAACTTCGCATCTCTAATCAGGATCAGTGGCGAATATAGTTCAAGAAATGGTTCTAGCGCACTGATTAAAGTACCAAAAACATTCCGGTTTCGGCATTCATCTGGTTCATTGTCCAGTCCGTCTCGCGATCGCCATTAGGGCTGATGCTGATATCTTGACCTAAAATGGTGTATGTTCGGTTCCACATCAGCTTGCTAAGCAGGTACCCGTCGTTGGGATCCCGTCCACTGGCTATAGTTTCATTCAACACCTACCCAGTACAGTAGAAGTCACAAACTGAATTTAGGCAAAGTGACATTTTGAGAGGCGAACAACTACGATTACCATTTTGGCGCGCTGTTATACTTGTAACTGAGGCAGTCAAACTCTACCACGCTTCTTGATTCGAAGAAAGTTGCGAAGCAACCCGGCTTGTCGAAATCGTCTGGTTGTTAAACAGTTGACCGTTACCTGGGCGTAAATGGCGAGGGCGTAATAGTATGCCATGGCAAATGGGTTGACCTTTCATACAATGAAGCAGAAATGTTTACAAGATTTTCTTTAATATTAGTGCTGCGTTAGACTGAATATTTTTTAATAGCGTATGATCGGTGGTGTTTAATCAGACTTAATTCAGCTTACTCCCCGGCGGCATATGTATAGCCGGATGTACTTCTAGAGCGCTGTTTTATTTCATCCGTAACTTTGCGGTATTCGGTGTGGCATCCGGATTGCGCGGAGATAATACGAAGAGGGAGCGAAAGGCGGTACGGGCATCCTGAGAAGGACACAAAAAGCAAAATGAAACGAGCTTTCTGCGGTTCAGCACAGCAGTACTTGCACAGTATTATGCAAGGGAAGAATGCAAAATAAGCTAGAAATCAAAAACTAGCAGTGGGCACTGATCTGATTGTTAGTTGCAGCTGGTTCTTACCGCATCGCGTTTATCTCGGTCTCCAGTATTCCAGGTAACGCTGCCGTAAAATTTACTGCGTAGATAAAGTTCAAGTGTGAAATAAACCTGCAAACCAAAACGAATGATTAGTAGTTTGCACAGTATAAACAGATTCGGTATATTAGTACTCTAATCGCTCACATAATCGCCCTCCGTCATCTTCTTATCAAACGCTGCTAACTGAAAATACACAGCGAAACATTTAAGATATCAGTAATCAGTCACGCTGTTGCAGGCGATGTCCGCGGATTGGATTACCATGATTGGACGAATCCGGTCGCCATGGGCAATGATGATGATAACTGCAAAGACAGGCTCTTCCGCCATCACGAATTATAAAAAACACTACAACAACCACACTCGTGGTAAGCTAGCTGAATTGGAAAGTTAGCATAAACAGCACAAGGAACTGCTGCCGGTCGTACGTTACATGCAGTGATGCAGGTAATTACGTCTGTCCAGTCACGAAAATTAATGATGGTATTAGCCAGGTTGTAAATGAAGCAGAAAAGCATGTGCTGACAAACTATTGTCACTTACCTCGAGTCAAAGCTTTTATCTTGTCCAAATAATGCCTGACATTGTACTCGTACGTGGCATTCACATAGAACCGGCTGGCGCTGACATTATACTTCCAACGCAGAGTGTCGAATACGGATGTACATGTGAGACCGGGATCACTAGCGTTCACGTCAGTGGCGCTACGCCTGTGGCGCTACGCCTTTGGACTACGTGTCTGTGTTGTGTCTCTTGTGATTGGCTTGCGTTCTGATAGTGGGCGCGGCATAGCACGTGCTGCACAGCGCTGCACGCTGTTGAATTGGCTCTACGTTTTACGATCGAGCTGCGCCGATCAGTTGTTGATTTTCTGTTGCACAGACTTTCAATATTATTAAAAGTCAGCGATTTACGGTGCGACGTTTGTGTTTCCGCATAGCTCGCGATCCATATCGTATCGCTCGCTTCCACGGGATCTATTCCGTTTAGGTCTCCGTATCTGGATCACTGCTGGATCTAGCATTAGATGGTAGCAGAGCCGACAGCGGTTCTCTGATTTGAATTGTGTCAGGCAAAGTTGGCCTGTTATTTGACGTGAAACCCGACCAGTAAGGCACAGGTCTATCCGACAGCAAAGCGCAACACCACAAGCGGTGCAAGTTCCTCATCGGACGGGATTACCAGCCTTGGTTTCGGTACAGTGTCTTCAGCGAAGACCTGTGCTGTTCCACTGCTGTGAAAGAGTTCAAGAGTTCAGTCGGCGGTGTTCCTCGGTGCGGTGTCTTCAGCGAAGACCTGCACTGGTGTCACCGTTACTCGGCAAGGCTTCAGCGAAGCCTAAGCCGTGGGCCACAAGCGGCGAAGCGCCAAAAGGGGCGCACGGGAAAAGACAGATCAGACTCCTCCAAACTGGTGTAGAGCGCCACTACTGTTGCTACGGCAGTCAGCCGGCACAGTAACCGACTAAAAGCGTGCGGCACAACCGTTACGGTAAAACCGGCGGCAGCGCGGGAACGGACAGTGGAAGAAGAATCTGGATCATCGGGATCGATTCTTGTGGAACGGACGAGGAAACAGGTAGAAAACCCGTTATTAATTACGGGATTGGTTAGATGGTAAAATTGCTAATTTTCATTGGTCCGTTCTGAGCTGAGCATAAAAGTAGGCGGAGTTTTGCACACGGCACGCATATCTGGCCGTTGACCGTGACGTCAGGCTGATATAAAATCTAAGTGGACTAACGCCATTGGTTAGTTATCTGAGCTGTGATTGGCTGAAATTTGAACTGAATATTTTGAGCTAGCAGACCAATCAGAAAGACGTAAACAACCCGAATGGGGATTTTCCGCTGAACTCTAGCTGTAATGGGAAATTTGATTTGAGATAAGAGAATTGAGACGAAAAGTGACCTTTTGAGTTGAGACAAAGGAAAAGTGACCTTTGATCGAATTGAGCTTAAAAGTGACCTTTAACAGAAATTGAGCTGGAAAGTGACCTTTCGAGTTGAGTTGAGTCAGAAAGTGACCTTTGAGACTATAAGTTGACTTTTGACTTTGAAAAGTGACCTTTACCAAAAAGTTGGAATTGATCAAATTGACCCACTTTAGTGACCTTTACGATCCGAAAGTGATCAACAGTGACCTTTCACAAAGTTGAACCGAGTTGATTAGTAGTACAGCGATATCAGCAGCTGTAGGAATTCATTCGTTAACGTATTCTGGACTGTAAGAACGGTTTCGAAGTTTTGTCCGAAAGTGACCTTTTAGGGCAAATCTCTCGAACTTTTATCAAAGTCTTTCGGACTTAGTCGAAATTTTTCGAAAAGTCTTTAAAAGGACTTAGAAAAAATTTCGAGGTACAAAGTGACCTTTAGGACAATCGCATAAACCATACAATAACGCGTGTGTGAGAACAATTGGCAGGAGCGTCCAAGTTATCCGATCAACATGGACAAAGACAAAGAGGAACCGACATCTACCAGCAGTCAGGGAAGCAGGAGCTCCCGGGGATCACAACAAAGCGTAATCGATCCCTATAAGAAAGAATACAAGTCGCTCGCGCGTCCAGTCGGACATGATAGACAGACCCGAGCGGCCGTGACCTTTGCAAGGAAGGACAGTAAAGGCAGTGACAGCACATATCAAGTGGCGCTAGGGGCTACACAGAATGAAGAGAGCTCCAGCGGCGACGGAAAGGAAACTCTCGTACCTGTAGCGGGAGATAACCCGATGAACCAGACAAAGGTCACTGGGGAGGAAAAATCCACAGAAAGAAGAGCGGAAGCAGTGGCAGCATCACAGCTGGATGCTACCACCAGCGGAACAAACGAGCAGGATAAAAATGTAAACCTGGCCCAAGTGGAAGATGGAAACATAAAGGTCACCGAAGAGAATTTGGCTGAACTGGGACTGGATGACCTTTCATTGGACGATAAGACCGCAGGTGATGACCTTTGGGCAACTCCAATGGTCTCAGACGAATCGAACGAGTCCTACTTCACGGATGATGAAGCAACGATGAATATGTCTTTTCAAACTGCCATGAAGGAAGCTGACCGGGCTGAAGGTATGATACCATTCAAGGACATACCGGAGCACCTCATTGAACGGACAAAAACTGGAAAGGTCATCAGTGTACGACCACCGTCACCGAACAGTCCCACGTCAACTTTGAGGAGACGTGTCAGTGAATTGGAAAATGAACTTGAAGTCAATGAACGTCAAGCGGATAAGCGAAAACAGGAATATCGGGAAAGACTGACGACACTTGAAGCACGCCTGTTCGATCTGGAGCAGCAACAGGGTGACCTTCAAAGTGCCGCAGACGGTTGGAAAGTGAAATATGAAAGACAGAAGGAATTGGCTGATGAATATTTGAAAATGGCAGATGACAGAGAAATGGAAGGTCATCTTGCAGTTAGTGACCTTAATGAGAGCATGTCCGAAGAATCAGCGGAAAGGTCACGGCACTTAGCCGAATTGAAGGATGAATGTGACTCACTGAAACTTAAGGTCACCGAAGCGGAAGCCAAGCGAGATGAATACGCGGCCAAACTCGTCGACGCTACTCAACGATTGTTGACAAACACCAATGAGGTGTTTAAGCTGAGAAACGAATTGAAGTTACGGGACGAGAACATCGGAACCCTTCAAAAAGAATCACAGGATCATCAGAGGAGAGCCGACGACGCTGTCAAAGTGGCTAAGGACCTGAGGGAGCTTACAGCCACTGAAGGTGTGCGGTTGAAGAACGAAATTAAGCAGGTGATGGAAGAGAACAAGTCGTTGAAAGAAGATGTTCAAAAGGTCACCGAAGAGAATACCGAGTTGAAAAAGACTGCTAAGACAATTGCCGAGCAAGGCATGAGGTGGGAACACGAGGCACACCTCCTGGATGAAAAGGTCACGGTACTTGAATTGAAAGATAAGGAGTGGCAACAATCAGTCCACCAGAAGACGCAGGAGATTATCAAGCTCAACACGGAGCTGATTGATATGACCCAAACGGTGATGACAAGAGAAGATGAGGTCACCCAGACGAAAAACCAACTGAAAGCAGCAGTCGAGGAATACACGAAGCTGGAAAGGGATGTGACCCAGTTGGCGGAACACATTAAAAAGGTGGAGAATGACACTGAAAAGGTCATTCAGGAGAAGACTTTCCAACTCCACCAACATATGTTAAAGGTCAAGGAGGAGAATCAGAACTTGAAAACGGAGAAAGAGGAAGTCCAGTTGAAAGTCCGTCGCCTTGAGGATGAGAATAAGGCGCTTGTTATGTCTAATAAGCACAAAGATGAACAGCTTCTGCAATATGGAGTCAGGACTTCAACAGTGGAGTCGCCCCCGCCCAGTTACAGCAAGGCGCACGAAACGGGCACGGGCAAAAACTTCCACTTTGATATGCCGCTACGAACCGGTACTGGCAGAGGAAGTGTCAAAAACGAAAAGGACGGGGAAAAGGTCAAGGATGACAAGGAGCCACCATCGGAAACTTATTCCCATTCGAATCGTGGTGATCCCACCCAATTTCATCCACATATTGAAACGAAAATCTTCATTGATGAAAGGAAACAGGATAGACCGTCTAGCCGGCAAGAACGCCCAAGGAAGTCCCGCTACGGAAAAGCGAAGCGAAATAACGACGATGACGATAGTGACTCCAGTACGGCAGAAGACAATGATGCGACACAGAGATTAGTGAACGCACTCCAATCGATGGGACGCAAAACGACTCTGGTGACCTTTGATGGAAGTCGCGATGCCGTGAATGGGTGGACACAATTGGTCAAAGACACCCAACGGACATATCATCTCACTGACGATCAGATTTTGATTGAAATAGCCAGCGCAGTCAAAGGACCGGCGAAGACCTGGTTCGAAGGAGAGAGAGAAATCGCACTCCAAGAAGAAACGGAATACACCATTACAGAATGGATGGCCAAGTTTAAAGATGAATATGGAGACCGTGACGAGGAAGTTCTTGGCTTACGAGAAGCCATGGCAAGGAAATTTGACCTCGGAAAGGAATCGCTTGATCAGTTTTATCAAGCGATTATGAAATACAAGGCGAAGAGGATCATAACTGAAAAGCAGGCAGTCGGATTCCTGATCGAAGGATGTAGAGTGGATGGTGACCTTTATAAGGCACTACGCACGCAACAGTGCAGGACTCCAACCGAAATCAAAGATTTCTTCCGTCACTGGTCAGCGGGAGAAGATAAATATAAGGCGCCTAAAGGTCAACGTAATCAGGAATACGTGACCATCCGCCAAGGCCAAGTTGAAAATGTACCGCAACAGAGGATGGCGGCCGCACCAGTCCAACAGCCAGTCGAGTACCGTAGAGAGGCGCCGGCCCAAGAGGTCACAAAGGAAGTGACCTTTATCGACAGTCAGACCGGGCAACCGTTAACATACGCAATGGTGGCAGCGATACAGGCAGCGGCCCAGGTGAGGCCAGTAGCCCAGAATGTGGCTCCCCAGAATATAGCCCAGCCGCCACCTCAGAATATGCCTCCGAATATGGGGTTACCACAACAAGGAGGGGGTAACGGAAACTTCGGCGGAAACGGATACGGAAATGGAAACTGGAATGGAGGTCAGGGGAACTTCCAGAACCAGGGACGAGGTCAAGGTCAAGGAAACTTCAGAGGGAATCAACAGCAGAATCAAGGATCACGAACAGAGTTCAAGTTCCAGATGATTGATGGATGGGTGGCGAACAACGTGCAGATGTGCCAGTACTGTATGTACGGCAACCATCAGACACAGGGGTGCAAGTTCGCCAATACACCACCAGAACAGAACCCGAATCTGTTTGCCTTTAACGAGTGGCAACGCCTCCGAGCTATAGGTGGCTGGCGCCCAGCGGTCGCAAACGGATATGACCTCATCACCCAATGGTACCAACATAAGGCAAACTTCCAAAACCAACAAGGGAATGGAAACGGGAACTACGGAAATGGAAATGGCGGTGGCCAGAATGGCGGCTTCGGCCGTGGAGGCTTCGGCCGCGGCGGCTTCAGAGGAAGAAACAGAGGCTTCGGCCGCGGAAACTTCAGAGGAGGCCAGAACAATGGCGGCGGCCAAGGAAACTACCAACAGGGTGGCGGCCAATATAATAACGGTGGCGGACAGAATCCTAACCCGGCAAATAATATCGGACAACAACAAGCAAATGTGCAAGGCGTACAACAAGGTGGGGCGCCGGTTCAGGGAAACGGGCAAGATCAGTAGGCACCGGTGAGCCTACTGATCGACCCGACCCTAAACCACCGGATAAAAGGGAAAGGTCACCACTGCAGAATGGTACTGCAGTGAATGTGACCACTGCGACGGCTATATGGATGCCGTCAGCGAAAAAGCAAAGTGGACCGGCTATATGGATGCCGCAACCACAAGAAACGGCTAGATGGATGCCGTCACAGCAAAGAGAAACGGCTATATGGATGCCGTCACCGCAAAGAGGAAATGGAACGGTCATAGGGATACCGTCACAAAGTGAAAGGTCACCGCAGAATGGCACTGCGAGTGGAAACATCCAAGTGGATAAAAGGTCACCGCAGAATGGTACTGCGAGTGGAAGCGCGCAAAGGGACCAAAGGTCACCGCAGAAGGGTACTGCGAGTGGAAATTGTCGTGACGGTAGCGCGACACTGCAAAAAGTGCAGCAAAATCAAAGGTCACCGTACTGCAGCGAAGAAGTGTTAGCGCAACGACGCGCACAACGAAATGCAAAGATTCAACAGGCGCTCCTGAATCAGAAGAAACCGCAGAACGACACTGCGCAAGAGGAAAATGAACAGCACGCAAAATTCCGAAAAATTTTGGCAGAAAACGACAAGGCAAATGAGCCAAGGTGCGATTGTTACGGGGAACCAAAGCCAAAGTTTTGGAATTGTTCAGAAGACGAAGAAGAGAAGCGAATAAGGCAAGAATGGATTAAGCAGAATATCACCGTCATTAGTAAAGATGAAAGGTCACCTTCTGCTGGAAAAGTCCAAGTTAAAGGTCAAGGAGCGAGTGCGAATGCAAAGGTCACGGCGACAGCGTCGTGTTAAAAGGTCAAGAAACAGACTTGACACTGCGAACAGCGCAGCAAAAGAATAAGGAAATGGCACAGAACTCCGACGACTCACTTGTGGACGCAGTAACACTACAACAGAAGGAGAAGTGGCAAAAAGTGGCCTACAGACCGAACGGCAATCACGGGATGTGGGTACCCGTGACACCAAAAGCGAAACAGAAAGCGCGAATGTCACAAGAGGATTACTGGGACATGCAACAGTTGCGAACGCAATGTGAAAGAAAGCGACTAGAAGAGTTGGTTACCGGGAAACCAGCGCAAGGGTCACCGAACCCAGTCCCAGTATTCAATCCAGAGGAATATAAGAAGACATTCGCTGACTGGAATCATTCACGTAATGCTCCGCCACAGGATAAACCGCCGAATTACGGAGAAAAAGTCCCCATACAAAAGCTGACAAACGGCGGATTTGTCATGAAGCGCAACGAAAGGTCACAGGACTTAGCGCAAAATGAACAAAAAGGACGGTCAAATGAGATAGCGCAAACGCAACAGAGTAGCGCAGTTGAAAGGTCACGGGACTTATCGGAGGCACTGCAAAAGGATGCCAATGACAAGTCACCAGCCCGAACAGACGGGATGTCTTCGCAAATTGACCCAACGAAAACGAACAATGAAGTGTCCGCGAAGGTGATCGAATGGATGACCGAAAAGGGATATGACATGGTTACATATGAAAGGTCACCAGATGAGATGAAAGATAGCGAAGAAGACGAATTGAAGCGAGCTGACCAAATAACAAGTGAAGTCATTGAGAAGCTGAGAGATAAACGAAATGAAAACCGTAAAGAGGAACTGATCCATCAAACGATAAATGAAGTGACTAAAGGTCACATGGATAGCACAAAAGCAAATGAGCAAGTGCAGAATGTGGAAAAGGTCACCGGTGATAAAATGGCTACAGAGAAGCGAACAAATAAAGAAAAGCCGCGAAAATATTACGATGTTCGGACTAACGTTCCACATAGGATTGATAAGTTGAGCGAGATATTGAAAGGTCATAGCACTCCAGCAAAAGGACAAGTGCTTCCCGATATGGATCCAGGACCAGTATCACTCATCCCTGTGAAATGTAAGATTCATACACTGAAGATTCAAAATGGAAAACTGCCCAAGAGAATTGAAGCATACACACACGAAGTGAAAGTGGGAGACATAAAGGTCAACGCAATGCTGGACACCGGCGCTGAGACGTCGCTGATCAGCAAACCGTTTTGCGAGAAGAATGGACTTCATATGCTCCCATTGCCACCAGATAGACTGGTGAAAATAAACGGAATTAGCGGAACGTCAGGATTCCTAGTGACGCATTACTGCGTAGCACCAGTGACCTTACGAAAGAAGACAAGCGAACATTCCTTCTACGTCCGACCGAAGTGTGACGACGTACAGGTGTTGCTGGGATTCGACTTCTTGGAAAAGAAATTTGTACTGATGGATAATGAAGGTGAAGAAGAAAAAGAAGACGACCCAAAACCAGTCGCCAAAGTACAAGTCGGAAAGGTCACCGAACTTGCAAAACGGGAAAAGGCTCAAACTGTTAATAAAGCGCTAATCCCAGTACCAGAGGCACCGGGAAACGAAAAGAAAAAGATGACGCGAAAAGAATTGTCACCATCTGAGCAGTTGCAAGTAATCCAGCAGGAGATCGAAAAGACATTAAATCGGACCTTGCTGACACAGAAGGGAAGAGAAAAGGTCATCCCAGTACCAGAGGCACCGGGAATGACAAAAGTGCAGCAGGAAGAAATTATCCCAGTACCAGAGGCACTGGAAACGAAAAATGAAAATGGAAAAGTTGAAAAAGTTATCCCAGTACCAGAGGCACTGGGAAAGGAAGACGAAAGGTCACCAGCAACTGAGAACTTGGAACGAGAGCGTAATTCGAACCTTTTCGAACCACGATCTGCTACCCAAAATGAAAGGCTACCAGATAAAACCAAAGAGGAAGTAACAGAACGTGAATCTCAAAAGGAACCCTTTTTCGAACCACGACCTGCTACCGAAAGGTCACCAACGATTGAAGAGATAATTGCCACACAGAAAGAAGCGGCAGTTGCAGCGAAACAATCTCTTGTGCCAGACATGGAGTGGGCAAAGCCTATCCCAGTACCAGAGGCACTGGAAATAAAGACGGCTAAAGTGGGGAAGGATAAAAAGAGTGAAAGGTTACGAGTTTTGAAACGAATAGTTGAAGAGGAACAGATGTTTACAAGCGAAATCCGCGACAAGGCACTCGAACAATTGAAAGGTCACCGAACAGAAAAAGAACCAGAGGTCATTGAAATATCCTCTGAGGATAAAAGCGTGACTCCAATCGAATGTGAGGAAGATACCACAGTACAGGAACAGGTTAAACCTGAAGCGAGTCAAAGGACATTAACTCCAGAAGAACGAGCCGGGAGTTGTCACCACGGTTACTTTGAGGATCCGTGCAGAGTGCAACCACAATGGGAATGCGCGGAGTGTTGTGAAAATGCCTCTCAAGATGACCCTTCAGAATGGCCAAGATGTAATGCCGCATTAGCAGACCTTAAAGGTCATGCCCAAAAGAAAGCGAAAAGCATCATGCGGACAAACGAATGTGGAAACCACACATCGAACGGTATCACTGGAATAGATATCGAACGTGGTTGTCATGTGTGGAAAGTTTTATAATTGGAAGAGGCAGATGGCTAAACCATTGGTTGCAACGTGTCGAGAAAGGAATCCAAGATCCTCTCGATCCGGTAGCAACAGAAAGGAGATTTGAACGAGAGATAGAAGAAATGACCGAGGAAGGAGAAATGTGGGAAGAAGCGAGAGTTGATCTTTTCTGGGACTTCCGTGTGAACCACATGTATAAAGGTGAAGGGAGAACGATTATTTTCCCGGCAGGACTTGGAACACCTGTCTACGAATCACTTGAAGTGTACTACAACGCGTTAAAAGAGGGAAACGAAAAAGCATTCGAGAAATACTGGAAGAAATTC